AACAGCAGCTGGTATCATATTGCCCATTGCATTGCATCCGTACTTCTGTCCCTAACCATGTATATCTTCAATACTCCGCTTAACATCCCACTGTTCATCTAAGAATTGAAACAACCTCTGCTGAAGAATGCCACGCACCGACCTTACCCTGCAATCCGCCATCTCCTGCATCCCTCGCAATCCAGACATGCCGTTTCTCCTCTGGCAAATGATCCAACTCCTGCTCAATTCTCAACGTGCTAATCTCCGGCGCAGTGTAAATAGTCTGCGCTGCCCCACTAATCATAACCCCACACTTCACCTGACGAAGATATTGCCCGGATTCCTCATCACCCTTCAACGTATACCTCTGCATCTCTCGCATAGCCGCCGCCGGCGAGGACTTTCCAAAGATCCACATAACATGAGTCAACTCCCACTTGAGCTGGAAATTCCACCGCGACAACATCCGCCACGTTGCATCGAACATCCCGTCGGTGATCCAGCCCGCGAGCCAGGCCCGAATAAACCAAGGCGGCATGCGCGACGTAGCCAGGTCAAACATATCGTAGAAAGGATCCACGGCGATGCACGCCGAGACGCGAGGATTCACGGCGCCTCGCAGCGCATAGTACGCCCCCATGGACACCCCGACCAGCGCAATCCGCGAGAGATCCAGCGACCACTCGGGATGCTCCTTCGCCAGCTGCTCCACATGATCCAGCACGGGGCTCGTCACCTCCTCCCAGTCGGGGCGCATGGCACTCCCCCCTTGGCGCAAACTGGCGCCCTGCCCCGGCCCATCGAACAGCAGAACCGCATATCCGCGATCGCATCCGCTCGCCCCATAGAGCAGATACAGCTCCTCGGACGTCGAATCCGCTCCATTGATACACACAACCACAGGAACCTTCCGACCAGTCTCATCGCCCTGGCGCGGTAAAAACAAATACCCCGGCAAATGCCCATCCTGGTATGGAATCTCCAGGATGTGCGTCCGGTGCCCCAAGATCGGAATCGCTTGACGAAATGCATTGACACTGCGTGCGAAAAACTCCGGCACGCGAGGATCCGGACTCCGTGGCCTGTCATTGAACATGTATTGGCTGGCTCGGAAGTAGTTCGCGGCGCGCAGGAGGGCGTCGCGGGCCGCAATGCAATCGCCGTGCTCTACAGCCTCCAGGGCTATAGCGTTCGCCTTCTCGGCCTGGATAAGCCAGCCCCGGTGCCAGCTCTCCGGGTCATCGCTGGTGATTTGCGTGGCTGCATCGAGGCATTCTGCGAGCTCGGCCCCCCCGAGGGCGGTTGTGCCGACTACTCGCGTGAACTCGAAGTTGAAGAAGGAGGAGGAGGGGAAAAATTGATACATGTTGGGTTTAGGACTACTTTGAGGGAATAGCGATGCGTATACGTAAATGATGGCGGTCATAATTAGTGGTTCTTGTATCGGAGACATTTTGCATCAAGTAGGGCCGGCTTGGGCAAGTCTCGGACAATGAACGGGGGCTTTCATCTTTCGTCGCTTATTTACAACCGTGGTCGGTGTCGGAAGTATTCGAATCTCGGAGGACTTTGGCTATGGGTTTGCTCTATATAATGAGACCGGAACGCGTTCCTGGTTCCTGAGTTCTTCTCTCATGCACAACTTCAAAGCCCTTGTCCATATTCCACCCTTCTCGCCAAACCCACCAAAGCCCAACATGTCTGAAACTGAATACAAAAAGGTCCTCCGTCTCGCAGGCTCCTACTACAAACTCCCCGAGGTCTCCGAGGAGGATTTTCACGCCTTCATTTCAAGCGACCACGCAGTCAAGGCCGCCAAGATCCACGAGAAATACGGGATCCTCCACTACCAATTGGTTCGTACTCATTGCCTACAAGACCCCTCAAAAGTACATGCAACAATATAACTCACGCTGCCATTCATAGGCAATCGGAAACAGCCACACTCGCGAGCTGGCTTACGGCCTGAAGCTTCCCTGGAAAATCGACGACCACGACGTCACCATCGAATACTACTTCACCGATGTGTCTGCCCTCCTCGCCGTGTCTGCGGATGAGGAATTCAAGGCTCTGCACGTCGATGCTGAGAAGTTCGTTGGCCTTGATGCGACCACCGTGGCCGTGACCTGGGTGGAGGTGTTCCTCAAGGATGGGAAGCTGGTTAACATTGGCCCGGATGGAAAGTCCCAACACCCGCCTTTTGCGGAGCGGATTGATTTCGCGTTGCCGGATAAGCCGGCCGCTAAGTATTATTAGATTTTGTACTTAGGATGGGTAGTTTTAGAGAATTTGAGGTATGGGTTATAAGTGGACATATAAACCATGACGGATTAGAGTTGTAAAGCCCTATCTCATAAGAGGGGTTTCGTTGGGTATCAAGCAATTCGAGTCAATTCTATGTTAGGCGGCTCAAGCAAGAGGAGGAAGTGAAGGTGAACTTATTACCAGGAAGCGGACAGAAAGGCTCTAAATACCAGTAGTAGGTCTAGAGAAAAGTAGCTCCATTCAAATATATAAACCCGTCTGAAGCTGATCAACAATATACACTAACTTCTTCCCCGAGACCTTCTTAGCTTTGAGCAAAGCCAGTCCCTGAGGAATATCCTCCCAGCTCTCATTCATCACACGGACCGGATGGGCTCTCAGCTCTTTATCCTGCAGCATCCGCTCCACTTCCGCAAACATCTCCCGACCCAACACTCGATGTTTGGGATCCGCCTCCCGGCCGTAGCCCCTATCGAGTGCGATCCGCTTGCCGAAGATGCTCAGCGCCAGCACCCATTCCATGGACACAGCCTTACGTGACCGTAACTCATCGGCAAACGCCTCGAGCCCGCAGTACTTGCCTCCCGCGCGACCGATACTCCTCAGGCAGAGATCAACGGTGGCCKGCTCGGTGATACAGTCCAGAACGTACCGGAGTGTGTTCTTGGTGTAGGTCCGAATCTCTTCGGCGCACCGTTCGGAGTGGTAGTCGAAGGCGACCTCCGCGCCGTAGGAGCGGACTAGATCCACATTCTCGGGCGAACAGGTTGTGATGGCGCGATAACCAGCTCTAATATTATGGTCAGTGAAATTCGACATAGGCTCAGGATAAAAAAAAAAAAAAGCACCTACCTGCGTAGAAACTGCAAAGCCATCGTCCCCGTGGCGGTACTTCCTCCGTAGACCAGCACAAACTCCTCCTTTAGCTCGGACGATGCATCGATCGACAGCCCCAGCTCGTCCCGGAGAGCCAAAGCCATTGTTGCCGGACCCGCGCCCCCGATAGCAGCCGCATTCGTAAACGACAAATGCGGGGGAATGACCGCCAGAATGTCCGCGGTGGCTCCGACGTACTCAGCAAAGGCTCCGACGGCGGGGTCGAGTGGGTTCGCCCCATGCACTCCACCGCACACGCGATCGCCAACCTTGAACCGCTCGGTCACTGCAGATCCCACGGCAACTACTGTGCCAGCGAAATCACACCCAGACACTGCGCCCGGAGTCGGGAAGTTCGCGACCATTTTGTGGTCGGTCGGGTTAAGAGCCACCGCGGCCGTGCGCACCAGCACCGTGTCCGGGGCTAAGGGGGGGAGGGGCGCGTCCCGGACGTGGCCCAGCCGGCCATTGGGCAAGCATACAATTGCGCGTTGCAGTTGGGGAATATCGATGGATTCCTCGGGTTCGTGGAGTTTGTAGCCCATTGTTTGTGTTTGGGTTTGTGGGGGTGATGGATGGGGCAGTTGCGATATTGTCGTCTCTGTCGATTAGATTAAGATGGACTAAGGCTGGGGACCATTTCTTGAAAATATAACTCATCGGAATCTTACAGTGGCCGGATATATCTTGAGGTGAGGTTTCAAGCTTACTGAGTATGTAGGATTTGATACATGGATGGCACCGATATTCCCTGCATGCAAAATGTCTCCGGTACAGAGAGGGGTCCCTCCCCAAAGATGGCCCAAAAGTCCGCGACTCCGGCCCGAATTTATTCAGCCTGTCGTACCTGACCCATGCCCTATTGATGAAGTTGTTGACTGACATTGACACGCTTTCGGTGGGAAACTAGCTTCTGCATTCGCGATACTACCGCTCAAGTGTAAGCCGACGCAAGTTTAAGTCATGGCGTCAAAAACGTTTTATGAGTTTCAGCCCCTCGACAGTGCGTATATCCGAGTTCCAAATTTCTTGATACTAACACGTACCTCCATACAGAAAAAGGCAAACCCTACCCTCTATCTACATTGAAAGGCACCGTGGTCTTAGTCGTGAACACCGCCTCAAAATGCAGTTTCACTCCCCAATACCGAGAACTCGAGCAGCTATACCAGCAAATCGACTCGAAGTACCCCAGCAAATTCGTCGTCCTCGGATTCCCTTGCAATCAGTTCGGCAACCAGGATCCAGGCACCAACGACGAGATTCAGACTTTCTGTCAGGTGAACTACGGGGTTAGCTTTCCGGTGCTTGGAAAGGTCGATGTGAATGGTCCGAATGCGGAACCCTTGTGGTCGTGGATGAAGGAGAAGCAGCCGGGGATTTTTGGCTTGACGCGCATCAAATGGAATTTTGAGAAGTTCCTCATCACTGCTGATGGACAGGTTGCGGGGCGTTGGTGGAGTATGGTGAACCCACAGTCTTTGCATAATACCATCGTTCGGGAGATCGAGGCTGGGAGTAGTTCACTTTGATGAGCACATGTTCCGGACTATGAGTGTATGGGCAATTGAAAGAGCCGGCTTCGAGTTCTCTGTGTCCGAAAGGTGCATGTTTATTCGTTGCGAGCACAGGAAGTCAGTGCCGTAGCGTTGAGCTTCGGACAAGCTTGCGCCATTGAATACGGAGACGCTTATTTCGGAGACTTTCTTCAGTACTTCCATCAAGCATCTCCGATATCGTATGATTTAAACCCTCTTTAAAGGCGCACAGCACACTCTGTTCTTGATCTTTGACTCGACTAAGGATTATATAGTACCGGGACGCCCTACTAGCTCAACAATCCCAATCGTCCCCGCCATACCCCCCCTACCCCCCAAATGGCTTCACGAGTAATCTTCGACCCCCTCATCGCCCTCCGCTTAGCTCCCCTCGTGAGCTCAACCTGCAGCCTCTGGTTTGCCTGGGACCAAAACATCTTCCTCCGAAACTTCGTCCACCCCGCCAACCGAACCGCCAGTGATCGCTCCCTACCCACCTACTTCCGAACCTTTTTTCGCAGCGGCGTGACCTGGATCCTCGTCCTCCTCGGCCTCTCGCTATCAACAGCTGGCATCAACATCGTCACGGACCGAGCCTCGCTCGCTCAGAGTCAGTCCCTGCGTTGGTACGCCGCCGGCGCCGCCTTCACAGCCGGCCATGCCTTGTACGCGCCCGTGGTCGCTCCCATCGTGCGCGCCATCTCCGAGGACCGTTCCAAGGGCCATTCCACACGCGATCTGGAGCGCTGGCTGTGGTGGAACTTGCTTCGGATGGTGACGGTGGATTTGGCGGCTTGGGTGTGTTTTGGGGTTGGAGTTATGCAGACACTTAGCCTTTAGAGACCTTTTGCACCTGGAAGTTGGAAAGCTGCAGAGTCAATCGGAATTGGCATGATTGCCTACCGCCGACCCGCCCCTAAGTAAGATATTTGAAAACAAATTCAGATGAATGAGCCCCGGAATCACCTGATGTCTTAGCTGCTGTCAAATTAATGATATCACCAGCTGCGTAGGCATTCTGATTACCCAATTAGGCGGGTAAGATAAGCTTAAGAGCATTAACAGCAGTAACTATAGGTGCTGCAGGTGCTGCAGCTGCTGTAGTAATCATATCTGCTATCCATATACTTTATTTCATGCAATATAGGTGAAAAGACACTAATATAAGCTAATTCTATACTGGACAGAACGGAGACACAGGCGACCAAGCCGTTCAACTGACAGTCTGACGCGACATGGTTTGAATATCCTTGCCGCGGTAGCCATAACACTAAACTTGGCTCTATTATATATAAAGGGTATTTCTATTAATTCTTAAATTCTGAGCTAGATCAGACCCAGAAACTTTGAGAAGTTATTCTCAGGAAGTCTTAAGCAGTCATTTAAGCAGTCATTCCTAGCTTTTATATATTACTAGCTAATCGGTACTACACTGCAAATAAACCCTAGAGCAGTCATTGTTTGACTTCTCAACCCCTGTGGGATAGTCATTTTACACCTAGCATTCGACGCCGTGTATGACGATCAAAATGCTGAATCCATTGGAAGGCAAAGAGATCGTTTAGGGCTTGCAGCTCGGCGTGGTCCGGCCAAAAAAAAGGTCAGCGTGTGTCGACCTATGAATTAATTTCAAGGTGTATGGTACCTGTTTTAGCATATATTCCTATATACTACCACCGCCCTAATTTCCTCTCCGACCACAAACATAAGGTTTGATTTTGAATAGTATCAAATTCAAATTATATACTTGCCCTAACCACCCCCTAATATCTATAAATTTATACTCATTATATGTGTAATATTAGGAAAGAGTAGTAAATTCTAATTTATTTTAATTAATTTTTTTAAATAGTATTTTATTTTATCATGTATATACTCTATAGTATGCTTACTATGGTAGAGCGAATGTATATATATTTATACTTATTTAACCTTACCTACCTATATTCTCTTCCTTTTACTACACTCTGCATATGCATAATATTAATATTACTTAGAATTTATTAATAATCTATTAATATTACGCATATAATGAGTATAAATTTATAGATATTAGGAGGTGATCAGGGTAGGTATGTAATTTGAATTTAATGCTATTCAAAATCAAACCTTTAGTAGTTGTTCGCGGTCGGAGAAGAAATTAGGGGGGTGGTGATAATAGTAAGGTAGATAGAGAGGTAATCTATGACAGAATGTTACTGACACACACTAGACCTCAGTGTGTATTGAAAGTTGAGTTAGGTTTTCCCGAACCACACTAAGCTATTTTTGACACACCTTGAGCTGTGTCCCTAATCATTTAACTATATATCCAAGAATCTGACACACCAATTATATAATCCAGCTTATCACATATGTCAAACCATCCAGCTAGGATGCACTTGCCTCCAAAGATGAGAAAAGGTGGAATATAATGACCATCTGCACTAATTGCTTCCACAACCATTACATATTCACAATTAGTCTTACTAGGAGAGAAGCAAGCCTGCCGTACAGAGAGAGATAAAGATGATCCAAGCATTCAAACATCACTGGGCTGAATGAGCTAGGCAACGACACAAGACTGGTGATACTGTGGTTTGGAGTGGTGGTACACCACACGCCAGTTTAGGGTTAGGGTTTGGAGTGTAACTGCTGATCTTCATGTTTCAGGAAGCTAAAGAGTGAAGCGGGTCGTCTTCTTTACTGGTAGCTGGTAACCACTATGTATCATATATCAGGCTATCGGTTTTACAAGTGTGCAGCATCTCATCAACATACGCAGGATCTGGAATGAGAGAGGAGAAGCTTGCGAGGGGGACTACAAGTTGCAAAGGGGCAGATAGTACTCTGTAAACAAGTCTTTGATAAACTATATCTTCGCTCCTTGACGGAATATCTAGAAACCCCTCATCTACCTTGTACCCTCGGCCGCCCCTTGGAAAATCGATGCAACAGCGTACAAAGCCTGTCCAGTATGTTGCTCAGCATGTCAGCCCGGTGTGTTCCTCCCGTCACGGTGATGTGGAGTGACTCGCCCGACGGCCTGGCCATGATCTCTACCTCTCCCGTATCATAGCCTGCCGGAAGCTCACAGAAGTTGAGCCGGCATTGGCTTCCGTTCAGACTTATAGTAGGCCGATCATCGACGGCCAGATAGTGAACAGTGAAGCCAAACCGCGTCATGCGCGGGTCCACTTCGGCATTGCCGAGTCCTGTCGTCTGATATGGCAGACCTCTCGCATACTGTTCTTGCACCACCTGTTGCGCAAGCTTGAAAGATATATCACCCTGATCGAAGGTGACTCTCACAGGCACGAAATTGACACACGGCCCTACAACTTCCTGCAAAGCATGTTCGAACACAGAGCGACCGGTGATGAGCCGGCCGAAAACGACGTCCGACGTCGCAGTCACTTCCGCAATCACGCACGCACATGCGGCTGTGAACACTGTGGCGGGTGTCATATCGCTGTGCGTCACAGAGAAGCCTACCTCCCTGGTGCAAGATGCCTTGGGAATAGCTTCGACCTGTGCAAAGGTTAACGGTCCTTGAGGTGCAGGAATCGGTGTCATCGGCACATCTTGTAAGAGCGACTGCCAGAAATGATCTGAGCTTGCCGTGTCCATCATGTTTCGGTCGATGAAGTCGGTGAATCGCGGCGAGTCGGGTAGCACTTCTCCATGAAAGGCAGAAGAAAGGCACCGTAGGAGATATTGGAGACTCATGCCGTCGTACTGAGCGTGCGAAAGCCGCAAGACCAATTTTCTCTCGCCTGCTGAAGTGGCGATGATGAAAAACTTTGTGAAGCAGGCGCCAAGTCTCGCAGGCTCTTTGAAGTCTTCCAAGCACACGCGTCTGGTCAAGTGGTTGATATCGCCATCGTGCTCCTCGATGCTGTAGCTGAGCTGTTGCTCTGGCGGCACCTTCTGCAAATATCGACCTTGATCCCAGATGAAGACAGTGCGGAGGATGTCAAATTGATCCCACAAGGCTTTGCACACGTTGAGGATTTGCGATGTCGGTATATGAGGAGGAAAGTCCAACGAACAGTAATTCCACCATTGTTTGTCTTCCCGTAATGCGGCTTCGATACACCTTGTCTGGAATGAAGTGACCGGCCTTCCGAGCATCGTCTTCGCCTGGTTACTATGAGCGACAGCTTGCGTACCGCGAAGATCAAGTGCTGCATCTTCATTGCGCCCGACGATTGCGCTATCCGAGACAGACTTTTCCACGAGTGTTGCCAAGTCACAGAGTCGCGGGTGCGTGAAGACATCCTGGACTGTAAAGGGTAGGTCTCTAATGCTTGCTTCTCGAACCAGACGCATTGCGATGATGGAGTCTCCTCCGAGCTGGAAGAAACTGTCCTCTGATCCAATTGAGTCTGGAGCAATGTGTAGGATAGAGGCCCAAATGTTTTGCAGTTGTCGTTCTAGCTGAGTGGAAGGCTTCTGCCGCTTCTGTTGCCCTGCACCCAGCGCGATTAATTGCTCAAGTGTCATAGTTTGACCGTATCTCCGCAGCTCTGTCCGGTTACGCTTGCCTGTGACCGTGGCCGGCATAACAGGCATTGGAACGTAAGCGTTCGGTATCATATACAATGGAAGATCTTCTCGAAGCCTCGGCTCAATTGCTGTTGTCATACGCTGCACGGTGGCAATGAGATCCAATTCAGAGATCGTAGCTGCGCCTGAAGGACAGATGAAGGCAACAAGAATAGGATTCTTGCTTCCGCTTGGACACAGAACGTCGACCACGACTTCCACGTCGCCGTATACGGAGAGGTGCTTCTGGAGATGGTTCTCGATGTCTCCGAGTTCGACTCGCTGACCGCGAATCTTGACTTGAGTATCTCGGCGGCCGATGAATCTCAGACTGCCATCCCAATCGTAACAGACCAGGTCTCCGGTCTTGTATACCCGTCCGGTGCGACCTTCATGTCCGTCCTCGCGCTGAAGCAGCCACGGAGGGTTTTCGATGAACGAACTGGCGGTTTTCGCGGGATCTGAAAGGTAGCCAGAACCGACGATTGGTCCTTCTATCACGAGCTCGCCAACAGCACCGATTGCGCACAGATCTGGGCTGCCATCTGCACGGACGATCCATGTGTTGGCACCGATACCTTTGCCGATCCGAGGCTCACCCATATCCGTTATTTTAAGATCTTGGATTGTGCTCACAGGTGTGCATTCAGCGGGGCCATAAGTATTCAGCATGACCCGACGGTCAGCCCATCGTTCTATATCAGCTTGCGAGACAGGTTCGCCAATCAGACTCATTGTTTGAAGTCCAGGAACAGCTGCAGGGTCAATAGTCCGAGCCACGGTTGGTGTCAAGTGAGCATAATTGGCTCGGAGATCTTGTATCGATTGGGCGATATTTCCTCGTCGATCAGATTCACTAGGGATGCACAAGCACGCTCCAGCTGTAAGCGTGTKGATCAGGTTGGACCATGCAACATCGAATGCATACGAAACAAAGTCGTAAACCAGGGAAGTGGGAACGATCCCGAGACGATGCTGTTGATGTTGGATCGCGCTGCTGAAGTTTTGATGTGTGACAAGCGCTCCTTTGGGAAGACCCGTGCTGCCGGAAGTGAATACGACGTACAGCAGATCAGAAGGTTGAACGACAGGTAGTGCGCAACCCGAATCTGGAAGCTGAGATAATTGATCCATATCAACAGTCACTACTGTTGCATCGGCAAGTCGGCTAGCTAGCTGCTCATTTACAGTCGACGATACTATCACTAAAGGTTGGACCTGCCGAGTGATCGCTAGTAGTCGCTGTTCAGGAATAGTTGTATCCAATACCACTGATGCGCCTCCTGCTTTCATGACTGCAACCTGTGCCACTGGAGTCCAGACCGACTTCTCAAAGCAGAGGGGAACGATTGTACCTCGACCTACGCCTAGACTGCATAGCCGATGGGCGAGACGAGTTGACAGGCGATCGAGTTCAACATAGGTGAGACTGCCATTCCAAGCGTTTATAGCCACCCTTGTCGGATCACTGGTTTTGACAGTCTTCCTGATCAAGTCGTGCACACACACAGCTGCTGTTTCGGGCACACTTGCATTCCACCGCCAAATTTCTTGTCGATCGTGTGGACCTGTGATACTGATATCACCTAGCTTGACATCGGACTTTGTTTTGCATAGTAAGCGGATGATGTGCCCGAATTGTCGTTGAATACGTTGCAATTGCAGTTCATTAATAACGTTCGTGTCGGCCACAAGACTCAAGGTCAGATCATCTTTCCCAAGGTCACAGCAAAGTTGCAGTGCATAATTGCTGAACGCAGCGTTAACGTCGTCGGAATTTGCCACCTTCTCGTCACCTAGAGAATGCTGGAAGAGTTCTCTAGATCTATTTGTATCGTCTGCCAGAGTCCGTGGTTGGATCAACAACAGCGTCTGGAATTGACAGGCTCTCTCGGTATCGCTGCTGATACGACGAAGGTTTTGCAGACCAATTTGCTCGAATTCCATTGACTCCACAGCTTGCTGTTGGACTCCGCGGAATAAGACTTCAAGCGGCTCTTGTTTGTTGAGAACCACGCGGACTGGAATGGTTGCAATCGTGGGGCCAACCATTTGCTCGATGCCCTGGACGGCTTGACGACCCATGACGGTGACGCCAAACAATGCCTCGTCCACCCCAGTGTACTCAGAAGTCAGTATCGACCATGCTGCTCGAACTATCGTTGATGGGGTAATGTCGCCCTTGGGCCAATCTATATTGGAGATGACGTTTGTAATGCTCTTGTCCGCCTGTGGCTCGTATGCTGGAATGGGAAGTGATGGGAATGAGGGCGCTTCGATCCTCGACAGTAGCTCCTGCCAAAATGATTCACATCGTCTCGTATTGAGATCAGCTAGATGTTTCGCAAAGATTTGAAACGGTGGCGACCGTCCAAGTGCTTCGCCTCGGTATGCTTTTTCCAATCGATTCATCACAAGAGACCGAGACCAGCCATCGTAAAGAGCATGATGCACTGTCCAAATAAAGAAGCGGCGCTTGGTTTCTCTTTCGATGATAATACTTTGCAAATTCAAGGGTAGGCCAAGTCCCATCGTCATGCTTGGATTTGTCACTTCAAGGTGGTCGAGACTGTCGCTTTCGGTCCATTGCTCAGCAATCTTGGAAACAACCTGGACAAGACCCTGGCCAGGTAAGTCGATAATGCGGGTTCTCAGGATGGGCGTAGCCTGAAGCACTTCGGTCCACGCTTGACAGAACTGATCCAAGTCAACCGAGATCTGTAGCTCCAAGGTATAGCGAGCAGTAAAAGCACCGGCACGTCTTGCCGTTATTGCTAGTAGGCCTTCTTGCATCGGTGTACATGGGAAGACGTCCTCAATATGTTCAGGTTTCATCTTGCAGAGTCGCGCTGCCTGGGCCCGAACACTTTCCTCATCCATACCACTTGGTAACAGAGAAAATGGTAATATTTCGGAATTCGCAGCCACCACTTCGCCTGCAGCTGCAGCCAAATCCTCCAACCTTGGATTCTTGAAGATGTCAGAGACTGTGAGCGACAGACCGTAGTCTCGCGCTATACCAGCCAGACTCATAGCGCTAACAGAATCGCCGCCGACTTGGAAGAAGCTGTCATCACATCCAATGTTTTCAGCATTGATGTCGAGCACTTGTGACCATAGTTGCTGAATAAGGACCTCTGTTTTGTTGACTGGTTGTCGCTTGATACCTCGCTCAGGATTAAGTGCTGAGAGCTGCTCAAGAGTATAGAGTTGACCTATCTTACGCAAAGAGCTCCGGTCGATCTTTCCAGTCGCCGTAGTAGCAACTTGAGTTACTGGGATGAAAAACTTTGGAACCATGTACGCAGGTAGTGAGCTCGTAAGCTGTTGCACCAGCCCAGGGACGACCTGGCCTGCTACAGAGCGCAGCTCATCCTGAGACAGATCTTCTGCTGAGTGAACGTGAAGGAAAGCAACAAGTGTTGGAGTTTTGCTCTCTGCCGGGATCAGCACGTCTGCGAAGCCAGAAATCCTAGCTTGTTGGGATGCGGTTGATTGTGCATTCCTGGTAAGGCTCCTGCGCATGTGACTCTCGAYGTCGTTCAGCTCGACTCGCTGCCCACGGATCTTGACCTGCGAGTCTTTCCGGCCAACAAATACTACGTTTCCGTCTGAGGTATAGCGAACAAGATCGCCAGTCTTGTAGACAAAAATTTCGGAAGCATGTCGGGTGTCGTGTTTTAGCCACGGTGGGTTGGAAACAAAGACTTTGGAAGTACTGACTGCGTCTGAAAAGTAACCTTTACTCACAATCGGCCCGTCAATCACGAGTTCACCAACGGCTCCGATAGGTGCAAGGTCGTGTGAAGAGTCTTGTGGTCGAATAATCCACAGATTCGCACCAAAGCCCTTGCCTATCACCAATGCCCCTTCACTCTCGCTTCCGATTTCGGCGCAGCTACTCAGCGGTGTGCATTCAGTAGGTCCGTAGAGATTCAGAACTTTGATCCCGAATCGCGTCCACTGATCTTTGTCAGATGTGAGCATCGCCTCTCCGACCAGTCCCACGCATTTCAGGTTTGGCACCTGGGATGGATTCAGCATTCGCGCTACTGTGGGTGTAAGATGCACATAGTTTGCCTGCAAAGCTCGCATCGACTCTGCGATTCGGTCCCGACGATTTGCCTCACTTGGAACACACAGGCAGGCACCAGCTGCCAGGGTGAATAGAAGATGCAACCAGATGCCATCCCAGCCATACGAAACGAATTCGTAAACCCGGGAGGTTTCTGTGATGCAGAGCCCTTGCTGCTGATACTTAATTGCGCTGCTGAACTGACTGTGGGAGACTACGACTCCCTTTGGCCGCCCGGTACTGCCTGACGTGAACGCGATATACAAAGGATCATCAGGTGTTACAGCTGGGAGTAGATAATTCTCTGGAGGGCTGGGCAATTGTGCCAGGCAACGGTCATCCAACAAGACTACCCTTTCGGCAGTGAGGAGGTCTGCAAGTGCCTCACAAGCTGGTGAAGAAACGATGAGCTTGGGATTGACTTGCTCAACGATGGATCGTAACCTATTTTCGGGAAGACTTGAGTCCAAAGTGACACCAGTACCACCAGCCTTGATTACAGCAATCATGGCTACCGACATCCATTTCGACTTTTCAAAAAGTATGGGAACTGTTACTCCTGGTTTGACTCCGCAGGTAACCAAATTGTAAGATAATTTAGTCGAGAGCGTTTCCAATTCGGCATATGTGAAGCCCCCGTCCCAGGCACAAATGGCTGTTGCAGATGGCTTCCGGTGCGACGTCGTTTCAAGAAGCTCCAGGACGCACTGCTTCACTGGTGTCCAGGGCTTCGAGTTCCAGCTTCCAATCTCAGCGCGATCATGGGCGCTAATAGTCTCAATATCAGCGACTCTAGATGCGCCCCGCCCTAGTGAGCATATCTGTCGTAGGATATGTTCGAACTGGAAAGCCATTCGACGCAGTTGAGTCTGATCGATGATCGTAGAGTCGGCAACAAAGTCTGCTGTTATACCGTCATCCATGAGATCGCAGACGACTTGAAGGGCATGAGTGTTGAAGGCCGTGTTCACGGTGTCTTTGTTGAGGGCCTCCTCGGCATGTATGGAGTGTTCAAACAGTTGGCGCGACGGGTCATTAGACGATGGCCCAGGCTGAACCACCAAAAGAGTTTGGAATTGACAAGCCTGTTCAGCATCGTCGCTTATTCGTCGAAGGCGCTTGAGGCCAATCTGCTCGAACGGCATAATGTCGATGGCTTGTTTCTGAATGTCGCGAAGGAGTCCGTCGATGCTCTGCTCCGCAACTAGCTTTATGCGGATTGGAACAGTCGTAATCGTTGGCCCTGTCATACGGTCGATTGCTTCAACAGGAGCTTGTCGACCAATAACTGTAGCACCAAAGAGCACCTCCCTAGCGGCGCTATATTCTCCCATGAGGATAGCCAAGGTTGCACGTAGGATTGTTGAAGCGGTGATGTTGCTTTCCCTGGGCCAATCTACACCAGTAATAGTATGTGCAAAATTCGTGTCCGCACGCAGCTGATGTGTCGTCGATGCCACTACCGGCCATGATGGTGCTTCCAAGCCTTGGAACATGTCTTCCCAAAAGGCATTTGTGGTAAGTTCATCGCTTTCCTGCACATATGAAACGAAGCTTTGGAAAGGCGGAGACGGTGCAAGAACTTGGCCATTGTAGGCTTGAGCAAGGTCCTCCATCAAAAGTGGTATCGACCAGCCGTCGTAAAGTGCGTGGTGAATGGTCCAGACAAAATACTTACGGCCTGACTCTTCGTCTTCCATGAGATCATTTTGTGTGAGTGAAGTACCGAGTCCAATGCTTCTTCCTTCTTTAGTCATTTCAATCTCGTCTAAGGTCCGAATATGGCTCCAACGAATGGACTCTTTGAGAACAACTTGTACGAGGCCATGGCCAGAAAGCTCAATAATCCTTGTCCTTAAGGTTGGATTGCTGTCGTAAACAGATTCCCAGGCCCGCTTGAAACGAGGCACTTCAGTGGAAGAACGCAACTCTACGGTGAAACGTGCAGTATAATCACCAGCACGCTTTGCAGTCTGTGCTAGTAGAGCTTCTTGTAGCGGTGTACAAGGGAACACATCCTGTACTTGCGAGGCTGTGACACCGCATAACATAGCCGCACGCTCAGATAACTCTGTAACATCTTCCTCGATAGTGAGTAGCGAGAATGGTTCGATCTTGCGGGTGAAATCTCCTTGGATCACCCTCTTGGCCGAGCTAGCCAACTCATGCAAGATTGGTTTTGTGAATATATCAGCCACTGTCAATGCCAGCCCCTGTTCCTTCGCGGTAGTGACAAGTCGCATCGCCGAGATTGAATCTCCACCAATTTGTAGAAAGCTGTCATTCGCACCAATCCGGCTCGGTTCAATTGTCAGTACAGAGGCCCAAAGTTTCTGTAGTAGGCACTCGACCTCTGTAGTGGGCGGCTGTCGCTCGCGGCCTGGAGAGCTGTAGGAGTTCAGTTCTTCAAAGGTCATAGAGGCGCCCAAGTCGCGCAGTCGTCGGCGATCTAACTTTCCTGTCGCTGTTTTGGGAATCTCATCTAGAGGAATGAATGCACTGGGTATCATGTACTTAGGCAGTCTTTTCTCCAGTGCCGCAATCCACGCGGTCCTGTGGTCCTTCATTGTGTGAGCATCGTCAACAGCACGAGAGAAGCTTGCAGTAGTCACAAAAGCGACGAGAAGTTTTTTGTCCTGGCTTTTAGGCGATATTATCTCCGATGCGAGCTGTACATTACTGTGTGCGCCAATGACATGGTACAAATTCTGTTCGACGTCTGCGAGTTCGAAGCGCTGTCCATTGAGCTTGACTTGAGCATCTTTCCGTGCTACAAAATCCAGCGTTCCATCCTCGTTGTATCTCAGGAGATCACCAGTCTTATACAAGCGGTGTTGACAGCTTTCCGGGTCGGTGTCTTTTCGTACGAGCCAACTCGGAGCATCTATGAAGGCCCTCTCGGATAACTCCTTGTTGCCGATATAACCTTCTCCAACTAGAGGGCCTTCGATCAGAGCCTCGCCTGTCGCACCTACGGCTGAAAGTTTGTCGTGATCCCGAGGATCAACCAGCCATACGTTCACGCCTGCGCCACGGCCAAGGCTAGGTGCGAGGGTAGAATTCGGATCACAAGGTGCTATCATGATTGGCGGCACACATTCTGCAGGTCCATAAACGCTAATGATGTTGTCGACTCGGCCTTTCCACCTCGATACGTCTGCAGCGGTCACTGGTTCTCCGCCCATGATTAGATGCTTCAACCCTGGAACATGTTCCGGGTCAATCAGTCGAGCAGATGAGGGGGTAATGGCAATCGAATTGGCTCGGAGCCTCTCGAATGAACCTGCTAAGTCGTTCATACGGTCATCCTCGGATGGCACACATAAACAACCTCCAGCCGTGAAGGTCCGAAGTACGTCATGCCAGAAGACGTCAAAACTGTGGGAGACAAAGTTATAGGTTCTCGAAGTAGCTGAATAGCGTAGCGCTTGTGACTGGTGCCGGATAGCGCTGCTGAAGCCTCGGTGTGTCATCACTGCCCCCTTTGGAGTCCCTGTACTACCGGAGGTGAAAACGACATAGATCGCATCTGACGGCCTTACTGTAGGTAGGGCATTGAGCTCCAGCGATGGTGAAAGCGGCTCCATGAGAGATGCGTCGACAGTCATGACTGGTGCGGATGTAAGCCTACCAGCAAGCTCTATCTGTCTTGCTGAGGCCAAGATGAGCTGAGGGGAGGCCTGAGAGACTATGGATTGCAACCGCTGTTCTGGCAAATTACAATCCAAAGTAACAGAGGCTCCACCGGCCTTCATCACACCCAAGATAGCTACAGGCGTCCACTTCGACTTTTCGAAACATAGAGGTACAAAGTTTCCCCCCTGACCTCCAATGCCTCGATCAACCAATTTGTGGGCGAGTCTCGTAGAGAAGCAATCGAGCTCCTTATACGTCAGTTCGCCGTCCCAAGCACACACAGCAGCGGCTTCGGGCTGTCGACAGATCGTACGAGAGATCAACTCGTGCATGCAACTTAAATCGCTCTCAGGGATAATTGAGTTCCATTCCCAGATGGATTTCAAGTCCTGAGGGCTTAAGAGATCGAGATCCGCAAGCCGTTTTGCGTTATTCTCTGGCATACACAGTTGACGAATCGCTTGCTCGAAAGTATAGCAAAACCTCTGGGCTTTGCCGGATGATATTATTTCAGAGTCATACGACACATGACAAAGCAGCTCATCCTCAGCCAGTGTGCATTCTATCATCAGTGCGTAAGTACTGAACGTTGCAGCTTCGTTGACTGGTTTCTCAACTGTTCCCTCTTTGCTAGACAGCTCAAATAGTGCATCTTCACCGTTATTTTGACTCTTTGGTTGTACAACAAGAAGTGTTTGGAACTGGCATGCTTGTTCAGCGTTAGCTCCAAGCAGTCGTATCCGCTGTAGGCCAAACTGTTCAACGGCAGTCAATTGAATTGCTTGTTCCTGAATTCGCTGCAAAAATTCGGCTATGGTTTCTTCTTGTTTCGAAGTGACGCGGACTGGGACCGTCGCTATCGTCGGCCCAACCACTTCCTCAATTCCCAACATATTGATCTGACGTCCCATAGAGCTGGATCCAAATAATGCCTCATCAAGGCCTGTATACTGCATTATTGCAACAGATAAGGCCGCACGTACTGCTATCGAAGCTGTAATCCCCGTTCGTGGCCACTGTACTCTTGCGATGGTATGTGTCAACATGCTGTTACTTTCAGGTTGGGAGGTTGTCGAAGATATTGAGGGGAAGGGCGGTGCATCCAGTTCATTTAAGTACTCGTTCCACGTCCGTTCTGCAGAAGCTTGCACCATGTCAATGCTTACTCGCTTGACGAAGTTTTGGAACGGGGTGATTGGAGACAGCGATTGGCCTCGATAAAGCTGCTGTGCTCGTCGAATCATTAGATCCATGGACCATCCATCGTACAATGAGTGGTGTATTGTCCAAACAAAGAACGTCCGCTGGAGCTTGTGATCTCTGATCAATTCATAACGCACGAGCGGCGTTCCAAGGCCGACACGGATGGCCTGCTCCATTTGGAGATATTCATCCAGATCGGATTCTTTGGTTTCCCACATTACTTCCTCGTCAAGCACGACTTGCACGAGGCCTTGATCCGCGATATCTAAAATGCGTGTCCGTAAAATTGGAGTGGCCACTGCCATTTGGGACCACGCATTGCGAAACCGTTCGATGTCGATTGAATCCTTCAAGGGCAGCACAAATCGCGGAACGTAGTCTCCTTTCCGGCGAGTACTCAGCGCCATCAGTCCTTCCTGCAATGGTGTACACGGGAAAGCATCTTGTATGAGATCAGGTGGAACACCACACGCAGCAGCGGCATGGCTACGTATGTGTGCGAAGCTTATCCCTGGCCGCAAAAGTGAGAAGGGAGAGATAGGTTCCGGCAGATCTGATGCTGTTGTCGGAATCTCAGTAGCTAGAGTTGCAAGGCCAGCAAGAGTGGGCTTTCGGAAGATGTCTGGAACCTCGATTGACAGGCCCCCACGCCTCGCAGCACTGACTAGCCGCATAGCAAGAATAGAATCACCACCAATCCTGAAGAAATTGTCGTCTAGACCCAGCTTCTCAGCGCTTGTCTGGAGGGTACATGCCCAAGCCGCTTGCAGACGAAGCTCAATCGCCGTTGTAGGCGCTCTCCGTCCACCTTCCTCGTAAGTGTTGCCGAGCGAGGTAAGCTCTTCCAGTGTCATAGAAGACCCAATTGCTTGCAACTTCTTCCGGTCTGTCTTACCAGTAGCACTCATGGGCATACGTTGTAGAAACACGTATGCTCCAGGGATCATGTAGGATGGAACACGCTCCTTCAGGGTGTCTGTGGCTTGGGATACACGAGCACCAAGTGCAGACTTGCCAGTGTTGTCATCAGTCACGGATGTGCTGACGAATGCTGTCAGAATTTTGTTATCGCCACCTTTTGGTAAGATCAGTGCGGCAACTACACTGAGGTCACCCTTCCGGAAAGCGAGCGCATTCCGAACGTGATGTTCAATTTCAGCAAGTTCTACACGCTGCCCTCGCACCTTCACCTGTGCGTCCTTTCTCTTAACGTATATCAATGAACCGTTTGGATTATAGCGAACCAGGTCACCAGTCTTGTACAGGCGCCCAGTTCTGCCAGAATGACCTGGCCCACCACTCAACAGCCAAGGGGGATTCTCGATGTAGGCAGCCGCTGTCTTCTCAGGCTCGCCAAGGTAACCAGCACCCACGAGTGGTCCTTCAAGCCATAATTCGCCCAAAGCACCAATGATTGCCAGCTTGTCGGGGTTCTCGGGCTGCGTCACCCAGGAGTTCAGCCCAATTCCCCAACCAATTTCATTTGCCAGCTTGGATGCCTCTGAGATGTAATCGTATGCGTGACTCTTGGGCGTACACTCGGCAGGCCCATAAGCGTTGACGGCCTCCTGTAAATTCCCCCAGCGGATAGCATCCTCAGCAAGGACTTCTTCGCCACCAAAGGTAAGGTGTCTAAGCGACGGCACTTCACTCGGTTCAATCAAACGCGTTATAGATGGAGTAAGATCGGCATATGTCACGCCGTAGCGACGTATTGATGCCGCAATATCGCCACGACGCTCCTCTTCGCTCGGCACACAGAGACAAGCTCCCACAGCTAATGTGAGTAATGCATTCAGCCACGAAACATCGAACGCATACGACACATAGTCAAAGACTCTATCCGTGGGTTGCATGCCGAGAGGTCCGCGTTGGTGGAGAATGGCAGAACTGAAATTAGAATGGGTGATCATAGCACCTTTTGGTGTCCCGGTACTTCCAGACGTAAAGACTATGTAGACCCTGTCTGATGGGTCGACAGTAGGCAAACAGGTGTTCGACTGTGTACTCATGGGCCGTGAAAAGAAAGCCTCGGGTATAATCACATTCGTGTGGTCGCCTGCCAGTCGTTCCGCCATCGCTTTGTTGGCAACCGACGATAGAAGAACTTTTCCTGAGACCTGACGAGCAATGCGCTGTAAGTGGGCTTCTGGCTGGGTGGTGTCCATAGTAACACAAGCGCCGCCTGCTTTCATTACTCCTTGAATTGAAATGGATGTCCACATGGATTTTTCGAAGCATAATGGCACTATCGTACCTCTCTCAACGCCCTGGCTGACTAGGTAGTGGGCCAAGTCGGTAGACATTCGGTCAAGCGCTCCATATGTAAGCTTACCATCCCAAGCACAGATAGCTGGGGCATCAGGCTGACTGCGGCCTGTTTGTGATATCAAGTCATGTACGCAGTCGTTGGCCCTCTGAGGGACTGTCTCATTCCAGGTCCAAACGCGCTCCAAATCGCTCGGACCTGTCCAATCGATGTCCGATAGGTTTACACCAGCATTTCTCGGATCGCAAAGTTGCCGGAGAACATGCTCGAGCTGACGTTGGAGAGAGATCGCTTCATCGCGCCCGACTATGCGGGAGTCAAATGTAAACATGCAGTCCAGACCGCATGCTAGCAATTTCAATTGGACCTTCAATGCGAAAGTGCTAAAGAGTGGCCCGTTTTGGGCATTGTCAGAGGCAGAGACATTCCCGAGAGAGCTTGGGTCGAATGGTCCATCTTTTGGATTCAGATACTCTTCCTGTAGATTAACGTCGACAAGAGTCTGAAACTCGCAAGCTCTCTCCGCATCGATGCTGATCTTGCGGATTCTTTGCAGCCCGTAATGCTCAACTGTGGCTAGCTCTGCTGCTGACCGTTGTAGTCCGCATACAAATTCCTTGACCGTCATTTTCTTGGCAAGCTCTACCCTCAATGGTATAGTTGCCATGGTAGGGCCAGTCATGCTCTCGATGCCAGCTACATTGGCCTGTCGTCCAAATGTAGTTATTCCAAAGACTGCTTCATCTGTAGCTGCGTGCTGGCCCATGAGAACGGCCCATGCCGCCCAGACCATCGGCATCGTCTGGGTGCTGGCTTCGCGTGACCACGGGAGTTCTTTGATTACGCAAGACACCGTTTGATCTGCCTTGGGACGATATTTGATGTTCGGAAGTGGAGGGTAGATTGGTGCCTCGTTACCATGCAGGTGCTGTTTCCATATCCTTTCTGCGGAAGAGACGTCCATCTCTCTAATATACTTCACAAAATTCTGGAATGGAGCCGAAGCAGCCGGTTGTTTGCCTAAGTGAACATCGTTCACCTTTTTTACAAGCAGTGGCACTGAAGAGAAATCGTAAAGCGCATGGTGCATTGTCCAGACGAAAAAGCGCTGCCTGCGTTTGTGATCACCAATAAGCGCGAATCGAGCTAGAGGAGTCCCTGTCCCTGTGGTCCGCTGACTGTCATGGCGCAGATATCCATCGAGATCGTCGGCTGTCGTCCATTCGAATGGCTCGTCTATAATGGTCTGTACCAAGCCCTCGCCGGCGAGATCAACTATGCGTGTTCTCAAGATGGGCGTCGTCGCATAGACATGTCTCCAAGTGGCTTGTAGAGCGACATCGTCGACGTCTGGGCGCAGCTGTAATGTGTATTGTGCGACATAGTAGCCTGGTAGATGCGCACTCAGAGCTAGTAGACCCTCCTGAAGCGGCGTACATGGAAAGGCGTCTTCGATCTGTGAGGACTGTACACCGCAGGCGACGGCTATTTTCTGGCATATGTCGGCAACGCTGAAATTATTGATGTTGTCCAGCAAGGAAAACCTATCTGGGCAATGCTGTATTTCGGTCCATTTTCGTCGCTCCTCTTTGTCCAAAACGTTCGAGCCTTTGGTCTTTGCCTGTTTATTCTCCGCGACATTAGTACATTGTCGCGCACCGTGACTATCTTTGAATCTATTATCGTCGAGATTCATCATGGTATTAGAGCTCTCCATTGTTTAAGACGTGTTCAATCTGGTACAGGGTACAAGGGTCAGTGGGCTGATGGGACTACTTATTCCGTATGCCAATTGATGTCGAATAATGTATTTGATCTAGCGGATCTTCAGGCATTGGTCATGGTGGTGCTAACTTGACTCATCCTTTTTTTTTTTTTGGTTCGTAGTCCGAAGCCTGTTGATGCGCTGGCTGATCCGACTTACCGTCGTCGTCCAAGCCGTCTCGAGCGGATTGTGATCATTCATAGCCTCACCTCTTTACACTGCGCGTTCCCTCTTACTATCACTGGTTGGACGTTAATCGCCGCTTCATGTGTATTACAGCGCTCCATCAACAGACGCAGGGGCTCCGAGCACCACATGACGAATTATTGCCAATTGGCCAAGCATGACAATTGTGGGCAGTGGCAACGTAGTGACGGAGGTCCAGACGTTCAAACCGAGAGGCCTATTCCTCAGTTGTTGATATCCAGTCAGCGATGTTACATTTTGCTTGGAAGTAATCGCTCATTCTGCTCTGATTTCCCTTGACGCCGGTGGATCCTTTGCGCCGGCCGCTCCTTTGCGCCGGTCGCTCCTTCGCGCTTGCGTTGCAAACCAAACTATGATAGCGTGAATCATGCAATAGCAAAATCTGTGCGACGTCGGGGGCTGTGACTGCATTAGCGTACAGAATGATTGGTAGAGCGATCTTKCGGTCCGCTATCTGGAAGGCAACAGAAGCCGAAAGCGGGCCAGTCCGTACGCTTGTCTCATGTAGGCAGCTGTTTTTGGACGGCACGGCGCCTAAGAGATCCTTCAAAGCTTAGATTAGATGGTGGCGACGTTCAGCTTGGTTCTGTTAAGCCTTCGGTAGATTAACCCTGTTAGGCTTAACTCCGCACGTAACCTCAGGACTGAGATGATTCCGTTGGAAATGATGAAAATGAACTGTATCTCGATTCTCGATGATTCTGATTTATGATTGATTGTATGGTAGATACAGACAAAAAGAAGACAGGAAGGAAATTCGTAAGTCATAAAGTTGCAAGCAAAGGCAGCGACGCTTAGTAAGCGCTGTTTGCATTGTTTGTCTCCTTCTCCGTGACAGGACTTAGCAGCAGCACGTGTGTAGGCAGACGTCGTCACCCATCGGTCATCTCTTCATCCTGCAATGTTTCACAAAGAGTACCACTGCATCTTGTGACTGTTTACTTCCATTGCCGCCAGTGACTCAGTAGGGAGATCAGCTACAACGATGGAGTTGGTGGACATCCATAGAGCGGACGACGACAACTTCCGGCTAGAATCCAAGCCGACGCAACAGGCTGGCGTTGCGCATTCAGGAAAAGAGGTTGACCCTACCAAGGAAGCAACATCCAGTCAAAACTCGCAGGATGCTCCCAGTCTCCAAGGCGTCCAGTTGATCGTTCTATTATCGTGCCTTTTCCTTGGTAATTTCACCATTGGATTTGTAGGTAGCTTGATGGTGCAGAATGAACTGCATTAGGCAAACCAACAAAGAGTACGGACAATATTGACAAGGCTTGTTGTAGGACAGCAGTTGTATTGGCACCCTTCTTGTGATTCTCACCGACCACTTTGACGCTCTTCAAGATATTGGTTGGTACCAATCAACATAGTGAGTATTGCACAAAAGCATAATGATTTAGCCTCCTCGGACTGCTGGGCTAATCGTGCTTAACAAGCTTGTTAACTTTGTGTGCGCCTATCTTGGTGATGGGCCGACTGTACACCTTCTACTCCATGAAGACACTTTACGTGCTCTCTTTCACCATCTTTATCGCCGGCTCTATCCTTACTGCTGCCGCACCAACGTCTACTGCCTTCATCCTTGGCCGCGCAGTGAGCGGCCTCGGTGCAGCAGGAATAAACTCTGGCATGTACATGTTAGTATTAAGCATGATGGATAAAGTCTGTTACTCCCACAAAAGTACCCGGCGCTGACTTATAGCGCAGCATTCTTGCACACACCGTTCCGCTAAAGATCCAACCCATCATATTCGGCATTTGCGGCGCCGTAGAGTGCGCGGCGCTCGCTTTTGGGCCATTGATCAGCGGATCAATCGCTCATGCCGACAATTGGAGGATCAACTTCTGGACTATCGTGGGTCTGGGAAGCGCTGTTGCATTAGGCGTGTCCGTCAGTATAGGTCATCTGCGCCAGAGTGCGGACGAGAAACAACTCAGTGTAACTCAGAGGTTGAAGCGTCTCGACTGGTATGGGCTGGCGACAGAGCTTCCCATGACGATCTGCTTGATCCTGAGTTTGCAATGGGCTGGTACGGCGTATGCTTGGTCGAACTGGAGAATTATCCTCCTGCTCACCGTAACCGGTGTGCTTGCCATCCTTTTTTTTGTGGTTGAGCATATCGGTGGCAGTAACAGCATGATCCCCTTGCCAATACTACGACAGCGAAATGTCGCCTTCAGCTGTGCGGTTGGCTTTTGTAATTTTGCCGCTTTGTGGATCTTTGCCAACTACGTAAGTTCCATCGAGAAGAATCTACCTCATCACTGCTGGCAAGATGCTAATGGTTCGGTAGATCCCCCTCTATTTTCAAGTAGTGCGTGGAGCAGATACCCTTCATTCGGCTTTGATGTATCTACCGACCACGCTAAGTATGTCCATCTGCGCGCTGGCCAGTGGACCTGTTACATCTACAATCGGTTATTTCAACCCAGCATTACTTTTCGGCAGCGCGCTGAGTGTGACTGGAGCAGCATTGATGGCCACATTCGAAACCCATACGCCTGCAGCACGATGGATAGCTTACCAGATCATCTACGGTATCGGCGTTGGTATGGCATTCCAGCCTCCTTTCATCGCCCTGCAAACCGTGCTTGAGAAGCCACTTGTTCCTGCAGCCTTGGTACTGCTGAACTTTGTGCAGATGCTCGGTGGCATCATCTTCCTATCCATCTCGCAGAATGTGTTCCTGGACAAGCTGACAAACAATCTTACACAAAACATCCCGAATTTTAACCCAGCCATTGCCAAGCAAAATGGCGCGACTGGTCTGAAGGGTTTGGTGCCCGTTGATTATCAACCACAGGTCATACTGGCCTATAAGTCTGCTATCATAGACGTATTCTACATCGCACTTGGTCTGGTTAGTGTTGGCCTGCTAGCTGCGCTCGGCCTTGAGTGGAGGTCAATCAAGAAGGACGATGAGAAGAAAGAGTGAACTTAAAAGAGATGTGTTGCTCTGCGCAGCTATTGGACAGTTGAGATGATTCTGCGTATTCAGGAAACCATCCCAATGTGTCTTACATAGGCGTGTCTCTGTAGCGTACTGTGCTACTTACATTCTCTCGCAAGGGTAGAGACCCCCGAGAAACATGTCGATAGTCATTGTAAATAGATCCTTGGATAAGCTCCATCGAACTCATAAAGTATTGTACCACAATCTTTCTTTTTTTAGGTTTTTCACCAAGCTGGTGGAAATTTCTTTGAGCTCGATTCATATGCTCAGAAATTGTCCTTAAGTGCAACAACTTTAACCAAATTTTACTCTAGATTCGTTCCGCAGTCATTCAAGCAGAAACTCCAGCATTACCGCTGCTATCACGGCTCCATCATGCGGCAAATTTACTCGGGACTTAGCCTCGTTGTAAGTTTCCTCCCCAAACACAGTAGGACCGCGGCGCTCTAGCAACTCATCCGCAATGCGCCCATGGTACTCCGGATGACCCTGCATACTTAGCAGACGGCCTTTCCGGTACATGATTTGCACCGGGCATCGCTCTGACCAACCCAGAAGCTCCACGTTTGCTGGACAAGCAGGCAACATGTCTCGATGCATCTGGTGAAGCGCCTAAGATGATGGATCTCTTGGTCAGTCACGGTGCTCAGTATTCAGAAGCCCTCAGCAATGGTTGTTTGTTCATGTGACGCACCAGGGAAGGCAAACCGAACAATCGTCGAGCCTTCGATGTCATTTCGATTTTTGTGACCGCAACCTCCCATCCATTCTCATTCCTCACCGGCATCACACCCAATGCTCGCCCGATGATCTGGTGCCCGAAACAGACTCCTATCACTTTCACCCTTGTTTGTTGATGCAGCAGGTTTGCAACAAAATCGACAAGTTGCAGAATCCAGTTTTCCTCTCCATCTGAGAAGCTATCGTATCCTTGTGCGTACCAACATCAGCGAAAGTATTGTAGTTTAACGCGCAAAAAACATACTTACTGCTACCCGTCAAGACAACCGCATCGATGTCGCCTAGCAAAGGATAATTCCCCAGACGAACATCATATGCGGATTCGACAATTTCAGGGCCTTCTCTGGAGCTATTTCGCTGTAGGCGTACGACACCTGCAGCGAACAATAGATGGAACAGGTTGCCAAACGATCCATATTTCCTTTTAGTCTCTCCAATCGGTTCATCGCACTCCAGTATGGCAATACGAAGCGGAGAGGACATATCTTTGGACTTGGAAACAGAAGGGTTTTCTGAAGTGTGGCTGTGAATTTTGCTGTACGAAGCTGGAAGGTGTCTGAACATCTGGCTGGGGTGGGCATCACTTTATACCTCACGGTGTAGCAGAGTCACGCACGGACGCAGCACACTATACACGACATGTTCGCGTAAGTGTTGAATGTCTAACCAGCATTTCAGCGTCATACAATATCGGCGATGGTGGCCTGAGAGGCCACAGGAACGAGCTTGCCTCTACGGATTGCTACCTTCCATTGTAGCATTATCGCCTGCTTAAGATATCGTTATGCGGCCTATTGGACGGAGCCTATAGTTTGAACGGCTACTCCATCGTCCCTCCTTTCTGGGAAAGTCACAATCATCTGATCCGCGCTATCTATTGCCTCCAAGAGTACGCTATGACAATGTTCTTTAACCACAGCATAACCAAAGACAAGCGATCAAAGTTTGCTTCCATGAGCCCAGCCGTGGGGTCATTTATCCAGCGAATCCCTGATATCCATGAACACCAAAATCAGATCGGCGAGCAGTTCAAGCGTACGCGTAGCAGGTCTCGTCTCGGATCTGTTTGAGCAACGGAAGGAGCGCTGTACCCCCTGTTMCCCGCGCAGCAACTTCACCGTCCTCGTGACTCAATTCTGCGGTAGTAAGACTATGTACTTGGCATGGCTCGCAAGCTCCCTGCCGCCTCCTCGCATTACTATTACTGTGGAGAAGGATGTAGCGATTTGTGATCTGCAGGTGTATGTCTCGGAATCTCACCAAAGCAGCGATACAAGCATTATATGAGTTGATAAGCTGTTCGTGATCTCGGTTCATCTCGACAAAGGCTCGAATATTGGCAACCTTGGCGAAGTGGATTAGGAATCGGCGGTGGGGACCAGGCATGTAGTCCCGCATGCTTGCCACAAACTCAGACTCTTCCTCGTGGACCGAATCAGTGAACCGTTTCCCTGCATGGATCTTGGTTGGGTGATGTCTGACACCCAAAGCGAGGTCAATGAGTTGGATCAGACTCGACTGGCCATTCGATCCTCCAGCAAATCGAACTGGTTGCATTGGACGTGTTCCATTATCAAAGTATACGCCATTGGGGAGTTTTGGACTTCCCCTGCTGCCGGCGAGAAACACACGGATCTTGTTGTAGAAGAAGTGTGGGTCGCAGTTGTCATACATGCGCTGTGTCAACGCGCATATATCCTGGATGCCCTCGAGAAGACATATAAGCTGAGCAGCAACCGCATTGACTTCGTTCCCTCGCGCATAACGAACTGCATCCAAGGTGGCCCTGACTAATGGACCACCCCTAGCCTCGATAGCTACCGAGACGAGGTAGAACCAGCTCTCATCGATCGCACCCGTGAAGGTTATCTGAGTTGAAAGGTTATCAATACGATAAAGCGGTTCAATGTCCTGTGCAACTGTATAATTCCACAGTACTAATCCAGCATAGGTCGCAACGGGAGGCAGTTCCAGTGACTTGCAGATCAACAAGAACGGGCTCGATACTGATTCCGGGATAATCTAGAGTATGGGTCAGTCGCAGGATTTAAATGATTTCTTCCGCATCATACCTCTGCCGGCTCTTCACCTCCCCAAATGTATGCATGGCAAATGAAGCCCAGCATCGAGTATGCTTTTCTTCGCTGCGATATTGTCTCGAGACCCTCACAGCTCAGGACCGGAAGCTCGTCAACGACGTTTCGTATTCGATTGTCCATGATCAAATTTTGTAAGTCCTGAGTAACGCGGATCCATGGCTGGTAGTATGGGTGCAAATCGGACTCGCAGGATACAACTTCGGGCAGAAACCCGGTTTTAGGCGACACATCGTACGCCTCAGGTATAGGTAGCCCAATATCAGAAGCCATTCTGGCTTATGAATGCGCTTCTGATTCTGAATAAGGGTTCGAATAGTCCGCGTATCACTCTGACTTTGTTCAGAGTTGCACGGATTCCTTCCCAGGCATTGGGAACAATCGCATATGAAAGATCTACCATGAACATACCTTAAGTCACAGCAATGCTCGACTCCGATTCATCGATAGATGTGACGTTGCCTGGCAGAAACCGCGGAGGGTGTCAGCATATTTCACAAGGACTACTGAGCGGAGTCAAAGGTGACATTCGCACGTTAGCTAAAACGAAACGGTACTAGGAGCGGCGCAGTGTCAACGCAGGGGAAAATGGGTGCTGTGTGTAAAATATTACGGTAGCTGTTATAGTGACCGCGCAAAGTATCTGACAGGGTTCCCCTCCCAGCCCCTGCCCTCGGCTGACCGTGGACGACGGGGCCCGAAGGATTCGTCCGCGCAAAGGATTCGTTGGCGCATAGGATCTGTCCGCGCAGATCATCATGTGCAACATTGCTGGCAAACGCGTGCTGGTGCCTATTGATATCCCACACGGGTAACTGCCGGGATCGAGAACAGCTCAGGGGTGCTGCATTCAGTCTTTACACCCGATCCAAGAGTCAAAGTCGCTACTAATCAATGGGCTACGAAAGCAATATAGTCGCTCAGATAGGACCAACATGCATGCTCCGCAAGGACGCGTGTCGCTCTGGTAGGAGAATATACATCAGCGCGATCATTGCTTCTTGAGAAAGATAGCCACTCATATCGGCAAAGTCCTTCAACATTCTATTCTGTGCAATCTTTTACTCCACTGAATTACCACAAGTGTGCTCACTGTGGTTATTCCCCTCTTCAGGTGCTGTCGCCCAAAAAATGAGGATTCTCATCAGCGTCGGAACCACGGCTTTTCGGGAGGTGGCTGGAGAGTCTGATCGAGTTTTCTTTTGCGATTCAGTTACAGACATTCATTCATTGCTCAGCACGCTACCTGTTGATATCTGGATATGCGGGGGCGATGAGGTCGACAGCAATCTGATGAGACAATGGCTCGGCCACAACGCTCTCTCGTCAAGGTTGATGCTAGTTCGGGACGTGCAGAACATACGACGAATACAGGATTATACCGACAGTAAGATGGTCCATATCGCTGAGTGGCCAGAGCAGGGCTTGAAAGCAATTTCGTTCTGTGAACAAGTGCTTCGTTGCGCTGAAGCACAGCATGTCCAGACTCGACGACTTACCGGAATTCAGCAGACACTGGTCAATCGCCGGGGCGTAGTGATCCTTGTTGGCGCGGGGATCATGAATCTCATCAATGCACATTATCTGGCCGCCGGTGGATACTCTGTTCAAGTCCATGACGCAGGCCCGGACCCGCGATCAACCCAGGATTGGACGAAACTAGGGACGACGCATTGTGGTGGGGATGCCAGGATGTTCACGCGCACCGAAGCGGACAACTACAATGAACAGGGTAACCAGATATATTCAAGCATGGACACAATCTTTAGGCGGACCGTAAGCACAGGCGGATGGAGTGTGAAACCACCCGACGAGTTCACATCTGCTGAACTGGACTGGGTCGAATCCTTTGAGAGCCTGCCGGGATGGTTGTCCCGGGCTTTCAAAGAGGATATATACGAAATCAACCGGCAAGCTGGGCAGCTCTGGGAAGATTTCATGCAAGTGTCACCACACCTGTTTCAGCAAGTCGGTCTACATCAGGGCATCACCCGCATGTATGTTCAGCGAGACGACCTAGAAGCGTCCATCAAGCTTAATACTGGTCTTGGTACAATGTTGGAKACTTATGAGCTTCAAGAGTTCTTGAAGGTACACCCCACCTTTGGCTCGGCCGCAGCAACAGATCAGCTGGCGGGAGGTTTTACCATCGCCGGCTTCACTCTGAACGTACATCAGTTCGTTGCGAAACTCATTGATGATCTAAGGGCCAAAGGTGCCGAGTTCCACTGGAACCACCCTATCAGTAATATAAGACGCGATACTCTCGGACGTGTACTAGGGCTTGAATCACATGAAGGCAAGCTGCTCGAAGCGGATCATTATGTCGTGAGCCCCGGAGTGTTGGGAAACAAGCTTCTCGAGGGTACAGTTTCTGGAAGTGCGATCCAAGGCGTTCTTGGTGTATGGCTACAGATCCCTAATCTTGAGCCAAAATTGAGCAACTCGATCAAGCTCCATCGACGCGGGCATGTCGTGGAAGACATCAATATCACACTGGCGAACGACCCTCACACAGGAGAAGATATACTTGTCTTCGGTGGTGGATACGGATTTGTAGGACTTGGTAGGCCTGCAGCCGACAATCCGGAACTCCAGCTTCTTTTCAGTGAGTTGGAGACTGTGGCTCGAACATATTTTCCGCAGGCATACGATTTGGCCAAACGGAATGGCTCTCTCTGGACTGGAGGCAAACAAAAATTCTGCATTCGGCCTTTCACGCCTACAGGACTAGGAGTGTTCGAGACTGTCCCGACCGTCTCAGGCGGAAGATTCATCATCACTGGTGGTAATAACACGGGCGGGTTTGCTCAGGCTCCTGCCATAGCTCGCGCAGTCCACCGGGCGTTCACCGGCGAGCACGATCCTATACATGTTCTATTTCACCCAAAGCGCGGTCGGCACAATGAAGTCTCGGGTCATGTGCGTCCTGTTTCGCAACCGCGGCTGCTCCATCGTATCGATTCATCTAGGCCGCTAAGACTACTGTTGCTTTGTTCGGACGGTCCCGAGCATGCTTACTTGCGGTATTGCCTTGAGAAAGTCGCACCATTCTTTCGGTGTATCGTGGAAACGCACACAGGTCAGATAACTCATCTGAAACGGAAAGGGCGCAACGTGGACGCATGGTATATGTGGTATCATACCATGCGTCGTCAGGCCCTCGGGCTTACACGCCAACGCCAAACTTACTTTTCTCGCCTCATGCCTTGTGGTTATACTTCTCCGCAACCTGACCTCACGGTTGAGAGTCTAAACTGCAAGGAAGTCTGGCAAGCAGTGGATGATTGGCAGCCTGATTTGACCATTGTCTCTGGAACCAAGTACATTGGTAAAAAGCTGAACGAGCGAGGTGGGCTGATGATCAACTTGCACATGGGATCATTACCTGACTACAAAGGAAACCACTGTGTCTTTTTCGCTTTGTATGACGGGGCTCTGGACAAAGTAGCTGCGACATTGCATCTTTTGACACCACAACTCGACGGCGGTGCGGTTCTGGACAGGGTGGCCCCACCGATCCTGCCAAGTGATACCGAGGAGACTCTGTACACTCGTTGCCTCCATATGGCGATGGATCGTTGCGTTGAATATGTTTCCCGACTTTCTTCGGGTGAAGAGGTTGAATTCTTCTCTCAGCCACAGGATGGTAAGATGTTCCGGCACTGCGATCGTACGCTGTGGAAGGAGATCGTACTTTGGAGCAAATTGCGATTTGGTGGTTTGCTACGCGATCGTGGGACTAGCCAGGGTGATAAGTGAGATTTGAATTGTACGGTCGTATATTGTTAGAATGTACGCCTCGTAATAAAACCACAGCATCCAACCCATGGATTTTTTAGTTGCTACAGATTAAAGAATAGCCTATCTCGAGGGGTCAGTGATTGACGAGAGGAGAACCTTATTTCTTCCGCCGCCCCGGGCGAGTGTCGGCGTGCCCGAGCTAGGAGGTAATCCACTCAGCTGATAGAAGGCAATGATTCCTCGCGCCTTTCCAGAAGAGGGGATTCGGCAGAAGAGGAGATGCGGCTAAGGCTTATCACAAACCCTCAAGGGAACCCTCGACACCTCGTGGATACGAACTCTGCCGCCGGAAATTGCGGCCTATGGAAAACTTCGAGACCCTTTGGGCTCAGAGCAGCCATGGGTAGCCCTTGGGTTTGCCAACTCGTACGGAGAGTGCCACCGAAAACTTACGGCGACCAATGCCCTAGCTTAAGGTAATCCTCATGGGGCTGTGGGTTCAGAACGTGCAGGTTGCATGCCAAAATTCGTGGTAGCACTGCAATTCATGATGGCTATTACGCAGCTAAACGCCTTATATCCCACTTAAAACTTTTCTGCTTTCCAAAGTCCGTCTAAAGCCACTAAGCAACAAAGGTATCTTTAGATATGCCGTTATATCTATTAAATTAACGATATAGCTTTGTCCAACGCGTTTAAGTATATTGGGGATCACTATTGGAAGTTCTGGGAGGGTATAGTTATATAGACTTGGCGAAAATTGTTAGTCTAGTTCTTTCTACACTTCCTGTGGGGTTAACATCCGCTTTGTAAACTCCGCAGACATTCCCTGCAAATCTCAAGCTATATCGCTCCTTTAAACGCGTTCTCATGCTGGGTTGGTCTTTCTCCTGCATGTTATGCAGGTGGGAGTGAGAGGCGCAAAGGAGCCGAAAGCGCGAAGGAGCCGTTGGCGCCACCTAGTCGATCCGAATACGGCATAGTGGTAGTGCTCTATAGGGATTGTTCAAACTTCCTGTCGCTAACACAGATGCAGCAGAACATATAAGGAGAAAACATGTTCTCGTTGTGTTAACATTTCCCAGTTTTGTTAACATTGCGCTAACAATAGAGCAATTTCAGCTACTTCTTGAGCGCTGACATTCGTTGCCCATTATGTCTCACAGCTCTGAACACTTCCAGACCGCAAGCGACTTGTGGAGAAAAGCTCAGAGTCTTAAGAACGGCAGCAGTGTAACCATTACGGGAAAGGAGCTCGATATCGCCACGGTCTTTGCAGTCTCACAAGGAGGTTGCCAGCCCTTCCTTACCGAGGACGAACCCACTTGCGCACGCATTCACGAAAGCGTGAAACAGTTGAACCACTATCTCGAGAAAGGCCGTGCTGTCTATGGTAAGGCATCACTTGCGTTTCGAAACATGAAGTAGATATACTTACACTCATCAGGAGTCACTACAGGATTCGGTGGAAGTGCAGATTCCAGGACGAACAAGGTACACAAGCTGCAGATTTCTCTACTCCAACATACGCAAAGCGGAGTCATTCTTGCATCCGACCAAGTTATAAATGATGGAATCGCCGAACATCGTTCTGAGCTGACATCGATGCCAATGTCCTGGGTCAGAGCCGCGATGTTGGTGAGATGTAACGCAACTGCTCGGGGGCATTCTGCAGTCACCATGGACGTCCTACAGGCCATCTTGAGACTGCTTCGACATGACATCGTTCCAATGGTGCCGCTGAAGGGATCTGTTTCTGCGTCTGGCGATCTGATGCCGCTTGCGTTCATGGCTGGTGCTATTGAGGGCAACCCAGATATCAAGGTTTGCCAGCGACAAGGCGAATCTCTCAAGATCCTATCTGCGGAAGCAGCTCTGGCACAACATCAAATCCCAAAGATAAGGTTTGGACCGAAAGAAGCTTTGGGTCTTGTCAATGGCACGGCCTCATCGGCTGGTCTGGCTTCTATCGTTATGTACGAGGCACACCATGTGGCAACGCTATCACAAGCATTCACAGCGTTGGCGGTTGAGGCAATGCTTGGAAACTCGGAGAGCTTCCATCCATTTATTAGCGAGGCACGACCCCACCCAGGTCAAATCGAGGTCAGCCGTAATATCTTAGCAATGCTGCAGGGCTCATACCTGGCAAAGGGCATTCGTGACAGCAAAGACTATGCCCCGGAAGGACTTGTCCAGGATCGATATGCGCTCAGGAGCACACCTCAATGGATTGGACCGCAACTGGAAGATCTGCTCTCCGCTAATAAACAGATCACCACTGAGTTGAATTCGTCGGCAGACAATCCTATCGTCGATGCTGAAGCCGAGGAGGTCTACTACGGTGCGAACTTCCAAGCCGCAGCAGTTACTTCTGCCATGGAAAAGACACGCCTCGCGGTACAGATGCTTGGAAAACTGTTCTTTGCCCAATCGACCGAACTCATCGATGCTAATCTCAACAATGGTCTGCCCGCAAATCTTTGCGCTGACAATCCCAGCCTTTCCTTCACTATGAAGGGTGTCGACGTTAACATGGCAGCGTACATGTCCGAACTTGGCTTCCTAGCCAACCCAGTTAGCAACCACGTACAATCCGCCGAGATGGGAAACCAATCGATCAATTCACTCGCCCTTTTGTCTTCCCGCATGACCAAGAAGGCTGTGGAACTAGTGTCCCTGATGGGCGCCACCTGTCTCTACGTCGGCTGTCAGGCATTGGACCTTCGAGTCATGCAAATCGAATACCTTGACGAACTGTACTCAATCTTGGAAACTGATCTGAGATCGTTTTTCGCCTCGAGCGTGGAACCGAAGGGAATCGAGTTATACAAGGTGCAACTCCGAAAGCAGCTTACATCTTGCTGGCGAGCATCTTCCCGTCTAGATAATGCAGAGCGTTTCAACGCAGTCGCTGACGGCGCTGTCCTCTCGTTGCTACGCGTCCTCAAGGACTCCAATCAAATGCCTTCTGAGCCATGGGCGCTAAGCTTGGTGCAAAACTGGAGATCGAATGTCGAAAGCAAAGCCACCGGCATTTACGAGGCCGCTTTCCGCCGGTTTTGTGCGAAGCCGACCACAGAACAGTATCTTGGAGTCGGGTCCCAAGCGCTCTACCGCATGGTCAGGAAAGAGCTCGCCGTACCATTCCATCAGGGTTTGGGTGAGCACCCAGGTTCAGAGGATACCGTCATATACGGCGAGAATGCGAGGCCAAGAAAGATCATCGGCAACTGGATTGCTACTATCTATGAAGCCATTCTCGACGGCAGGATGAATCATGCGTTGTACGATGTTCCAGATAATGTGGCTAACGGTGTGCACGTCCCGAAGACCAACGGCGTGCACAATTTCAAGGAGGATACAACAGAAACAACTTTGGTAGAATGAAGATCAACAAGATGCACAGAAACGAGATACGTACTGTTCAGGTCTACAGGGCAAGGTCGATTCTTCATTGAGAATATTCTTTTCGACCTAGACAGTCTATCAAGTGATAGCTACAATAGGATTACTCTAAAGAATAACGATTGCAGGACTCTTTTGGACTTCGACCAACTCACAAATTCCATATCGCTTTTCTCCAGTAATGCTATGATGCAAGCATCCTTGACCATTCTGTAAGCCACCGACTGCTTCTCCTCATGGAATTCAGCTGTGTTGGGGTGATGATGGCGTCGCTCTGCACGCCGCAAGATGCCAACGTTAACTCTTCGAGCTCGCTCTCCAGGCATGATGATGCCGTGAAGATCGCGCCGTGCATTCCGAGTGTGGCGGATGGAGAATGCATCAACAGATGTATCGACCCAAAGTCATCCATGACATCTGCTGCGCTGTTACACATAATCTCAGAAGTGCGAGTGGGACAATTCTGGCAACAGGGGACGAGCTCTTCAAAACCAATTGAAGAGGTGTTCCAAAGCCTTCGAAAGACAGCACTTTGAACGCGGCAAACAACCAGCCGAAATATGTGTAGCTTAGCACCACTCCATCGATCTTGTACCGCGGTCAAGTATTCATCCTCCTTCTCTTGTTCGTCACCATCGATCAGACCGCTGCCTTGACGATGCCTAAGCGAATTGCATGGCAGGCGGACAGTCATCTTTTGCCTGTACATGAGATCCTGCTGAAGAGTATGAGCAGTCTGGAGGAAGGCTTGGTCAAGATCACCGCGGCGGTACTGCTGGTACAGGACGATCGTTCTAGTCTCAAGGATTGCAAGCTGATCATGGGCACGGTATAGAACGTCTCTTCCCATCGCTTGACTGCCCAGAATAAGAAAGTAAGGCGGTACTACGCTGTTGCAGAATGCGACGTCAAGCTGATTATATTTCGGTCAGCATTGCAATGACAACAAGTCTAACAGTCTACTCACAATGATATCTCTGGCTTTTCGAAAAATCACGCGTCCAACCTTTGTCTGGACTTGCTTCAAACCGCGGGCTTGTACGAGACTGATTGCTCCCTGGATATGGATCATCCAGCTCCGACTTGATCTTCCTTCTGGCCAGTAGAACCGCTACTCCGAATCAGCAACGACTGAACGGTGATGTCAAGGTTGTGTTACTAACCTCGTATATATAAAGAAGCAATGTGACCACCAAAAAAGTATCGTCCGCAACCTGCCACCCTCCTTGTATCGCTTCGCGGATCGAAGACAACGCAGCTCCATAGATATTTGCAGCTTGCTTAGGATTCATTTGTGGGACGGCGGTGTGGAGCTTGCAGGCAGCGACAAGACCTCGAATGAGCTCGTGGTCGGCAAAGTAACGCAGAATATCGGACCACTCTCCCAAACATCTCGGGTGGTCATTGCCTTTCTTGTCGGACTTCCTTGTGTCAGATTGTCTGGGATGTTGGTCGACTGTATCCTGAGCATACTCCGTCAAAGCATTGCCAAGCTGACCGTATGCAATACCCTCCCCAATGTTACTGTCTGCTCCTCCCCTATAGCATGTCTGCGAGAGCCGGAGACACCTTCCACAGACCGGGAACCGCATATCGCAGCCTTTCTTCGCACGCCTGCTACCTTGTCAGTACAACGCTTGGCCGTGGTATTGCTTTGCCGAGGACCAACCTGCACCCGCTACATCCAGCGCTCCTTCGCCCTGACGGAGCCTCATCTTGAAATATATTCTGGGCGAACATGCCTACTGCGGTTTGTGCACTGCTCTTGCAATGATGAAACTATGATCGGATCTCCTGTGCATCAGGGGTTCCCTTGATATAGAGGGTAGTATCCTCCCACCTACACAGCAGATCAGAGTGCCCTGACTGGGAAGACCTTAGCATCCCCTATGAACTGCTTAGCGCATAGCGTCAGTGGCTTTGTGAATTAGGTCAAGATCCATTGATTGTAACCTAGCCATGCCGACAATTCCGTCTGTGTGTGTTCTCCGGGCTCTTAATTGGCTACAGCTGACTAGGATTAGTTATATAACCCGTAGTGGGAATAGTGACTTTTTAAAGCTACTATTTGGAAGGATTGACGCATTCAACCCCCAGGCAAGCTGTGCACACGCTCCTTGATGTCATGCATGTATGAGGTGGCATCATAAGGTGACAACTGTAATTAGGGGATTGTTCCAAGGCAGGTTAGTGGTGTTCATATTATCTCGGATCACTAGGGATCTTGATACTTGATGGCAACCAAGCAAGCGCCCCATATGGGGGGCCTTGCATTAACGCCTCATCACATTGCGGGCTTCATAACTGCATATTTGGAAGGATTGAAGCATTCAACCCCTGGCAAGCTGTGCACACGCTCCTTGATATCATGCATATATGAGGTGGCATCATAAGGTGACAACTGAAATTAGGGGATTGTCACAAGGCCGGTTAGCGCTGTTCATATTATCTTGGATCACCAGGGATCTTAATGCTTGATGGCAACCAAGCAAGCATCCTGAAACATACAAGCATCCTAAGACATATGCCAAGCTGCCTGGGCTGTAACAGCTATCCTTGGGGCTGAACTGAAAGCAGCACTTATCACTGGTCCACTCGGGTACCCTAAACCCATCTAGGATGTATGGTGGTAGCGCATTGGTAGCCCGTCATTGATCAGCATTGACCCTGACTACTGTCTGTTACTTAGTAGGTATGGAGGAAGACGCTATGCTGCACTAGTATAGGCGGGAATTGATCGGCATAAGTTGGCAGTGCTTCCATACGAAAGGTACCATCAGGTGGGTGATCTGCGTTTTGTCCCCAAAAGAAGCGGCGTCGCCAACCGCTTCCAGAAACGAAGATAATGGTGTTATCCCGAGGTCTACGACGCAAAAATGATGCGCTGGCTACGACTACGTTGATCCAGGTATAGCGCAGACTATGACGGACAGTGTCAACGCGAAATCACAAAGGAGGGGAAATACCCTCCGCATTGTAGTCGGAACACTGGACCAAGTTACATCGGTTATCATGTTGACTTAAGCAGCAAATAAGTATTGCGCAATCCATTACGCTCACTCATGCCGGTCAGACATTTCGAAGGATGAAACCCCAGTCTAGCACGGCTCACAGGAGCCGTACGGAGTATATAGTGCTTACAAATGCATGTGTAATCTCCGGCGTTAAGCGTCCCGGCTCTACCTAATACCGACCCTACATATGTACGTGGAGAAAAGCGCAATATTTAGATGGATGAGCTCCCTGTCTAGCGCAATAGGCGCGGGTTACAGTGCATTAGTGTGCAGCTGCAGCAAAGCCTTCCCGAGGCCTCAAGTGTCTCATTCTCATCTAGTCCTCGCGGGTCATACATAAATAGGCTTTCGGGCCGCTGCGGATTGTTTGGAGGCGAGGTGGGCCTTCCCATTCGTACCCCACTTCGCTCAGCCCTTGAGATAAGCACCTAGCCAATCACGCGACAGCCTTTGGGGAGTTGAGAGCCTAATTGGGCATGGCGGTAGGACGATTGTCTAGGTAACAAAGCGGAGTGAGAGAACTTGAGGCTGTGGCTAGATCTCTTTGGACGGGATGAGCATTCTATCCCCCTCACTGGTCGTACTGCGTATGAGCAAGTGTCCGAGTCAGGGGCAAGGATGGACCCAAGGGGGACCGGTAGAATCTCGTGGGCCAAGCGCTCATCTTACTTGGTGCCGGTTTGAAGTGCTTAGGTCGATCATTTTGGCCGCGACTGCAAGAAACTGCGGGGTAGAGAATTGAGGAATCTACCGAGCCCGCCCATTCGAGTCTGCCAATTTTAGATTCCTTTAGCTCGACGTTGCCTTTTCTCCGCAATGCGTTCGAGTTCCAATATGGGGCCGTAAGCCCGTCCTCCGGCTAGAAAAGCAGTAATCGGCTTTTGCGGCAAAACAAAAAGAATCGAATCTGCTTATACCGCTGGAACCACCTCTCGTTTTGCAGGGAATATCCGAGCAAGAGCGTTGAAAGAGTGCTGGAGCCTGGAGGAAGCAATACAGCAGCAATGGCTAATGTTGACTCGGATGACTCGTTCAAAGCGAAGATCCAGTATCTAGCCAGAGACGACCAGCACCAGCTGGTGAAACCATATTTTTGTACTTCGAGTACGACTCCGACATTGTTTCAACAAACACAACCGCCGATGACCGTTTTGTCCACATCTGTAATGCTCGGAATCTGGGCATTCCGCCGACAGAGATGTTCTTCGAGTGGGGGTTTGCTCAGCTGCGTCTTGATTGTCCTTTGACCCCTGAGGAGTATTACTATGACAAGAAAGTGGAAGAAATCCTATACCCCAAATACAAATCGAATGCCCGGTTTTTGTTCCCAAATGCTGCCCGAGTTGAAATCCTAGAACACGCAGTAAGCAAAGACCCAAAGACGGGAGGCTTCAAAAGGCTGATTGATAGGAATCCAGGTTCGCAAACGTCACCCTCTTTGGCTATCTGAGGATTTAAAACGACACGAGCTCAAGACAAACCAACCGAGTGATTATGTGCACATTGGTACGTGCTCTTAACCGTACATGTAACCTTTTGAAATTCGTACACTGATCGGTTTCATTGAATGCAGATATGACGGCCTCATCGGCTGCAAAATGCAGTATGAAGCAGTTCAACATCCACCCGAAGAGTTGTTCAAGATTCGTCGTTGTAAAGTACTTCTGTCCAGATTCCCAAAAACAGCGTGTCCAAGAGCTTACTCTGCATTTCACCAGCCTATGGAAGCCAATAAGAGGGCCAGTATACGACTTTCCGCTCACGCTTTGCGACCGCCGTACAGTAGACTACGCATCGCAGGCCACTGCAATGGATATCGTTACTCGTGATTACGTGAACGAAAATGCTCGAATATACTTTGACGAGATTTCTGCGGCTCGGCTGAAGATAAAATGGGGACTGGGTGGGTGACAGCCTCGTCGATGAAAGACATCGGAGTCAAGCGGGTGGCATACGCAAGCAGTGTCTATTCAACTGCTGAGAGAGCAGGCAGGAAGGGCACATTGCGAAACAAAGTGACAGTTTAAGGGCTGACATGGTTCATCACGTGAATAGCCTAACGCGCAATTTGGAACCAACCGCTCGAGAATTCAAATCCTAATGACCAAAGGGTACGAATTCGGGGCGCTCTTCAGCTTTGATAGTGTCCTTGAACTGGTCTCCTTCCAGTTCTCTGCTATGCTCTCTGCTGCTCAGATCGATAAGAAACCAAGCTTCAAAACCAAATGGGAAACAATATTTGCCCCGCACCTCAGTAATGCTGCTGCCGAGTCTGGATTAATATGTTGTTGTGGGCAATGGCTTGAAGCAGACAAAGTTTCTGAAGATCGATTCTTTGTTGGTTTGCTCTTCTGGAAACCACATATACAGGCGGGTAATCAGTGTCGACTCCGAGAAGCCAATGTCCACAATCTCAAGGACCATATAGCAGAGCTCATGAAAGATGCAACGAACATGGTCTCAGCCTATACAAGCCAGCTTAATCAAGTGTCTTCCAAAACTTCTGGGCTACAGCTATCAGGTCTTCTTCCAGTCTCTGTGCATTTTCAAACAAACCACCTAGTTTTTCAGACGCCTATAAGGCCTGAATACAATGTGAACGAATTTACATTCTCAGGAGGCAAGGACCGACCTCATTTAGAATATATGAGACAGGCGAGACAAACCCCTCCTCAGCGCATTGCCGGTGGACCCGCTGGTGGTTGGTGCCCCATGGAAATAATTTCCCAACATCATTTGTCCCAGCGGCAAGGCTACTCCTCAGACAGCAATATGGAAATGATCTCTTTTTGGGCTCAGATTGGAAACCCACGGGTAGATAGTCTATTCGAGGGTCTTCGAAGGAAGCTCTGGGGGCTGGGAGACTGTCCCCAGCTCTTCTGGGCCAAGGGAGAGAAAGAAGGAGATGGTGACAAGATTTCACTATTCATAGGTACGTGTGGCTTCCTCCGTGACTAGCTAGGATGTCGATGAATAATCACACGGCTGTTCTTGAAGGTCTCGGAGAATCCAAATACTGGAAGCAGGAAATTCGAGCACAAATCCAACAGTCCATTCAAGAATTCTCAGATGGGTGTGGCGATGCTATAAAGGACTTATCCCATAGAGGAATTGTCGGTCCAAGTCGATTGGATGTTCGTCCGAATATGGACATCATCATTTTTGATGTCTCGGAGAACGAAAGGGACCAACGCTCATTTGAATATGTCTTTTCCAATTACCTGGCGTACGTTTATGGTTTCTCATTGCGGAATCTTTTATTTGTTGGAAGACTGGCGACTAACATGTCAATACTCGATTGAATAGCACTACGCATCAACAGCAGATCCTCGGAGGACTCTACAGTCCTTGGTCTGCTCTGATACCACGGAGCCAAGGATGGGTCATTGACCATCATTCTTCATCGAACCAAAGCGAGCAGACCAGGACGGTGCAATTCATCTCCATTTTCAGTTGCGAAACGGAAGGGGCTCGAGAAGAGTGGTCCAGAGACTTCGCCCAACGAGCTCAAACCGAGTATGATCTTTTGGGTCATATTGTTGATTGGCTGCGGACTTTATGCAAGCATATCACTATTCAGCATCTGGTCTTGCAAAAACAAGATTTCTTGGATGATCGCAGACAAGTTGGACAAAGCGAGGCGCCCGCCATCGCCAGTCCCACCGTCTATTTTTGACCTCCACTGGACTAATCAGTCAAAAGAAACACATACATAGTTTAGTGTCCATCAAACAGATTTGCCGAGTGTACATACTATGGGCCGTGTAATATCGTGATCTGCTCTCAGCCCAACTGGTGCATCCTTCCTTCTTTATCGCGGGGCTGGGCATAGGGGGCATTTGAAAATCCAATTCAACGAATGATCTTTGACGCAATAGGTGAGGGGCAGTGAAAAATGCAGATATTGTGTGGAATAAGGTCGGATATCTGTCTTTCTCGTCTGTCAAGCAACAGGCCTTGTGAACTAGATTAACTAGTTACAGTCTCTTCAGTCCATACAGGTTGTAAAGGTGGGCGTCCCATTACTTGTCAAAGGCAAACCTATAAATAGCGATTCCGTTGTTTCTCAGCTGTTGGTTAGGTCATTTTCTTTCATGCGCAAACATATGGAGCAAAACTCAGCCCAGTAAGGCCTAGAAAATAGGACATAGGCAAAGAGAAGATTTATCAGACAGACGACCAAACAATTGACACCTTTTTATTTTTGTTCCTTAGTTGCATGCGCACATTTCCCCTTTGCAAACTTTCCAATAGGCACAGATTTATGAATTAAAATGAATTAGAAAATTAGCCTTAATAGTTTGTTCAAAATGCCAGAGTCTACTTTGTATATCCTATAGTGCAGCAATCATGCTGTGAGATTTTGAATGACAAACTGGCAGTTCTCAAATCAAATTTCCCTCTCTTTCCTCTCCTCTTATGATCTCCTTTCCACCCCTCTATCCTTTGTAGTGGTAACCTTAATCTTTGTGGGCCTTTCGTGTGATGGAGTCCTCTCATTAAGACTCATTCCTACCCGTTCCTCTACCTAACAATATTCTCATCCTCACGTGCGAATGGGATGGATTGAGGGCTGAAGCTGAACAGTTCAAAGATCACTTGGCACAAGATCTCGGAAAGAGGGTGCTGTACAGGGTAGTGGAAAGGACGTATCATGCCTGGGTAGAGTTGCATTTAGTCCGAGTTCCGGCGAGTCCAACCCCAGTTGGAACTGAACCGCTGTGATTTTGAGTCCAAATTTTAGAAATTAGAACTAAACCTAATATGTTCTGTGGTTTAAGTTTCACTACAAAATCCGCCACTAGGCCTAGATAGGTAGTCACTAACTAACTATAATTAGATTCAGTTTGGTTCGGTTTTGATTTATATAGCCTGAAAGGATTAACTTCAATGGTTTTCAGAATTCAATTTCTCCTATCTTAGGCCTATGCCTAGGGCCTATCTAGCATACTTATATAAAATTATTATTTTTATATGAAATATATGGTAATTATAGTCATTTCAATATATATCTATAATAATAATTCAATATCTATAGGGTTGAATGCATAGTGGTTAAAAGTTTTTCTTAGATATAGTGATTATCAAAGGTCAATGTGCATATATAAACCACCACCACTTTCATACCTACCAGTGACAGAAATGACTATTCCCTTATATCTCACCAACCACTAGATATTTTGAACTGATATTTCATATTTAGGTAGACTAGATACTAGGCTATCTAGCAGTAATAATATTTCTAGAGAAACACTAGAAATTAGTGATTACTAAGCAAAATGATGAGGGTTGGTTAACCTGGGCGGATAAAACCTCAAAAACCTTAACCGATGGTTTTAACTGAACTCGAACCAGTTCCCCCCTAGGGAAACCGAAACTGGTGCAATTCCCTAGGCTAGGGACCGAACCCAAACCGCTGCGAGTTGGGTGAGGGTTGGTTTCGATTTTAGCGGTTCGCTTATGCAACTCGAGGTCGAAGTTATGCTGCTGGTGGTCAACTACCCTGCACAGACGACATCACCAGAAAGCGGATGGGATAAGTCCTACTCTCCATTACCCCATTTTATTCCACCCGATGACCGAGGCCAGTCCTCAGATTCCAAGCAAATTTCATGTGCAACGGCATTGTTCTCGGCCTGAGGTTCAGCCATACCGTTCTAGACAGAACGGGAGCTGGCACGCTCCTCAAGGTGTTTGCCCTATGCTGCCGGGGACTACCTGCAGCCGAGTTGCCAACAAATGCCGAGAAAGAAAATGCGTCGAGGGACATGATTCTCCATGCGACGCTTCCGGACAATAGACGAAGAGACCACGATGAGGAATATACCATCGACCCGCTGGCATTTGAGATGCTCGTTGATGTCAGGACACGCGACTCGTCTTTGCATCTGAGAAGATCAGGGCTCTTAAGGAAACATGCAGCGCTATTCTGCACGAGCGGGGTATCGACCCCATGTGGGTCTCGAGCAATGATGTCTTCACTGCGTTCCTCGCAGTGTCTATCAGCCAGGCCCAGATTAGTATGAACCGCCCGCCTAAAGAATCAGACATCGTGATGGCGGTCAATCTCCGCAACAAGCTTCAGCCCTCTGTCCCTGGAGGCTACCTCGAGAACATGGTTACCGTCATGCGCACCGGGTTCAATCCCCGACTCTGCCATTGCAACCAAGTCGATGACGAGCGAAAATCGCGCATTGCACAGCTTGCATTAAAAGTTCGAGCGCGGCTGACATCCTGTGACGATGATCATGTCCGTAGCCTGATTTTGTACGTCAAGGACCAGAATGACTGGAGCACAGTAAATATGAAGTTCTCAGGTATGATGAGTATCGCGAGCTGGCGACATTTGAAAGCGTGCGGCCTTGATTTTGGATCAGGGTTCGGTTCAGTTAGATTCGATGTGCCGACCGTTGGGGCACCAGATGGACTGTGTATCTTTATGCCACGGCAGGCAAAAGCTGAATCCGACAGCCTTCACGATGTCCCGTGGGATAGATATCTCTCATTGGATTCGGCAGTCATGGATGCTCTCATCCAGGACCCTTTCTTTCGTTCGGCGTTGGCGGAGATCTAGATGTGCATGCAGACACATATGTGCGTGTACACATTGTGCTACCTGCAGTAGATAATTTGACTTCATTTTATGGGAATTTGATAGTCGTAGAGTCTGTCCAGTGCAAATAACATACAAAGGGTCAAAAGTAGAGCAAGGTACCGGATCTTTATGTCAGCTAGTGCTCCAGACAGCTGTGATTCAAACGAGCACTTTGCAGGAATCCAATTCTCGGACTACGCTAACAAAACCAACTACAAGGTAAAACTGATTGACATTGAACTACCCACAGAGGGCTAAAGAATCGCTTGCAACTCCCGGGGTGGCAACAAGCCTACCTTGCGTATGAAAGATACATAACTCCTGCGCTATCATATCTTGTAGCATCATGCAAGGTAAATCTGCAGCCCACCGGCAGCTTCACCGCGAACGAAGCAACACAAGCTCGATAGTCCCTTGAATCCGAGATTACCCTGGTTGGGTTGTCTAGGAGACCGTCCGCAGCTTGTTATAGTCCACAACCCCCTACCTTTGGAGCGGCAAATTCCCTTGAGTCTAACCTTCTAGCAGGCCGGAATGGCCATCACCAAGACAAAAGTTATCGCTATTGGAGCAGGAGGCCTTTTAGGCCCCCACATTGTCGCCGCACTCGATGCGGACACTCGTTTTGCTGTGTCCATTTTCCCCAACCATTTGACGGTACACCGGACGGCGGATTCCTATCCGGCAGCCGAACTGCTGAGAGCATTCAAAGGGCAAGATGTTGTGGTGTCGACCATCACCGCTCGAGATGACAGCACCCAGCAGCAGAAAGCGTTCATCGATACGGCGGTCAACGCAGGTGTCAGACGCTTTGTCCCGTCGGAGTTTGTTCCCAGCAGGAGAAACAACAAGGCCCGGAAACTGTTACCCCAGTTTGTAACGCCGAAGTTGGAGACGGTGGATTACTTGAGGAGCAAGGAACAGGATGGGCTGGAATGGACAGCGTTCGTGACGGGGATGTTCATCGACCCTTAAGTATCCAAATCTTCACGAACGGAATTTTCGTGACGCTAAACCGCCGACCAGAGTCATGGGTCCCTTCCTGGGTTACCATTTATCTGAACAGCGCGCTACCTTGCTGAATGACGGTTCCGATCGCTGGTCAGGTACTACATGCAGCACAATCAGTCTGGCGGTCAGGAATGCACTGCTCCTCCCCCAGCCCACAAGAAATAAACGGCTGTTTATTGACTCAGTGACGGTCACCCAGCGCGGAATTCTTGCTGCTCTTGAAAGTGCCACGGGTAGACAATGGAAGGTTACGTACGTGGATGCGGAGGAGGAAAAAACCCGCGCCGTCCACGATGTTTGGAGTACGAGAAAAGCGTCAACAAGCTTCTTTCTCTACCAACGGAGACTTTGGATCACACCGTGGGGAAGGTCCTCAGCAGGACAGAATGATGAGAGAGCTGGTCGAGAGAGGCACTTATTGGCTACCTGCTTTCCAACCCCATCCCGTAGACGTCTAATGAGAGGCTCTCAGTCTATCCTGTGCTCCAGGGATAACATAATTACATTGAAATCATATGGATACTTTTACCTCATGTGCTTTACCTATGTACACCACCAGATTTGCAGGTCGGAAGGACTAATGGAAACAAGGCTAAGAAATCTTCGCGCTGGAGTAGTCATACACTTCCGCAGGCTTTGCATATTTTCTTATGCATGCCCTTTATTCATTGTTGGACGCAAGGCCGTACTGATGGCTTTTGTAAGGGATCTTTGGTATTCCAGGGGGGACTAGGTCCGTAGTCCGAAGTTAAACAAACAGTGGGACCTCCATTGGCATCCCTTTATGGGGATTCAACGAATCAATGCCTGCTGATATATGGCTTTCTGTGACAGGCTTCCGAGTAAAAAAGATCAACATGTCTCTATAAGCCTCCCTCGCGCTATCAACCGCATAAACCGGAGACAGACTATGCTTCAGCTCATGGTCTACAATCAGAATTGTATCCAAGAAGTGCCGATGTTGTGCATTGCCTCTAATCAACTCCGGCCTCGACTCATTTAGCCTGATTCCGGTAGTCTCACGCAGGTCATGCAGAAAGGTCGCCGCGCTATTCGGCGCCATATTATCGCTTTTCAAAAAGGTTGTCATGGTATGGTCAACTCCATCTGCATGTACTCCTTCAAGCGCTGGCTCGCCTAGCAATGCGGGGGTGGTAACTGTGCGCAGCGCAAAGAGCGTACACACCCATTTATGTTGACCGTAGTCCAGCCTCGGACGCATCTTTGTCATAACTCCATGGAACATGATGGCCTTGAAAACGAGGAGCGCTTGGAACACTGTGTTAAGCTGGATGTCATCGCCTATCTCGTCGAAGACACGCATCATGTCGGAGTCATGCCGTACAAAGTCTTCTTCCGCGGAGAGCGCGAAGGGCTGGAATTCCAAGCGGCGGACAGAGCGGGTGCTAAGGTCGAAGCAGAATCGTCCGTTGCGGGATTTTCGAAAGGGCAGCGTTGGATCACCGACATTGATGTCGTTTACGTCTTGTAGCGCACGGAAATCCTCCTCTCGTGCGCCAAGGTGTTTCAGGATCGAGGCCATTACGTGCCCTTCGATGAAGATCGTGCGGTCTTTAATATACCTTTGTCGTAGTCTCATGATCCGCGAAATACCCTTATAGAAATCTGGGTTGAGTGTATATGCATTGATATTTAGCTGCGGTTTTGATACGGCAACCGTGTTCTGCGTGCTGTAGCATTGCCGACTGTATTTGGGGACACCGATGACGCGGGCGCAGGTCAAGAAACGGTTGTGATGCCTGCGTGAGGTAAGGAAACTTGATAATATTGGTTTTTTGGCGACACGGGAAAATAGGCGGTTGCTCGACAGATGCAGAGTAGCCTGATTATAGGCAACAATAGCTGATAACAGCATTCTATGAAGATAATAGGGGGCTTGATAAAAGGGATCTGGACTGCTAGTAATGAACAAGCTCGAAGTCGGAGTGAGGAAACTTGCGTAGACCAGCAGCTAAGATTATCAGCAAGTATCTTCAGACTTCATTTATTTGATCCTCCGAGTTCAGCTTCCACCCAATTCCTATACGCGCTGCAACCTGCAGCTTACAGAAGCTACAGCAAACCGACAAATACTCTCCATGCTGTATCAGGCCGCCATGCATGTCCCTTCACTTTGCATTAGTCTGGAGTGTGGCGCACCAGAATTGGGGACTCTCATTTTTGAGCAAGAGTGCCCGGGACGCAAGACTAGAAGAACAACCCTATATACTTGGAGCAATGATAGATTGGGATCTCATGCAGTAGCCGCCTGCGAGTACAGGGGAGCATCCCGGCCATTCCAGGCGATTCGCTACGCCCCCGAACTCATGCATAAACCAGAGCTGCTCAGTCACATCTCTCACGTCCAGTTAGCTGGCCAAGATCATGCTAAAACAGGCGCACACTGCAAGGAACAAATAGTCTACGTGACCTTGGAATATATGTGAAAGGCACGGCTAAGATGGGACTAACTGCAGCCCAGGAAGGGCCCTCCGGGTCAGATCCCGCACGAATTGGAACGACTACATGGAATGACGCAAGAATGTTGGAGAACCCCGTGATAGCACAGAGAACACATCATGCCGCGCGGTGGGTGATTTAGCTGTGGTTACTGCTTTTTCAGTGTGGCTGTATGCCGTTTTTCCTTTTTTCGACATTTCAGGACGATGGGATTCAGGCGCTCGGTTATCATGTTCCTTCATGGCGAATCGCCTGCATGAGTAATGGCTTGGGATAGAACTTTGATCGGTTGATTGACTATTGATTGATTGATCGGCCAGGCCATACATTTTCTACCTTTACACTAGAGTGCTTGGTGATGTCGAAGATGGTGGGGCCACCATAATATCTTCCAATCCCGCCTGGATTGCCCCCCCAGCCATCGCGATCTCATATTCAATGTCTGGCTGTGCCTCTTCGTATAACCAATTTCGCTCTCCTGCCATGTCACTGTTTCTCCTCGCTAGACTGTCAGGAATGATGTGCTTGTTCAATGTGGGGTTGCCTGCACAGGCAGACTCCACCCGCAACTGGATATCACAGCTCCGATCTACCAGCCCCAAAAGGAACGAGGCCTCGTCAACCGTCGAGCCCACTGTGATAAGACCATGGTTGAGCAAGATGGCAGCCTTCCCTTTGCTTCCCAGCATCGCCGCGATCTGTCGACCTTCTTCCTCCGCAGTGACAATTCCGCCGTAATCATTGCTTGCCACTAGTGCCCCGTACAGGGTACAAACATCCTGTGTAATCATGTCCAATGGTCGTCCAAACGCTGCCCATGCGCGCCCAGCAACTGTGTGTGCATGACAGATAGCATGCACGTCTGGCCTAGCTTTGTGGATCTCGGAGTGGATGAAGAAACCAGGTGAGTTTGCAGGTCTAGTCTACCAGGAGCAGAACCAGCTCATGAGCATCATGGTAATGCCAATCGGAGGGTTCAAACGGTGGCAACTTACTTTATTCCCACCAACAATTGCTCCATTTGCAATACTGATACAGAGCATGTCGTTGGCATTCATCAACCCGAAATGCTTCCCAATAGGGTTCATCCAGATGTATTCTGGAAACTCTGGGTCTCGGACGCTGATGTGCCCAGAGATGCCCTCTATGAAGCCGACACGCGCCCAGTTCCGGAATACGGCAGCCATATGTATCAAGATGTGTCTGCGGTGCTCGTTGATGGATTTAAATTGGGGGATGCCTGTAGTAACTATCAGTGTCCTCGAGATATTTTTCCATTTCCTTTTCCCCTGTAACTTCCTTGTAGTAGACGAGGTATGAGAGACTAACTACCTTTGAGAGGATTGGGACCATGGCTCAAATGATGAAGATGGCATTGCTCCGGATCGTGGTGCGCCAGGATTGAGGATGAGTCCGATGTGCTCGGTAGGGGGCGTTGCTCATGAGACATCCCTGTTTTCGAGCACATCATTGCTGTCTGCATGAAAGTTGTAGAAAGCGGACATGGCATGAAAAATTCGGCCTTCTACAGCGACAAGAAGACTTATAGACCAAGAGGGAGCTAAATCATACGATTTGGAAGACATGATTCTTGGAAAAAAGAGCAAGCCCACATCACTATCTGACCGATCATTTTTCTGCCGATCTGTTGGCAGTAATAACTCGTATAGGTCGAATAGAATGCATTGAAGCCCTTGCAGACAGCGCCATCTCTGCCAACTCGTCCTGCGTGGGGCTACTTATGCAAGACTTATTTTTGAGATTGGAAACGATACATCAACTGAGTGCGATGCAGACAGGGGTTGTTGCAGCTTGACCGCGATTTCAAAGATAGAAACCTCTCTAACATAGCCAGCTGATGGCGGATCACCAGGGTTCCCTGCGGACAGTAGACAATGACCTGCAGATATGTTCAGATAGGCGCCCCAGTTTGATCTTTGCATTACAAATCTCTGTCACCGTAAGCCAATTATCGGTGGTGCCGAGGCTGCCAGTCGGACAGGTCACATCGCATGGTTTTGACAGGAAGTACGATACTACATGACTGTCCCAAGAAAAAGATGCAATGGTGTCTGATCAAATTAGACGCCAGAGTACATGACGTGGCCGGGGCGTTGACCGCCATGCTTCCATCACGTCACGTAGCCGACGAACTTGTCATGCTTCCATCTGCCCTTTGCCCTTCGACGTCGAGCAGGGTTGTTGGATGATTGGGAGTTCATGTGCTTCCTCTTGGGAAATGGTTTCCGCACTTACCATTACTAGGATCTTCACCACTAGAACTAAGGGTTTGGCTGTTGTCACTCCTCAAGAATAGTACAGCAATCCCTTGACTCTTTGGGCATTTGGGGATGGGTTCAGACCTTGATGAGAGGAGCTGGCTGCCTGGCGAGCCATGGCTATGGAGATCAGGAGAAAAATGCAACTAACAGACGCACGTAGTCGTACAGATTTTGGGGAGACAGCAAGTTACTCTGCGCACGAGGGTCCGAGTAAAGGGGAGGAATCCTTTATTCACCAACTTAAATTTACACTAACAACATCGTCCCACGTTTACCAAGATGTAATATTGTCACAGTAACCGGGAGCTCACGCGACTTTAACATTGATATAGTCCTACCAGCCCACCCCTTTCTGCCTTTGTCAAGATGAAAGAATACTGTCACGCATAACAAAATTCCTATAGGCTCAACGGAATAGGCATGCCCGGTCCAAACTGATTTTTCGGGTCCCATTGCTGCTTCAACTCCACTAGTCGAGGCAAGTTCCAAGCTCCATACCACACTTCCGGACCTTCATCGCCGTATGCCTCATTCACGTAGCTGTGGTGATTCTCGAATCCCATGGCGGACTGGATCTCTGCTCGCGATGGCTGAATGAAGTCATCCAGAGTGCTCGCATATTTGGGATCGTCAATATAGTTGACGAAGACCCTAAATTGATCGGTTTAGCTGTGCTCCTCATCACTGTTCACCGAGGGGGGATCTTACATCTGAATCTTGGTGTCTCTCCAAGGGAAAACACCCCTCTCCTCCTCAGGGACTGCCATGACAGTTGTCTCGGAGTGTCGTTCAATCATCAGCAGCCCTTTGAACCAGTCGTGCTCTGCCGCAAAAGTGCTCCAGTTGGTGAACGCTGCGACCATGGTGTCCACGTCGGTATGCTTGAGTCCCATCGAGTACATGTTTGAGTTCCAGCCCCGGTTGCACATAATGGCTGTCTCTTCACCGTATGTGTTCCAGGTGGTATTTTTCCAGAAGGTGACTTCCGGGTCCAAAGCCATAATCTTGTCCAGGTGGGGGGCGGCATCGGCATCGTCACCGAACACTAAGAGACGAACATGGAGCTCGGGCTACGAAAGCCTTAGCACACCAATGGCCAGGGGGGCGCTGAGGGGAACGTACCTGTTTAGTAGTGTGGTTGAAATCACCGAGAATACCCCAGAAAACACCCGGCGACAGGTGTTCGTCCACCGACTTCAAGAGCTCAAAGGCCGACGCGTTTCGGGGGTTCGGGATCACGAAATCGCCAAACACACTCGACCCTCCGCTGGTCTGATCATGCATCTTAAATGTGGCGGAAGTAACGATGCCAAAGTTGTGCCCCGCCCCACGGATTGCCCAGAAGAGGCCTGGGTTCTCGGTGGCTGAGGCCGTGACCAGCTCTCCCGTAGCAGTGACGACGTGGGCCGAGACGAGGGAATCGGCCAGGATACCGCGAACGCTGTACAGGGTTCCAAGACCACCACCGATCATGGTTCCAAGGGTGCTGATGCACCGATCCGTGCTGAGCGCTGGTTGTAGTTCCTGGTTCAGTAGGTGGTCCTAGTTATGAGCAGTGGAGAACGGTCTTACGGAGCTCTTTTTTAACATTGTAAAGCATATCATAGACCTGGCTATTCAGAACACCAGGACCGATGGTTATGGTGTTCTTCCCATAGTCCAAACATGCGTTTTTCAGTTGGCTGAGGTCGATGTTTACCGCGTTCTTGACCGTGGTATAACCTGGCTTGACGCTGTGACCAGACCCGGTAGCCAGGAACGGGATCTCGTGCTCATTGGCGGCTTTGATCTGGGAGATTGCCCGTCAGCATGTCGATTGCCGTTCAGAAGGATGGAAAGCAGCATACAATATTCTGGATATCTTCCTCAGTGGCAGGCTGAATGGCAGCGATGTAGGATGGGTCAAACAGGTTGGACCATCTCTCGGTCATGTTAAAGTATGCCGGGTCGCCTGGGAGGTAGAGCCGAGCCCCCGGAGACAATACCGGATCAAAGATCGCCTTGAAGTCTGCTGGGCCGTCATCGCGGGGGGTGATTGTGGCCGCTGACGCGACCAAATTGGTCAATGTCGCCAACAGAGGGACAATATAGAATATCATCATGCACAGCTTTTGGACTTTGCTCGCTCTAACTTTCACCAAAAGAGATGGATTTTTCACGGCACGATGAAGAATATAAGAAAAAAAAAAAAAAAAAAAAAAAAAAAATTCATTGAAATGAGACGAGAAGCAATTTGTTCTGTCCAACGATGTGCGTACTAAGTGCGTCCCCTTTCATTTTCTCAACACTCGACCGCGGAGGAATGCCCCCCGCTCAGCTCGCCTCGCAGGACCCTGACACAGGAATCAATTGGATATCTAGTTTGACAGGCTAGTGGCTAGCTGAATTTTAAGACATGAGAGATCAACACTCGACAGTTACACAGGCCAAGCTGGTATGCACAGTCTGCAGGAAGCATCTTCAATAGTTCTTACGACCAGCTCTTACCTTGCATCATCACGATTTCTGCAGCTACCATATTGGATTGAGGTATTTTCCCACGATCCCAAATGCCCCCACCAGGTGGCAAACAATAATATGTTTTTATCCTGATCAGCTGCATCGTGGAATCACAAGGGTTGCAGGCGAGCTGATCCCCGAAAGACGCAGATGGCCGGGTCAATAGCAAAGTGGAGCATACTGCTTGTATTTTTCAGTTGCTACTTGTATCTTCGATCGAGGTCGGTTCTCGCTGATCAACCGGATGTGTACTTGGACTGTCATTGGGCCTGGGTGGAAATGCTCACGATCGAAAAAAGATCGCTGATTACAGTGGAGAGGTGTTACTATGTACTGTTTCTGAACAGTGGCTTTCTCAATGCATACAGTGCTTCCCATGATTCTGTCTCTTTACTCGCCTCGATAATCCTGTTCTTCGTGGTTCGACTGGGTTCACTTCAAGAGATTATGACATATGGTATATGGTGTCCATTACAGGCATTAAAAGCATAGACATTCAGAGAGGACCACCACAGTATAGAGAAGACAGAATGAAGCGCACAAAAAATCAAAATGTAACATCGGCCAGCCTCATACTTGGGTTAGCAGCAAACTGCTCAATAATACTGCAAATCCCGCTCGACAACGCCGTAGCCTGGGCTTGAGGCAGCACTCGACTGTTGGCACACACCTGCACCTCCAGACGGTCCGGATGCGGTTCCGTAAACACCCACACCTCTTCCAATGGATCAAAGACTGCGAATCTCGAGAAGCAGACGTCAAGGAGATCATCCGCATCTTCACCATGGGCATCAGCTTTGCTCACGCCATTGCTGACCGATCCGCGCAATGGAAGTCGGTAACTCAGGTCAATGTTCTGATGTTGTACGATGAAGCTTAGCGGCATTTCCGCAGGCCAGCTCGTACTTTGTTGGAAGATATCGCGAAGCTCCACATGCTCATGAGCGAGTGCACGGATGTATTGGCTTTGGGCATGGTTCATGAGATCCAAAACTGTCCACTCAGCAAAAGATTCGGGGAAGGTGATCCGCAGGGGAATAAAATTGAGGCAACATCCCAGCATGGATTCGATGTTGTTCATGGGAAGATTACGACCGTTGACTGTGTGTCCGAAAACGACGTCTCTTGATCTGAGGTGATGCGCGAGGAAGAAGGCGCTCGCGGATTTGACAAGTGTAGCCATGGTGACGCCGGCGGGCAGCGATGGCGGAGGCGAAATGCCCTTGAAAGTCCACAAAGTCTGGTGCGACTGCCCAGCACAGAGAGTAAGTGGCGGTGGTGGGAACGGCGTAGCCATCGTCGCGTCTTTCAGATATTCACGCCAAAATTGGAAGGTTGGATCCTGATATTTGGCTTCTTCAGAAGGCGCCGTGCGATGGTAGATGTACTGAGAAAAGTCCGACGTAGGTGGCAAGGCGATTTGGTTGTAGAGAGCAGCAAAATCACCAAATAAGTTAGGAATGGAAACTCCATCCCATTGCGCATGCGAGATCTGAATCGTAAGAACCACTTGCTGGGGCGCTGAGATGAGAGAGAACTTGACAGGCAACGAACCCTCCATATCGTTCAGCTGGGGGAGTTCAATACTCTCCCAGAGAACTCGACAGAGATCCAATGGCTCCTGTCCATCCGCACAATGGTACTCGCGGATCTCAGCGTCAACATTGCCCAGGACCATCTGCATGAGACGTCCCTCGTACTGCACGAAACTGGTACGAAGGATGCTATAGCGGTCGAGCAGAGCTTGACAGGCGGCGCGAAGGCGATCCATGTTCACTGAGCCGCCCTTAATGGTCCAGTTGTACGAGTGATATGTTTTTCGCTCAATGAAGAAGAATTGTGCCTGCGTCGCGGGCAGGAAATCTTCCAAGGTACTGTTCCTGGGGATGCGGCCCTTGGCACACATTTGCGCATGCAATGACTGTCCATTATCGACAGAGGCCAACGAGAATGGCCTGCTCAAGGCTCTACTCTTACTAGAGCGGCTGTTGCCATTGACCAGTTTGGGAACGGCCTCCCTCGCGAGATCTGCGAGGATGGGATGGGCAAAAATATCGGCAACAGTGAAACTCAGACCCGCAGCACGACCAAGAGCAGCCGCCTTCATGGCATCAATAGAGTGACCGCCACGGAGGAAAAAGTTGTCGTTCGGGCTGATAGTGTCGACTGGCAGATCGAGCACCTGAGCCCAGATGTCTGCTACTGTACGTTCCGCTGGTGTCGATGGGGGATCACTGTTGGACGCTTGGGCCGAAGCAGACGACCAGGAGAGGGCGCGATATCCCTGCAGCTGATCCAAAGGCATGGATGCCACAAGATTGTGGAGGCGAATGCGGTCCACTTTACCGGAATGTGTGCGAGGCATCTGCCGGAGAGGGAGAAAGATGGCTGGCACCATGAATTCAGGAACCGCCTGACGCAGTCTGACCTCCACCGCAGCGACCTGGGAAGCGAACTCCTTGCTAGCAACTGCGAATGTATCGTTCAGTGAAGTAGAACACTCTTCCTCGCTGCTAATTTGATCTTCTGGCTGTAGAACCAAGGCGACAAGTTGCGATTTAGTGGTGCCCGCTGGTGCAATCATCTCAGCCACGGCATCTCGAGCAGCGCCCCCAAAGCATCGAAGCACATGGACCTCGACTTCGGCCAGCTCCAGGCGTTGCCCGCGAAGTTTAATTTGTCTGTCCTTGCGGCCAATAACCGTCAGCGATCCATCAGGGTTGGAACGGACTAAGTCTCCAGTCTTATAAAGACGACCGGCTGTCTGCTGCGCAGGACGCAGAGCTCGCAGCCATGAGGGGGTGTTGATAAAGGCCTGTGTAGTCTTCTCAGGCTGGTTAATGTAGCCCTTGCCAACAATTGGGCCTTCAATCAGCAGTTCACCAGTGGCGCCGTGAGGGACCAGGCGATTGTGATCATGTGGATCAACTACCCAGAGCACACACCCAATGGGATATCCCACGTTCCGGGGATCGCTGGTGGGAGATATTGAGGATTGAACGACAGATAGTGCGGAGCATTCAGCGGGCCCGTAGCCATTGATAAGTGTTACAAGAGGCGCCCAAGTGGAGACATCGGTCTCAGTCATGCATTCGCCGGCCAACATAAGGCTATTGATAGTGGGCAGATCCTCAGGACCAAACAGGCGGGCGACAGAGGGAACCAGCATAGCAAAGTTGGCTTTAAGTGCAAGGGCCACTTCGCCGAAGTTGTTTTTGCGCTGTTCGTCGGTCACCACACAGACACAAGCCCCGGCCATGAGAACACTTAGCTGCTCGAGGATGCTCATGTCGAATGCGTAGGAGGAGAACTGTGTCACACGCGAATGTCGTGTGAGCTGCCAGGCTGCGATGTGATCGCGAGCATCACTACAGTAAGAGCCATGTCCGACCACTAATCCTTTAGGTTTGCCCGTGGATCCTGACGTGAACACAACATACAGCGAGTGATGCGGCTCAACCACGGGAAGGGAGACCTCCTCGCTCTGCTGAGTCCGCTGGGCCCATGCCAAATCGTCTGTACCTAGCAGAACAACTGTCGGTGCAAGCTCTCTGCTATCGGCCACATGGGTCGGCGAGGTCACCACGATGCGGGCATGGACCTCATCGCAAATCTCCTTTCGGCGTTGCTGAGGATACGACGTCTCCAGCAGTAACAGAGTTCCACCGGCCTTGAGCACTCCCACCATGGCGACGGGAGTCCAGCGAGACTTCTCCAGGCAGATGGGGACCACCTCATTGGGCGCAATACCTCCACATTCGTTGGTGAGATACCGTGCCAGACGGGTCGAAAGCTCATCTAGTTCGCGATAGCTGAGCGATCCTTCGGTGTCGCACGCAGCCTCGCTGTCCGGGTATTCCAGACAGCGCTGATGTATGATGTCGTGCACACATGCCTCCACCAAAGGAGGAACAACCTGGTTTCGCGCCCAGATCAAATTATGATCATGCTCACTGAAGATATCCACTGCAGTGGCTGGGGCGTCGCCGCTGGTTGTGATAATGGAGCGGATGGCCTTCTCAAAGGTGGCAATCACACTTGAAGCCTGGAAGTCAGAGAGCACAGTTGTCTTGTAGCGAAGGTTGAGAACAAGCTGGTCAGTGTTGGGCGTAATACCGACGACGAGATCATCCTACAGTGAGGGGCTGTTAGTATGCTACGTTAGGCACTTTTCTAAATACGTACCTCAGCGCCATCCTCCATGGCCATTGTGTTAAAATTCAAGACTCTCTCGCCCTCCGAGGCAATCTGCCCTGTCTGGACACCGACCGAGGTGTTGAAGAGTGCTCCGCTTGTAATACCAGCAAGTCGATGCACATCTGATAGCGCGAAAGACTGGTGCTGAAGGCTCTGCAGATACTCATCCTGGAGCTGGTGAATCGTCTCCTCGACGGTGGCGTTCTGGTCCAAGGTGATCCTGCAGGTCAGGGGATTCAGGATAGCACCCACTGCATCCACAATCCCGTCAATGGGAAGGTCTCGACCAGACTTGACATAGCCAAAGCATACATTGTCCGAGTTTGTGAAACTGCGAAGGACAAGAGCCCATGCCAGGCCTGCCAGGTTCCAGATGGTCACGTTGTGCTGCCGGCAGAAGCTGTCGACGGAGCTTTCTCCCAGAGTGCTGTCCTTCAATGTGCAGGAAACATGGCCCCATTCTTCCTTCATGCCAGGTTCACGCGCATCAGGGTTGATACTGGGAAATTCGCATGGCTCGACGCCCTCAAGGTATTGTTGCCAATAGCGCGTAGCAGCCTCGTGGTCCTGACGGTTAATATAGGCCACATATTCACTGTAGGCAGGGCCAGGCCCAGTGGGTAACTTCCCATCGTAGGCTAGGCATATATCACGTTCAATAATCTGCATTGTGGTGCGGTCCATGATGGTGTGGCTCATGTCGAGGCGAAGGAGAATCTGTTCGTCCGTGTCATACTTTACCCGACAGAGGTGAAATTGGTGCATCAATTGCCCCTTGGGCCAGCCCCCAGGCTTTCCCGCCGGGAGTTGGTCGGATGCCAATATCACAGACTGCTTGATAACAGTTTCCGGGCGGACATGACGCAGAACCACCTGGTCCATGTATGACTCTGGAGACGTGCTGTCCACAAACACCGTGCGCAAAGCGGCATGTCGTTGAATGACCTGACAACAGGCGTCATAGAGCCGTTGAAAATTAAGCTTCCCAGAAGTTGCATTGTCACGAGGCTGGATTTGCCATGTCACGCTCGCATTGTAGTTGTTTGCCTTCTTGGCCTGAGCGATAAGCATTCCGCGCTGGCTGGGTGAGCAGGGATATATGTCCTCAACGTTGTCCATGGATATCCCCAAACTAGGAAGTGTGCTTTGTAACAGTTCCTTCAACTGAAGATACGTCAAGGATGACATCAGTGGGAAATCAGCCAGGGTGTGTGATATGTGGTCTGACGCCTGCGAAGCTGCTACCAAGTGAGATCCAGCATCCTCCAGTGTTTGCTGGTATAGTGCGATCCATGCATCAATCATGTCCTGGTGTTGGACCTCGCGCGGATACATGAACTGGACCTGGAGACGACCTCGCTGCACTGAGGCAAACACTTCGAAGACGCCGAACCGCTGAATGTCCTCCCCGGCATGCAGGGCTCCCTGAGCCTCGTGCGACTCAGCAATGAATAGGGCATCGGCGTGCTCCAACTGTTGAAATTCACCAGCGTAGTTAAAAATTAGCTCCATGGGATGGTCCGTTTGGAAGGCTTTGCGGCCGTCGGGGTGGAGGTAGCGAGAGGCAAAATAAGCCCAGCCTTTCGAGGGGACGGCGCGACGAGCATCCTTGACACGGCGGATGGCGTCCGAAAGATTATCCCGGGCAAACTGCTCCAGCTCGGGAACAACAACAGGCCACGCTACTGTAAACCAGCCAACGGTTTGAGCAAGATTGATTGCTGGATCCCAGGCCTCCCTTCCATGGCTTTCACTGAACGAAACCGGGGTAGCACGGTCGGGAAATGCTTGGAGGAAGGCGTGTAGCAGGGCAGCATGCAGAACCTCGACAGGCTGGGTGTCGAATGTGCGATTAGCAGCACCCAACAACAGCCGAGTGGCATTTTCAGTCAAAGTGAAGGTGCGCAGCTGGGTATCCATGATACGGTTTGGCTGGTCTGGTGAAGCAAACCAGAAGGCCCTGGGATCCTCATGATATGTGGGCGGCAGATCAATGGGTAATGCGACCTTGGGAGTCAGCATCTGCTCGGCATGGTGAGACTGAATCCGAGACCACGCCTGGAACGAAATGGAATCCTGTATGTTAGGCAGAGTCTCGCCTTTGAGGATCGACTCAAAATCGGCGAGGATAATGCGCCACGAGACTAGATCAACCACCAGGTGGTGAACAACAAGAAACAGATGCTGCGATGCATCGTCAAGCGCATTGAACAAATTGATTGCCACCAGCGGTCCTGTTTCAATGTTGATAGTCTGTGAGGTGGCCACGGTTATTTTGTTCATGTGGGAATGACTGTGGACGTCATGGGCTGTGCAAGGGCAATGGTCATTTTGATCATGAACTCTAGATAGACTTGTAATTCTCTGAGTCCAGTGGCCATCCGGTGAGCGAGAAAACCGCGCTCGGAGCATTGAATGTCTGGCAAGGACCGTGTCAGTGGCTTGACGCAGCTGGTCTAGAGAGATGGGCTGGGCGAGACGTAGTAAGAACGTCTGGTTGAACCGATTCCATCCTCCTCTCTGTGCCTGGTGACTCATGAACATTTGCTGAATTGGGGACAAGGGAAACTCGACGTCTAGTTCTTCCTCTTGTCCTTGGTGGTGCAGCATCGGGTTGGACGAGGCAATGTTGAGCACAATCTGCGAAATCGTCTTGTGTCGCATAATCTCATTCAAAGAGACTGCGAGGCCCTTAGCTCGGGCCTGGGCAACGATCTGCATGGCCGTGATCGAATCGCCTCCAAGATGGTAGAAGTTATCATCCACTCCGATCTCCTCCACAGGACGATTCAAGACATGACTCCAAACAGCTTGCATTGAGCGCTCCGAGTCAGAACCGGGAGCTCTCTTATGTTTGATGACATCGCTACGGTATAGCGCCAGCTGCTCATCAGGGCAGGTCTGAGCCAAGTTCCGCAGTCGACGTCGGTCCAGCTTGCCTGCAGCACTCTGAGGAAGCGCACGGACAGGGAGGAAAACTTCCGGAACCATGAATCGCGGCATGCAGTCACAGAGTCTACTGTGAGCTGCTGCTGCCTGTGCTTCGAAGGACGGGGGAGGAGTCGTCAGCAGCAAGTCCCCGCTGAGGTGAACGGAGGGAGAGCTTGTCTCATTGGAAGTATCCGCCACAACAAAGCCAATCAGTTTCTGGGCGGGGGCCGACGGTGTCGTGAAAGTGACCATCTCGACAGCAACACCTGAAAGACCGGGCCAGCATTGCCTGACATGCTTCTCAACCTCGCCAAGTTCAATGCGTTGTCCTCGAAGCTTGACCTGGGAGTCCCGACGACCTACATACTGTAGGGACCCATCGCTGTTGTAGCGCACGAGATCTCCAGTTTTGTAAACCCTACCATGTGGGCCGTGCGGACGGATCATGCGCATCCAAGGTGGGGGAGAAGATATAAAGGCGGTGGCTGACTGATTAGGATCGTTGAGATATCCTCGGGCTACCGTGGGCCCCTCCACCAGGAGCTCACCGACAGCACCGATTGGCAACAAGATCTCGTGATCCTCGGGGTGCACCACCCAGCAGCCGACTCACACCAGAGGGAAGCCGATGTTCTGCGGGCTTGACTCGGTAGTGATGAGTGGCTGAATGGTTGTCGAGACCGCACACTCGGCGGGTCCATACCCATTCATCACGCGGCATCGAGGGTTGCTGCTGGCCCAGTCGGCTACATCTGATGGCGTCAAAGTCTCCCCGACGCTGACTAGTACTTTTGTAAAGTCCGGGTGATCGCGCAGAACATGTCGAGCTAAAGAAGGAGTGAGGTGAGCATGCGTCAAGCAGAACTCCTTGGTGGCCGACGCCAGTTCATTGCGTCGCTGGAAATCTGAGGGCACACACAGGCATGAGCCAGCCATGAGCGCACTTAATGTCTCCATGATGCTACCATCGAACGAATATCCGGCGAACTGCAGTAAGCGAGAATGGCGAGTCACTTGGGTGGTGTCGTTCAATGCCAGGGCACTGGCGCAGAAGGACTGATGCTCAATCACCACGCCTTTCGGAGTACCCGTTGAACCCGACGTGAAGGCAACATATAGCATGGAATTGGGCTTCCCAGGGATGGTGGGAATGGTCGGATCAGACGGCCAACTGTGCGAGTTTTGCTCATCTATAATCAGCGCTATAGTGGCTAGCTGCTGCGCCGCTTTGATGTTCTCCTGAGAGGTCAAAACAATAGTGGCATTGACGCGATGGCAGATGTTCTCCAGTCGAGCCTGCGGTTGGGATGGATCAAGAAGGGTAAAAGCACCGCCCGCCTTGATCACTCCCAGAATGGCGACCGTAGTCCATCGAGACCGTTCCATACAGATGGGGACGATTACCTCCGGGTGAATGTCATACGAGGTCGCTAGCTCAGCTGCTAAGCTGTCTGAGAGTCGATCCAGCTCTGTATACGATAGCGTCCCATCCCAGGCCCAAATCGCAGTCGACGTGGGATATTCAACGCAGCGCTGCTTGATGATGGAATGCACACATTGAGGATCAACGGCGGTTAGATTGCCACTCCATTGTTGCAATTGGGTCACATCTGCTGCGCTAAGCAAGGGCACATTGGCAAGGGAGCATTGGGGATCGGCCAGGAAAACCTGAACAACCTGCTCGAAGTGACGCAGGATGCGGTCTGCTGCTGAGGCGGAAATCACGAGAGGATCGAACTCCAAGGCAACGTCCACCTGCCGTGATGCTGTCAGGTTACATACAACAGACAGAGCACAGCTGGCAAATCCACCCGCAACTGCTGCGCCGGCTTCCAGAGTTGTAAGAAGCGGACGTTGTTCATCTGCCCAGACGGGCTGTACAACTAGCTGACTCTGGTAGCTGCACGCATCAGCGGCGTCGCTGCTCAATTTCCGAATTCGCTGCAAGCCAAACTGCTCAAAAGGGATCATCTCAGTCGACTGTTTCTGGACGGCTGACAAGGCATCCAGGACGGTGTCGGTGGGATTGAGTTGTACACGCAGAGGCACTGTCGCGACAATAGGCGCGATCATCTGTCCGATATTGGCGACGGGTGCAGCGCGACCCGACACTGTGACCCCAAAGACCACATCAGGCAACGAAGTATGGTGACTGATTACCAGCGCCCATGCTAGTCGAAGGACGTTGGAAATGGTATATCCACTGGGGGCATCCTTTTGGTATACGATTGAGCGTTGGCAACTATCCCGGGGTATGGGAGCATAGCCCGGCGATGGTAGAGCAGGAAACACCTCCGCTCCGAGGCATTGGAATTGTTTTTCCCAGAAGCCCCGGGTGCAAGAATCGGCAAGTCGTTGCTGCATGTAATGCATGAAAGGGGTCATAGGGCTATGAGCCAGTTCCTGACCGTCATGCGCCTTCTCTAATAAGTCCATCAGCAACCGAGACGCCCACCGGTCGCAAACTGAGTGATGCATGGTAATAATGAAGTATACCGCTGAGTCGCTTCCAGTATGACTGTTCGAGGTTGAACCGGGGAGAAGCGCAGCATGTACTAGAGGATCCCCAAGCATGAGAGGTTCAGTCTGGCGCTTCTTCATATACGATTCCTTTGTTGCTCCAGCACTGTCACCGTACTCGTCCCACTGAAAATTCTCATGAAGAACCACCTGAAACATGCCCCCATCGGGGCCCGACACGATTCTTGTCCGCAGGATGGGACAGGCCTGCACGACTGCTTCCCATGATTGACGAACCCGAGCAGGGTTGACATGCGGTTGCAATCGATAGACGAAGCGAGCTATATATGCCCCAGGTTTTGCAGCAGACAGTGCCATCATGCCTTCCTGAAGCGGTGTGCAGGGATAGATGTCTTCAATCTGGTCTTCCTCCACTCGGCATTGCTCTTTTGCTGCGGCAATGAGAATAGGCTTGGAATAGGCGTCGACCAATGCAAACGGCTCAAGCTGGTAAAGTTCCGCAGACGGGGTCCGTTCCAGGTCGGCGGCAATTCTGGAGAGTTCACTAAGTTGTGATGATCCAAAGACATGCTTGACTGTGAGCTCGATACCAGCCTTGCGGGCCCGGCTGACGAATTGCATTGCCTTCACGGAGTCGCCGCCAAGAGCAAAGAAATCATGCTCCATCCCGACCTGGTCTCCATTGAGACGAAGCACGTCGACAACCAACTCGTGTATGAGATAGTCATGCGTCGTTTTTGGTGGACTAGTGATGTCTGATGGCCTTAATGTGCCCGTCAATCGCAGCAGCGCCTCTTGTCGCAAAGTTTGAGCTTCCTGTCGTAATCGAAGACGATCGACTTTTCCTGTGACGGTCAGAGGCATGGACCGTATCAGAAGGAAGATGCGTGGAATCATCGCATCAGGGAGTCTCTGCTCCAGATACTCAATGGCCTGATGGACAGAGGCGACAAAGTCTTCGTTCGGGTCCATAAAGAAAGCCTCGCTATTACGAAGAGCACCATTCATGGAGGATCCTGCATCTGAGGGCGCGGGCACAAAAGCCATAAGACTAGCCATCCCGTCACCATCAGCAGGCACAATGGCATCAATAACAGCCTTACGAAAAAGCGGCGATGCCTGTGCGACATAGTACTCGGGCTCTCCTAAGTCAATTCGCTGTCCTCGGACCTTGACCTGGCGATCCTTTCGGCTGACATATCTCAGTAGGCCGTTCGAATCGTAAAAGGCCAAATCACCGGTCCGGTACCACCTTCTTGAGTCATCCTGGTCATTGTCCTTTCCACCCAGCGTAGCTAGGATTCCTTGCTTTCGCCAGGTTGGAGCTGGCAAGAAACTCGCAGCAGATTTCTCCGGGCTGTGGAGGTATCGTTGAGCCAGGCTGGGACCTTCAACCAGTATTTCGCCAACTGCTCCAATTGGAGCCAGAATTTCTGGCTCTCCAGGTTTAATCAGCCAGCAACGGGCATTTGCCGGGTGTCCGATAATGCCGATATCTGCAATCGTGTGGATCTGTGGTGACACGCAGCAGACGCCGGCCCATTCTGTCAACCCATATGCTTGGAACAGACTTGTGCGACTGGCCCATATTGAGATTTGAGTCTTCTTCAACGCCTCTCCAGCCACTAAAATGCGACGCAGGCCGGGGACCATGTCTGGATCTAGGGTTGCCAACACTGTGGGGGTAACAAAAGCCCAGTTGATCCCCATTGTCTGGATGGCATCACCCAAGCGACTGACACGATCGGAATCAGAAGGCATACAGACGGTTCCACCTGCGGAGAGAGCACACCAGATCTCAATGAGCGACACTCCAAAGCTGAATGAAGCAAATTGCAGTACACGACTGGTGGAATCGAGATGCAGCGCATGGCAGTGGGTCGCGACGCTGGCGAGAGCCGCATGGTCGACCAAGCATCCCTTGGGCTCACCTGTACTGCCCGAAGTAAAGAAGCAATACGCCGGAGCTGTTGCCTCAACGGGCCAGTCATTGGTATTATGATTTGCTGTCTTCATCGGGAGATGCCACAGAATGCCGTCAGCCACCGCCAGGCTAGGGGTAATCATTTCGCCCAGGAGAGCCTGGTAATCGGGCGAGGCTAGCGCTAGGGGGGGATTGTCCAGCTGCTTCATGATTGACCGCAGGCGAGCGGGCGGTTGGGATGCATCCAGAGTGACAAAAGCAGCGCCGGTCTTGTTGATCGCAAGCATGGCAACAACGGCCCACAAAGTCTTGCTAAAGCATACTGGAATTAACATGCCTGGTCGCACCCCTTCTGCTTGGAGATGTCTTGCTAGGCGCGAGGACAGATTGTCTAGTTGGCCGTAGGTGAGTTCTCCGTCAGATGCGACAAGAGCAGGGTGGCCTGGGTCGGCCATGGCGACATTATGGATAATTTGGTGGATGGTCGCAGCAGATAGCTGAACGGGTTCTGCTCTATTCCACTTTCTGATCAGGCCCTGCTGAGTAGGGACGGTGACCGACAGTTGTAGTGGGCTGGTCCTGTCCGAGTCCTCCAGTTTCATCACCGTCCTCACAGCCTCCACCAAGAAGGATGCGAGATGCCCTGCTTGCCCGCTGGACACAACAGCAGTCTTATACCTCAAATACCACTCTGATTGAGCCGTATCAACGACAAGCATAACGTCACACGTCTGGAGCAAGGGAAGTTCAAAGTCAGCCATTCCGTCTTGATTGGGGTGAGATCCTTGACTGGATATACCTCTTCGTCGTTTTCTGCCGTCGGGGAATCCGACTCTGGTGTGTCGGGCCTGCTGCTGCCGTGATATAACACAATTCCGGTGTTGAAGTAGGGGAAATGATCGGGGGTCCCGTTGGAAAGAGACCATCCCTTTCCTTTGCACAACTGGTATAGCGTGGTGTTTTGGCTTCTCGAGGCCGCCAACAGCTTCATATGCTTCTTCAGCCCTCGTTCGTCTGTGCAGAATGATATCTCCTGTATCCCAACGTGCGCCGTGTCGACCTCGGCATATTCCCAAAGAAGCAGGGCCCAGATCGTCGCTAGGTAGAAGAGAGGGTCCCGCTGTTTCGAGGTCGGGACGCTATTCAAACAGCACGGGGAGCAGGGAGACGAATAAAAAATCCCTGCCTGTTTCAGCGCACAGGAGCACAGGTTTGTAACGCCCCATGGCTTCGTTGCTATGTCTCCAGGCAGGTGTCCATCGTTGCGGATGGGGAAAAGGCATTTTTCGGCCGGGAAAGGACTTCCGTCTTGGTGCTGGATGATTGCCATTGTGATACGGCTATGTCTTGTTGCCACAATGAAGTCAAACGGAAATATTTCCTGTGCAAGGGAAAAGTGGCTTAGATTGTTTGACCAAGGTGATCTTCCGAATGGCAGCAGACGTTGGTTATCTACTTTGCGCGTTTTCTACGTAACTGTTGAGTGTCATCATCGTCCCCAATTCAACAGTACAGCTCAGCCTGTTCACTAGTCATTCAGCTGCGCCTGATTTATCCCAGCCCGGCAATGCCCCTGTGGGTCATGTTCTTCTCCTCTTCTCAACAACGGACTCGGTCACAGAATTTGTCATGCCTTTGAGCAAATCTCGATAGCTCCTCTCCTCCGTGCTCCTTGTCAGTATCTGCAGGTCTTTGTTCAATGTTGGGAGGCCCAACGATGAGCTAATCGTTCGAGCCAGTGACGAACTCAGCCTAAGAATTGGGAGTAACGTGCCTATACTTTTGCTCCACAGCTACTTGCAGTGCTTCAAATGTAATATGGTATTGGAATATTGCAAGTGGACAGGCCATGGTCTATTGACAGTAATCATTGATCGTCTGATGGCCGGGGAATTTGAAGGGTCTCCGGACAAAGGCACCATCGAAGTCATTGCCCACGGTCCACTACTCATGATTTGAGAATCAGGACAGGTACGGTCTTAGTAAGGTTTAGTAACTACGCGAGAGCCAGCATTTTGGGTGCAGGAAAACAAATAAGCCCATGATACCTAATCTCCGGGAATGCGGTCCCTGGGAGCTCTTTGGTTTCTCGCCCAAAAACTTTACCTAATACGTTGACATAGGCTCCCGAAGGAGGACATACTGGTCTCGCGTCCATTCTTACCAGGGACTTGTGGCGTCTGCAAGTAGCAAATAGTATTGACAATAGCTCTGCAAAGGCGGGCCTGTGACTGTGATCCTTTCCGCAGTGTCGATCTCGGTTCATCCGATTGGTTGCTAAGTTTGCAAAGAACGTAGCACTAGATACGGACATACATGTGTGTTCTGACTAGGAGGGATCTTCGATCTGCATGATACAGCATCAGACGCAGATAATCCACCAAATCTAAGCCACTGATGCTAGGGATGAAATGGGTCTCTCACTGTGCAGACAGCCCAGCCAGCCACCAAGTCCAGTTAATGATACCCATGACTGGTGCGTCAGTTGAACGGTCAAACTAACAACTGTCCATGATTTTGAACCCGCGGGGTGACGAGGATGATCAGCAAAGTGACATGCTCGTTGAGTAGAATGTCAGTGTGTGCTAGCGGGACGTATCTATGCTAATGTGTCAGGAAACAGTGGTCGCAGCAACATTCTAATACAGGCTGATGCGCTCAGCTTCAATAGTTGCATTTCATTGCATTGAGTTGCGTGCTTTAGGCGCCTGTCCACAAAATCAGTCTATCATGCAGGAGGGGGTGATTGAGGGGACCCGCAGCTCCTTTGCCTCAAAAATGAGACTTGACCTGCAGTGAGAATTCGAACGAAGTAAGCAAGCGCTCGAGTCTAGATTAGGAAGGAACTAAACTAGGGATCTTGGAATGATCAAGTTGGGTAGATCGCGGGATTTCGGCCTAGTTCTGATCTTGTCTGAGTAGATTCTAACTCCTAATATTGACTGTGTATCCCATACTATTCCTCTGGACGGTTACCCTTCCCTGTTGACTTGCTATACACTTCAATTGCTGTAAACATGTTTGAGCCGCGTCCCCTAGAAAGCCACTCTGATAAGGCGGCAGCAGACGTCTCAACCACCATCACTGAGATCCCTTTCGGGGATACAGTTCCTGAGCAGTTCATACCTCGGAACACCTGGATCAACGCAACATCGCATCCTGTTGAGCGCACAGTGGATGAGATCTTTTTATCCCATGTCCTAGAGCGGCCCAATGCCCCGGCTGTCTGTGCCTGTGATGGCACTTACACTTATAGCGAGCTGGACAGGCTCTCGACTGCTTTGGCACATGAGCTGCGTCGTCGAGGCGTGACTGCTGAAGTCTTAGTGGCCCTTCTATTTGAAAAGTCCAAGTACATTGTCGTTGCTATGCATGCTGTTCTCAAAGCGGGGGGTGCAATCATGTTGTGGGATCCCACTCTGCCCGTGGACCGCTTACGGGGCATCTTCGCCGAGTCCATGGCCAAAATGGTGCTGTCGTCGACCACCACTGCTGGGCTGGCGGCCAGGATCAGCTCTCACATAGTTGTTCTGGATGAGGAGCACATACCCTTGCCGTCTTCCGAGGCTTTGGTACCTGTGCATCGGCCCAATAGCGCCCTTTACAGCGTCTTCACGTCCGGCTCGACCGGGAAACCCAAGGGCTTCATCATGGAACATCGCGCCCTGGTCACTTGCGCCCTGGCCTGTGGCCAGCGATTAGGAGTGACCAAAGAATCCCGAACCCTACAATTCTCCTCCAACTCCTTCGATCTGGCAACCTTTGAGCACCTAATTCCCTTCATATTTGGGGCATGTATCTGCATTCCCTCCGAGGAGGAGAGAAAAGGCGACCTGACCCGCGCCCTTGGCCAGTATCAAGTGTCGTTGGCCATGATGACGCCCTCAGTGAGCCGCCTGCTGGAGCCACAGCATCTTCCGCTGCTGCAAACAGTGATGCTGTGTGGCGAGCCGGTATCTTCGGAGGATGTGCGTCGTTGGTTCTCACACGTCCATTTGCACAACGGTTACAGCCCTGCCGAGGCTGGATGTATCAACATCCTCAACTCCGCCATGACAGACGCTCATCCCAACAATATTGGATATTCAACCGGGGTTATTCCATGGGTGGTGGACCCGGAGAATCACGATCGGCTGCTACCGCTCGGGGAGGTTGGAGAGTTGATTGTCCAGGGACACACCGTTGGACGAGGATACTTTGGCTGTCCGGCGAGAAATAAGGCCTCTTTTATCGATGCGCCTGCCTGGGTTCATGATTTTGGTCGGGAATCATATGGATCCTTCTATAAGACCGGCGATCTCGTACACTACGATACCAACAACGGTTCCATGCAATTCCTGGGCCGTAAGGACACGCAGGTTAAGTTGCATGGACAGCGGCTGGAGCTGGGAGAAGTTGAGGATCAGCTGCGACGCTGTTTTGCTCCACCGCATGCTGTCATCGTGGACCTTGTGACGCCTCAGAATCGTGAGCCCAACCTTATTGCATTCGTTAGCCGTTCGCAAGACATGACTGTCATCGCAAATGACTCCGTCCAGGACGGCCTCTTCCTAGTACCAGACGAGCAATTTGCTTCAGCCGCAAGAAACGCACAGGCTTCTCTCCGGGCTTCTATCCCCTCCTATATGGTCCCGTCCGAGTTTCTCCTCCTCTCCCACGTTGTCATGTTGCCGTCCGGAAAGACAGACCGCCGATTCATTCGCACGGCTGCAGCTGAGCTTTCACCGACTGAGAGGAGAAAGTATAGTAGCATGCTCGAGACCTCTCAAGACCGGCCATCGACGGAACTCGAGGAAGCCCTGCTGACACTGTGGGCAGCAAGCCTGAGAATCGCGGCCGCAGAGATTGGTGTACAGGATAATTTCTTCGACCTCGGGGGTAGCTCTCTGGATGCCCTCCGCCTCGCGGCCCGTATGCGTAAGATAGGCTATACCGACCTGCCCTCTGGCGCGGTATTCAAATACCCCACTGTGCGCTCCATGGCAGCCGTTCTGCAGGATGCTATTCAGCAAGCATCKATCACCTCACAGGTATCAGAGTCTGCGCAGCTAGAGCCATTCCTCGTGGCTCAGCTTCTATCCAAAGCTCGCATACAGATAGACGAGCTCGAATATCCAGGATTCCTACCAATGACAGCCTTCCAGCAGAAGTCTGCCGGTTTGAAATGTGTTCATATCGTTCTGGATGTTTCCGGCCTCGATCACTCCCGACTAGAGGCTGCATGGGGCCTGGTTCAGGAGAGACACATCTGCCTTCGGTCGGTCTATATCTCTCACCTCGGCCACATTTATCAAGGCTTTCTGCGGCGTCCTAACAGCACGATTCCCATTCGACAATGTGACCAGCCGGTCCAAGAGCTCGCAACCGACTTCTGCGACGAGGATGCTGAGCCAGTCCTTGACGGTCGTTGCTGGTGGCAATTGACGCGGATCAATAGCAATCACGATGGTAGCGGTGCACTTATTATCCGAACCACGCACGCACAATTTGATGCCATGACTCTCGGTGTCATTTTCAACGACTTTATGGCTGCCATGGAGAACCACCCTCTGTCTGCACAGGAGCGGCAGTTCTCCGACTACATGGACCGCCGTGTGCAACACAACAAATCGCAAACAACAATGGAGTTCTGGTCAAATTTCCTGCAAGGTTCTCAAATGAGCCAGCCCGAGTTCACTGATGCCTCTTCGGCTGCTCTTCCCGACGACCATATCGGCATGGTGTACGTCATGAGACCAATCCAGTCGACTTCGACTCCTCCAACTGGCATCACCATGGCGTCTGTGTTCCGCGCTGCTTGGGCCTTTGTGCTTGCCAACTATACTGGTCAGAGTGATCTCGTATTCGGCGAGTTTATCGAAGGCCGCACTTTGCCCTTGCTGGAGGACGTGGAGAACATCACCGGTTGCACCGCGGCAGAGACTCCCATGCGGATGATAATTCCCAAGCACGAAGGAGCGACCGTACAGGACCTCCTGCACCACTCCCAGGAGCAATACATTACTCGGCTTCCATTTGAGACATCTGAGCTGCCGGACCTGGTCCGCCACTGCACTCCTCTGTGGCCCAAGCACACCCCCCAATTCAGTCACCTGCTCGTGGTCGAGAACACTTCAGCCATACCCCCTGTGGTGGTAGATGGGCGTGTGTTTGAGCATCGATGGGCTTTCCACGGCCGTCTGGAAGACGTACAGATCCAATTGGTTCCGACGAAAGATTCGTTGCATGTTGCTATCCTGGGGCCGGAGGTACGTCTGGCTGATGGGATTGCGGATATGCTGGTGGGTAGGCTGGCATCGACTCTAAACCAATTTATCGAGAAACCCAATGCGCTGCTGTCGGAGATTAAGTGGGAGTAGAGTAAGCCGGGTAGGTAGAATGCGAGTATGTCTAGTTGAGAATAGAAAATATATTTATCGTTTTATCAAGAAACACATATTCGATCCAGCCGGTGAAATATGTACATAAATATATCTAGGTGTTATTTTGAGCATATGCAAGGGAAGGTCCATACTTTTTGGAAGAGTTGTATCAGTCATGATTCGAAGATTTATTTTATTCTAGTCATTACATACATAAAATATTGTTGAAATCTACCCTGGCCTTTACCAACTGACCACTATCGAAATATATACCTGGATGCAAATTTACCGTTCAACTAAACACCTATGTTTCTCTTCAATTGCCCCAGCGAGGATGAAAAGATTCGAGAAAGGATCTTCATCCAATAACCCTGATACTTTGAATTGAATACATAGATAGCTAGTAGTATTGCAAGGCTCGGAATTTATTAGAGTCCAACTCAAATTCATCGCAATGTCAAGGTTGAAAAGCTATTCACTGTTTATTCAGAAGCTCCCATAGCCAGCCTATAATCATCCTCTGCATGGAATTTGCCATCCACTGGAACGTTCGTTGGGATGTACTCAGTGCCCTTCCTCACTGCCTCCACCACACGATCAAATTCTTCATGGGTATGGCTGACACAATCATAGCAGTGGATCCAGGCTGGACGTGCGATCGCGTTGAAGCGATCACTGGATGCGTTTTGGTCCAGATCGGCCTCGAGGCTGACTTCTTGGGCCTCGATAGAGCCTTGCTGGATGACCGAGACCCGTTTGTGTCTATCAATGTTCGTCAGCATGGCAGTTTTACGTTTGGTCAGAGTATTATTTACCTCAACTTTTCCATGGCCCGCAGGGCGAGTGGGACGCCATCGCCTTCACCATCTTCCATTGCCAGAGACGATAGTCGAAGGCAGATGGCAACCACGGCTGCATCTTCGATGGACTGATTGGCGCCCTGTCCGGTATGTGGCAGAAACGGGTGAGCTGCGTCTCCGATGAGGACCATTCGGCCCTGCTGAGACACCCAGGTGCCCAATGGCTTTCGAGTAACGAGGGCATGATTGAAACATTTCCCTTGAGGTGTCTTGGAGATCACGGCACTAAGCTTCCTCGCTATCGGCCAATCCTGAATGTATGCAAGAACGGGTGCCACAGAGGCTGCTTGCACCCAGTTCTCAGTGGCTTTGCTCGCATCCTAGACGGGGTGTTAAATTATAGGTTGCGGCATATAAAAACTGGAACACACACCCGATGAGGACAGTTCCACCAGACATACTTTCCCTTGCCGATCGTTCCGACGAGGATTGTGACGTCTCGACCAAAATAGATCTCATGACGATCATGCTCCGAGGTGCCCTCCAGCACCCAACGAGCATCGGAGTCATTGGCTACCTCACTGGCATCGAAGTTGGATCGAAAGATTGCTCCTCCCGTCTGCAGGAGAGCTGCAGCATCTTCAAGGGGCTCTTCACCCGTGATGATGGCCCTAGCTTTGCTATACAAGCCGTCTGATGCAATGATGCAGTGGCCAGTAATCTTTTCCTTCCCATTGATACTCACACCGGCTGCGGTCTCTGTTTCCCAGTACTCGTCTACGGTCACTCCGAATCTCAGATCCAAACCCAAATCGACTGTGGCATGCCGATACATCTCATTGACTAGATCGGACCGACGCAGAAACAGTCCCTGGGCCGGATCATCGGCGCCAAAAGGAATGACATGCTTGCATTCACCCGCGTCGCTATACACTTCGACCGAGCTTAGTTCGCTGCCAACAGCAGCAAGACGGGAGACGATTGACTCCTCTGTGAGCGACCACCGCGAGAGGACTTTGAGCCCGTTTCCACTGAGGCCAATTATGTCGCCTACGCCCAGATTGGGTTGTGTAAGCTGCTTGCTGTCAGAGGCAGCTTGTAAGAATAAAAGACATGCCTAATTGATGCGCATCGCGCTTCCTTTCCAGTCCAATCACCGTATGGCCCTGCCGATGGCATTCAATGGCGGCGCTGAGTCCAGCAATCCCCAGGCCCACAATTATCACTGTGATACCAGTGGGTGCGCCTCGAGCCATGGTTAAGGATATCCGATATTGCGTGCGAGAGTATCGATTTAGCGTGGCGTGATGGATATTCAATGATACACAAAAGGGAGGGAGGGGTCAGGGACAGTAAAGATTAGTAATTAGAATAGAGAGAGGGAGGAATAATAGGACATAATAAATAAGAATAAAATTATATAAGAATTATAAAAGCTGATCCCTAATACTCGACAACCCACAGGTGACATGTTCAATAGCCATTGCGATGTATGTAGTACTTTTCGTGTCATTTGGGCTGGCTGATCGGAGACAATGTTCAATAGTTCGGCATAAGGCAAGCAATATTGCAGTCTCAAAATTGAGGTCTCCAAGTTCTGGTATCGTCCTGTCGGTATGTCACAAGTAATATGTATGACTGCATGAGATTATAGCAATCAAACCATTAAGGTCTCGAGGGCACTGTACTACAAGTAGATCTCGCTCAGTACTTACTACCCGATGCAGTCATAGCTGAGACATGCATATGCAAGGGTCCTCGGCCGCCGTCCCAATGCAACATTGGCTGATGGTATTTGCAAGCTTATGCACACGCACATTGAGTGCAGGCGAGCCAGGATATTCTACTTTTTCGAATTCGTATGAGAGTGTGACGTAGTCTGCTGAAGATGGCTGAGCTGAACCGAGGCAGTTTGATCCTGCAAACATGCAGCTCACCCTCAACAGCCGGGCCCGGGGGAGTAATCAAAGGAGATGGTACTGGTATTAATGTCAGATTGTATGGAATTCATGCAACTAGCTACGCTTCCACGTTGTATGTGTTTTCCACCCGATACACTCCATCGACGGGAATGTTTGACGGGATATAATCGCTGCCCGTCTGGATTGCTTGCACCACCGTCTCAAACACTAGATGGGTATACTCCTGGCAATCATGGTTAAAGACCCAATCTGGATTTGGAAAGCGGAAGAGATCCGGATCTTTGGCCACCGTCTCCCAGTCCGGCCGTAAAAGAGCCTCTTGAAGAGCCGAACTGCCCAGCTGAATGACACTGGCCCGCGGGTACCTGATCCTTTCGGCCGCTCGTAAACCCAGAGGAACCTGGTCTTTTCCAGCTAGGGCGAGAGTCACGGCAATGACTGCCCCATCCTCCATTCCTTGACTTCCTCCCTGTCCAACGACTGGGAAATATGGATGCGCCGCATCGCCAATGAGAATCGCTCGGCCACCGGGGGAAATCCATGTCTTCAGCGGGGGCCGATAGACCAGCGGATGGTTCACAAGTTTGCTGGGTTGAGTATGTCTGATCACTGCTCGAATTCTCTCCTTTCCGGGCCAGTGATCAATGGCTGCCATTGCGTCCGCCAATTTGGCGTGCACCCCTCCTCCACTCCAGGTCTCCTGGGCCCCGTAGCAGTCCCAGTGTGTAGTCATCCAGACCAAGTCCTTGCCCCGTCCCATGGTCAACATGGCCATGTTGACTCCCTCACCGAACCATGCATATGCTTGGTCCTGCTCGCCGGTCCCCTTTAGCACCCATTGTGCCTCGGGATCGCTGGCGAATGGTTCACTGTTAGTATCGATATGAGCGCGGAACGTTGCCCACCCCGTCTCCTTGCGTGTCCGGTCTATCTTTTCACCCGTGATAAATTGCCGCGACATGCCATTAACTCCATCGGCGCACACAACGCAGTTTGCGGCCAGCCTGTCCTCTCCATTCACGATGACACCAGCCTCATTGCTGGTCTCCCAGTATTCGGTCACTTGAGCGCCGAACCGTATGTCGATCCCTAGTCCTTTCGCATGCTCGTAAAAGATAGACACCAGCTTGGCCCGGTTGGTCACAAACTGCTGGCCCTTGCCGGGAAGCTCATTGCGGGCAATGAACTTGTCACAATGGTCCATCATATCGGCGTGCGTCGCATCACATCGAGTGCGGTCGATCTCAGCGACCACCTCCGAGCCCCATTGTCGGATGATGCGTACTGCATTTGGACCAATGGCAATTCCATCGCCGGCTAATCCGTCAGGTGAGATGTAGAGATGAAGAGGCTGAGCGATGTCTCGTACCATCATGTTTTAACTGCGTGATCCTTTCCAACAATATCACCGAATGCCCCTTTCGATGGCATTCAATGGCCGTGCTGAGGCCAGCCAGCCCCAATCCCACAACGATCACCTTAATCCCACTGGAAGGGGAGGTAGAGGATGACGGTATATGCCGAGCCATCTTGTATATCCTTGCCAATGAATGTGAGGAATGAATAGAAAGCCCTGAGACAACCAATCTGAGACAGCACGATGCAGATATCAAAAGGGGACCGGTTGGGGGAGGTTTGGGGTTATGCAAGAAACAAGACTGGTCTTTCCAGGGAGAATTTTTTGCTCAGCTACCATCCACCCTTTTTTCAGCTGTGGTACCGCTCTTTGGCATACATAATGTATGGATTACGGATACAGGTGACAAGGGATATTTTAACTCTGTCAAAATGTTCAAATCGTCCACCCAATTTTGGGATGCGCACCGCATTTGCAGGTCATCAGCACATGAACTTAGTAGCTGCATATGCATGTACATTTCCAGCTTTTACTACAAGCCCATAGCGTGCCATAATGGGCCCGTCTTTGAGACTTGGAAACTACTCCTGCCAGATAAAGATATCGTTCTTGTTAGCTTTGCTCATCCTTGCAGAATGCTATCATCAAGGTCCCCAGAAAAAAAAACAAAAAAGAGAAAAAATGTCTTTCTACCACAACGTGATTACAATGAACGATAGCGTCATGATCTACAGGCAAAGTCCCACACAGGCGCCACATGCAATACATATCACCTTAGAAGACGGCATTCTCCATGATCCACCGCCTGAAGTATCCCACATCCGTGTAGACATCGGGTAAGGCCTTCCTCAAATCGGTGTCGTAGATGCTGAAACTGACCAGGCCAACGACGGTGCCGTCCTCATTGTTCACAAGTGGTCCTCCCTTGTCGCCCAGCCAGGCTGCCTTCTCGGTCGGTGGCTGATCACACACCATCCGGTCCGAGATCGTATGGATGCCCTTCCACTCGGATCTGCACTTTTCCCGGGAAACCCCTACGGTAGGGAGCTCGTGGATGTTGTCTGGGAAAATTCCGATGGAGTAGTTTGTGAATCCCCAGCCGTACACGGTCAGATTGGCACCGATGCTAGTGGAGAAATCATTGATAACAGCAAATGTGGCGCCGTACACTGGCTCACTCAGAGTCAGAATCGCCAGGTCAGAGTCCCGGGTGTCGATGTCATAGTCAGGATGCTGGGTGATGGCGCTCAGGTTTCGCATTCCATCACTGGTGGTGCGGTTGTTGCTGCCAACATGGGCCAGTAGAGTTTCAGGAAATTGATTTTGAATGCACGAAGCTGCCGTGATGACCGAGTAATGGCTGATCAGCACGCCACCGCATCTCTGGAAATTGCCGTCAGACCTATACAGGGCCACAGCAAATGGCGCGGCATCCGCAGGAGCCTCGGGGGCCCCGTTTAGGGCATGAGTAGGGCGTGCAATGGAGAGGATAAGGCAGAGAATGGAGGAATAGACGGAGAACGACTTTGTCATTTTGCAAGGAGATACGGGGATGTGAGAGCAACTTGTCGGGGTGTCTCTGCTAGTAAACGGTAGCGCAATCATCTTATATAGGATGCTCAAACCCTGCTGTCGTTGTATGACGCTGCGGATGTCCGTCTGCGATCGGGCTTTCTCGGTGCCATTGTATTACTGAATGCTAGATACCGCTTATCCACGCCCTCTGGGAATCTTGACTGAAAAAGATATGAGTGGCTTGCATATCCCTGATCCGACTATTCCCCCCGGCAGGCAAATGAGCAGCCATAATTGGGGCGATAGCGTCTTTCAATTGAATTGCAAATTGGAGAAATGGGGAAGTTAGCGTTCTGATCCCAGGACTGTATCTTACTCAAGCAAGTTTGCTTTTTTCCGATGCAAATTCTATCCCTTGCTGCTTCTGTCTTTCAGCTGGCTCGATTCTTCTCAGCTGCACATTACAATCCTCAAAAAGTAATTTCCACCGCCCACCCCTTAATTGCCTGGATTCTTGTCTGCGTGCAGATCACTCCACATTCATGCATGACTGAGTCCCAATAGGACAACACGATCCGGCGATTCCGATGCCCTGTTCCAAGTATACCAGACATGGCTACACATCCAATGGGATTCAATGGACTGCGCGTGGTGTTTTGGTTTCGGACAGTACACTCATTGTCGATCAGCTCTAATATTGCCTTGATAATCCTGTCCGCGATCATCGACGGCAGAGCAACTGCAGACTCGGACCTTGAACGACTGGGCAGTATTGAGAGATACGTTTCGCGAAATGCAACCCAGCCCGACCATTATGTGCAAAGGTCCCATCAACTACTATGCACGGTTTCAGGTGACTGCTGAAAGGGCTGTTGTTGATGCACTCAATCAATGTGTCATAAACTGCAGGCTAATATTGCCAAACATGTGATGAATTCTTGTTTGATGCGGTCGAGACCCTGTTATGCTTGTATGATCAAATTTTAGACCATGATTAGTGTTATTCGATTTAAAATAATACAGCATCCAAAGCTCTGGTTCTCATCATCTATTTCGCCAGGATTCTCAAGGCCAAAGAGAAATAGTCTGTAAGTAAATCGCCTTTTCTTTCCTCTGTATTTGCGTGTCAACCTGTTGGTCCTTTAACAAGGATCCACAGTGCTGATCAAATTGCCATGGAACTGGCGATGGTTGGCGATGAGTCCAGCATTCTCGTAAGACTGCAAAGTCCGGAACCAGGCATTTATTAATTCATCAATGCCGTGAGAAGACACCCGGCCAATAAGCTGCTGTTTTCCAGTGGCGTGATCTGCCGCGGACCTTACCATATCATGATGTGATTTAGTAGTTCCAGTTGGCTACTCCGAATACCTGGCTGGACGAGTGCGAGGACTGCTACTTCGATTGTCCAAGGAATGCTACTCATGGACTCCGCCTGATGTACTTGTATGTACAGGAGGTGGCTTTAGCTACTTAGCGGCAATTAACTCCGCGACACGTGTAGAACCCGTCGCGTTGATAAGTCCTGACAAGATCTCCCCGGGCAGACCAGCCACGGCCTTCGCCCAGTGTAGATCCACCTTCTCCAACTGAACCTCAAACTCCGTCGCCACATGCTCACTCCGCTGGGTGATATACCACGATAGCGTATAGTAATGCTTCTGGCGGTCCTTGTGGCTCCAATTCCGCGACGGCTCGGGGACGTCCAGGAAGCAGAGCACGTTGGATGTGTTCGTGCGGGGGTCGGCCATCAGAGATGGAGGCAGCGAATGTATGAGCCCATCGAACTCAATGATATCGAGAGTGGTCTTGTGCACAGTCGCGAGCCAGTTGTGGACGGTTGAATCCTTGCCAATGCTGGTGCAGAACAAAGAGCGACAGAGAAGGGGTCCGACAACAGAGGGGGGGCGATGGCCACGGGACTGTGCGGCCTGAGAGACTGGCAGAGAAGCCGACGCGGGCCCCCGACGTGATTCTATGGAGTAAGAGCGTCCATGCAGCGTATATCATTGTGCTGAGGGTCACATAGAGACGGCGAGATGAGGCGTTGGCGGGGGGCCAGGGTGTTGGAAGGGGATGACTGGAGACGGATGAGATTGAGGGCTTCCGGTGGCGGAGGTTCTTTCGGGGCCGGTGGTTGCAGGACGCATGAGGCCAGCAGGAGCTCTAGCATCTTGGTGAAACATTGGTTCGCCCGCTCGACGTTGGCTTGTGTGTAGCTGTGCATGAACCGCGCGAAGTCCTCGAACCGGGGGCCTGGTGCTACTTCGCCACCTGCTAGGGTGGTTTCCAGGTCCTGTGACATGACGGCAGAGGAGAACACATCGGTGAGGACGTGATGGATCCGCGTAACAAAGGCGAGTGCTCTGCGGCCGGGCGCAGAGATGCAGGTCACCGCGCAGTACGGTACTTCGTTGTCGGCGCGCGTGGTCCTCCGCACCGCCTGCCATGATTCTTCTTCGGCTGCCTCACAGGCTTGCTCGAACTCGTCTTCAGACACGCTGACCTCGTCCCAGGTGAGATTGAGTTCACCTAGGTGGGAGAGGATGAAATCCGTTAGATCAAACCGCGTGCGGGAGATGCTGTGTGTTGAGAGAGTCTTTTCCATAGCACCACGCAGGTCACTGGCGGCAGGAGTTCGGGAGGAATCGCCCATGCACTTGGTCAGGCCGATGATAGCGAAGGTATGTGGTGTCTCTAAAGGCCAGATGAGGAAGTTCCTCTGCACAGGTGTCGCTGTAGCCTGGAAGCTCCTGCTCCCTCCTTCCGCAACTTCGACGTTAGACTGGCTTCTCAGGCGGTCTTCCGGCCGTTCGATCGTATCTAGTGTGAGGACTTGCGCGGCCAGTTCCACGGCTGACAGACTGTGGCTGACACCCAGTGGCTGACAGCCGAAATAGCTGCTGAAGGGTAAATTCCCTGATATGTGCTTAGAGGGTCTAGAGTTAGACTGTATGCTTGACTAGACATACCTTAATCAAGTGCCTGAACAGGTAACAGCGCCTTGTTCCACCCTCCTATAGTAAGTGCTAGATAAGCAATTTCCTACTCCGAACATATGCCAGGGGTCCAGTCTGAACCCTCACGAACCGCTCATACACCCCTGCTCGACCTGAACCTGGTGATTGGGGCTTGTTGCCTATAATAGCGTGTGCGCTAATGACTGCACTTATCATGCAACTTCCCCGTGATTTCTTGCTTTTCCCCATCTGAAACTCTTCCTTCCCTTGTTTTGCCCCAGAGAGTACAGATTCGGAGGAGCGGGAATCGCTGTTTCAAAATGCCATTCGCTAATGGGGAGGGCAACATGCTCCATCTCAACCAAGAACAGTTTGACTTCAACCTTCAATTTGAGAGTCTCTTTTTCTCGATTATTCCCTCCGTCTTGTTTATTCCATCATCGCTATGGCGAACTCTGGCACGGATAGGCAAGCCCGTCGTGGTGAATGCGCCCGTCTTGCAATTCATCAAAACAGTATGCCCTCCTCTATTACACGGTTTCTGCCTACTGACTGCTTAAAGGGTGCCATCGTAATTTACGCTGGCTTGGAACTTACACTCCTTATACTAGCCGCGGTCGGGTCCTTCCACATTAGCCGCATGTTTATCGCTTCCTCCGTCCTGCAGCTTATATCGGCCCTTTTCATGCTGACGGTAAGTGTCGTGGATCACAGCCGCAGCCCTAGACCATCGATGCTGCTTAACAGCTACTTGTTTCTCACCCTTCTCCTCGATATCGCCCGAGCACGCACTCTGTTCCTGTCGTCGGACCACGGTTCCGAGCTCGTTTACAGCAGTATATTCTGTGCATCGGTCGGGCTGAAGACCGCCATCTTGTTACTAGAGGCCTGCCAAAAAGCGGAATGGGTGACCTGGGATGCAACGAAACACAGCCCCGAGGAGACGAGCGGAATATTTTCGCTGGGCGTCTTCTTCTGGCTGAATAAGCTCTTCTTGGCTGGATATAAACAGACCTTCACAATCGAAAGCCTCTACCCCCTCGACAGCACCTTCGACGCACAAGCCCTGCATGAGAAATTCGCGAAGAAAATGGACTACACCAAGCTGAAGGGAGATAAGTTCGGCCTTCTGAAGGTGCTAGTACGTACGTTGAGGGTGCAACTACTCCTGCCTATTCCTCCGAGGGCGGCTTTGATTGCGTTCTACATCTGCCAACCTCTTTTCATCGAGAGTCTCGTCACGTATCTGTCTCATTCGGAGCCAGATCCAAATGTGGGATATGGGTTAATCGGCGCTGCCATACTAATCTACTCGGGGATTGGAATCTCGTATGCCTTGTACTGGTACGGATACCTGCTGTTCCGGCATATTTCACTGACTCACACGATCGCTAGGTACTGCCACCACCGACTGCGGACGATGGTCCGCTCCATACTAGTCACTGAGACGTTTAAAGCCGCCACAAGTGTCCGGCTGGGATCAGGCGATGATAGCGCTGCGCTGACACTCATGAGCACCGACATGGAGCGCATCAGAATGGGTCTCCGCTTCGTGCACGAGACGTGGGCGAGCATGATCCAGGCAGGTGTCGCCGCCTGGATGCTCTATCGGCAACTCGGTGTCGTGTTCGTGGCCCCCGTGGGCGTCGTGGTAGTTTGCTTTGTTGGCTTAGGGATCCTGATCAACTTCACCGGTGACTCGCAGCGATCCTGGATGTCCGGGGTCCAGAAACGGGTCGGGCTCACAGCCACCGTCATCGCCAGCATGAAATCGCTCAAGATATCCGGTCTCGCTGGTCCCGTGGCTGAGTATGTGCAGCAGCTGCGTGTCGATGAGCTCACTGCTGGCGCCCGATACCGCAGGATCATGATCATCGCCGCCCTCTTCGGATTCATGCCTCAGTTGATCAGCCCTCCGCTGACCTTCGCTTTCGCCCAGAATACGATGAATGCTTCGACCATGTTTACCAGTCTTTCGTTCCTGACTCTTTTGGCTCAGCCGCTGTCGGAGCTATTCCAGTCGATCCCAGAGCTCGTTTCGGGCCTGGCCTGCTTGGGTCGGATTCAGGCATTTTTGGAATTGGAGCCTCGTCAAGACTATCGGCAGCCCCTGGTCGAAGCCCAGAGTTGCGGCGTGGAGAAGAGTTCAAAACAGCTTAACCTAACGCCTACGGATTGCATCGTCATCCGAGACGCAAGCTTTGGATGGAAAGCAGACAAGTTCGTCCTAAACAATATCAACACTCAAATCCCCGCCTCGTCCCTGACGGTGGTCATCGGTCCCGTCGGCTCAGGCAAATCAACATTCTGCAAGGCCCTTCTAGGCGAAATTCCCTTCAGCCAAGGCAGCGTCGTGACGAGCACTTCCCCCCGGCACGTCGGTTTCTGCGAACAAACCGCCTTTCTCTGGAACGGTACGATCAGAGAGAACATCGTCGGATTCACCCCCTTTGACCGCGAGCGGTATGACCAAGTCATTGACGCCACTTCCCTGCGCTTCGACCTCGCCACCCTATCCCAGGGAGACCAGACGAATATCGGGTCGGATGGTGTAGCGTTGTCGGGCGGGCAGAAGCAGCGTCTGTCTCTTGCGCGAGCACTCTATCTACCTTCAGACCTTTTGATCCTGGACGATGTGTTCAGCGGGTTGGACGCTGATACCGAGGAGCAAGTCTTTCGGCAGGTTTTTGGACCGGATGGTCTCCTGCGACGACGGGGTTCGACGGTGGTTCTGTGCACACATAGTGTCAGGCATCTCCCGACTGCGGACTACATCATCGCGCTCGAAAGCGGCAGCGTTGCAGAGCAGGGCACCTTTGTCCATTTGTCGACCCGTGCGGGTTATGTTCAGCGTCTGGAGGTGGGACTAAAGCAGGAGGGCGAGAGTACTACTGTTGACGATGAGCCTGGTCCTTGTCCCGAACACGAGGGCCAGACTGGGGCTGGCAAGAAACTTGAACCTGCGATCACTGTTAACAGCACGCAACCATCCACGCCAATTGCCCCAGCGGTGGCTGCAGCCCGGCAGGTCTGTGACGCCACCGTCTATAAGCTGTATATCAAAAGCATGGGATGGTTTGTGGCGGTTTGTAGTCTCTTCTTTGCGGCCCTCTGGGGTCTGTTCACCAATTACCCAACCATATGTGCGTCTCCGCTGCCTTTATCTTCAATCGATTTCATCAATTAACTTGATAACCCAGGGCTCACGTACTGGAGTGACGCCACCGAGTCCGTCCATCCTGCGCACTCGAACTCCTACTACGCAGGTGTCTATGCCCTCCTGCAGGTCTGCGCCAGCATCGCCCTCCTCCTCCTGGGGATAACGCTCTTCATCGTCTCTGTGAAGAAAGCCGGCGCCAATCTCCACCAGCAAGCCTTACGCACCCTGATTCGTGCCCCACTCTCCTTCTTCACGAATACCGACTCCGGGGTGGTCACAAACCTCTTCTCCCAGGATCTCAACCTCATCGACACCGAACTCCCCGAGGCTACCCTCAACACCCTCTTTTGCGTATTTCAGTCGATCGGCCAAGCAGTAGTGATGCTGACCTCGTCCGTCTACCTGGCCATCAGCTACCCGATCCTGGGCGCCTTGCTCTACTTCGTGCAGAAATACTACCTCCGCACGTCGCGGCAGCTGCGATTGCTCGACCTGGAGGCCAAGAGTCCGCTCTACACGCATTTCCTCGACACGCTCAAGGGGATCGCCACGCTGCGCGCCTTTGGGTTCATCCCGGATGACATACACAAGAACGCCCGTCTGGTGGACTCCAGCCAGCGCGCGGCGTATCTCCTCCTCATGATCCAGGAGTGGCTGAACCTGGTCCTCAACCTCGTCGTGATGGTCATTGCGGCGGTCCTGACGACGCTGGCCGTCCGGCTGCATTCGAACTCGGCCTTCGCCGGTGCATCGGTGTATTCGCTGATGACCTTCAGCGAGAGCCTCTCCGGGATCGTGATCTACTACACCAGACTGGAGACCTCCATCGGCGCGATTGCGAGACTGAAAACCTTCAACGAGATCGTCACGCCGGAGGACCATGACGGTCCCGGGGAGGAGGACATCGTCCCAGACACGAACTGGCCGGATCGCGGGCTGGTCGAGTTGCGCGGTGTATCCGCCCGGTACAAATCCACCACCGTGTCTGAATCCGACTCTGAGTCCGGCTCTAACTCCGCCGTCTCTGGCGCCAACAAGCCGCCCCTAGCCCTCAAGAACATCACTCTAACCATCCATCCGGGGGAAAAGGTCGCTATCTGCGGCCGCACCGGCAGCGGCAAATCCAGCTTCCTCGCTCTCCTGCTGAAACTCCTCGATCCGCTGCCCTCAACCGACAACAATCATGAGCAGGAACCTCCGGTCTTGATCGACAACATCCCGCTGCACCGCATCCACCGCGCGACCCTCCGCCAACGCCTCATCGCCGTCCCCCAGGACCCCGTCTTCCTGCCCGACGGCTCGTCCTTCCGCGCGAACCTCGACCCGACCAACACCGCGACCCCGGCGGAGTGTCAGCGGGTCCTCGAAGCGGTCCGGCTGTGGGGGTTCGTCCAGGAACGGGCGGAGGGGCTGCATGCGCCCGTCACGGCGGGGACCTTGAGTGCCGGGCAGAGGCAGCTCTTCTCGCTGGGGCGGGCGGTGCTCCGTGCTATGATCCGCCTGCGTTCAACGTCTTCCTCCCCCAAGGAGGGGTCCGACAATCAAGGTCAAGGGGGGGTCCTCCTCCTCGACGAAGTCAGCTCCAGCGTGGACCGGGAAACCGAGCGGATGATGCAGGAGATCATTCGGGCGGAGTTCAGACGCTACACGATCATCGCGGTGAGTCATCGGCTGGAGATGATCATGGATTTCGATCGGGTGGTGGTGATGGATCGCGGGGAGGTGGTGGAGGTTGGGAATCCGGCGGCCCTGAAAGGGAGGGCTGGGAGTCGGTTTGGGGAGTTGGTGGCCGCTGCTGGTGCGTAGCAACTTTTCACAGCATCTGTCCAGTACTAGCTCTGCCCTAGCATAATCAATGATCACCCGCCCATCATCTCGTCTTGAGGGTTCTACAAAATCAGCAAGTCCAGCGGTTCGGCCACAACAATTCCTTGGCTCCATTCGATGATGCGACGCAAGGCTGTCTGTCATTCAACGATGTGCAACTATCAAGATGTCCACGCTCTGGTAGGCCTCCAAATCCTACAACTCCTGTTACTGCACAGAAGGAGCTGATAACACCATCAGCAATTTCCCAGTGTCCCACAACTTTAAATAGTGAAGCCATCTTTAGTGCTACCATGAACTCCAGCAGTGGGAAACAGCTTCCTCGTGTGCGCGCCTGAACTTTACGGGAAATGCTGCCCTAACCTAATGGCACCGCCGCATCCTTTGGGGCTAATTGTCTAGATACTAGTACCATTAGTACTAGATATTCCATCCTTTTATCGGAATATTGAATATTTGCTGGTCCATGTATTATAGTGCGTTGAAGTTGGGCTTCCTTGGACGGGATGGGCGAAAAAGCGTTGACATCAGAAAACCTACACAGTAAAGCACCTCAAAAGGCTCATGGGGTTGCAGTTTCAAACCGCCAGATAAGCCTGTCCAATCGGCCTTCCAGAGAGCTACAAGTTCCCCACTAACCTGTGATCGAGGGCTTACCGATCAACATAGCCCCTGCACTCTAAACACGAGTCTTGGCTCCTGAGGCGCGGTTAAACGGCGGCCCTCCTTCAATTAAGGAACACGGAATTATCATATGTTCCAATGATATCCAATTTCCCATCGCCGCCTCGTATTCATCAAGGCCCAAGCGTTTTGCATTCCGAGAATGACCCCTTTGCTTTTCTATGCCCCCCGCGACACCAAAGAGAGCCGCATCTCCTTGGTGGAGAGAACACCACCCGAATGTAACCATTAAACCCAGACCCACTCTTACGAGGTGTGGAGGGTAATTAGAGAACGACAGGTCCTAGTTTTCTCCACTGCGCCCTGAGTTCTTGCATTTTTGCTTGTCTTCCCTAGTTCCTGTTTCCAAGCTCGCGAACAACATGGCGACCACATACCAAGCATATGTTCCTCAGGGTCAGGGACAACAGCCTGCCCAGCCCGTCCAAGTCAAACCTCCAATTTCAAAATGGTGGTGGATCAACTTTTTGATCACGTCGCTTGTTACTCTCGCCGTTGGCGGCGGGCTACTAGGCGTGGGACTGGGTTCGTTCGATGGGAGCTCTGGGTCGGTGACGACGTATGGAGGCATCATCTCTGGCGGTTTCGCGTGTATCGGGATAGGGGCGCTCTTCAACATCTTGTTCTGGATCTTTTGGACGATTTGGTTTAGGCGTTACCGACGCATTCAGCGCCAACACCAACAGTATACGATTGTCTATCTCGATGCTGCTGGCCAGCCATACGCCACTGCTACCGCTCCGCGAACATTCCCCCAACCACCTACGAACTATCCTCCGACGCAGTATCCGGCTGCGACGAAATATCCCGCTGTCCATCATCCTCCGGCGAACGCTGTGTCTCCGCAGCCTATAAGGTATGCAGCGGCAGAGCTTGGTACAATGGCGCCGCAGCCCACAGAACTCGCGTTACAACAGCCACCACACATCACAAGCATCGAGCTGGCGGCTCAACAGCGGGCGGAGCTGGCTGCCAGCACAGTCCCGATCTTCCACTATAGTCAACGGTCGGATGAAGGAGCGTTGGGAATGGAGGAACGCGGCGAGAATGACGCGGCCGAGGAGATGCGCCGGCAGGTGGTAGAGTGCAGGAAGAATGTGCAAGGCCTCGAGCATCCAGACACCCTCTCAAGCATGAATCGCCTTGTAACCGTGACCCCAGTGCCAGCATCCCTCGCGAAGATCGTTGAGATCGATAAGGCGATCGCTGCGACCGATGGCCTCGCCTCAGGCGTCGATAGCGTTATCCAGGCGGACTTCGACTACTCGTCGGGTCAGTGGGGGAGCGAAGAGATCCTCGTCCTGGACAAGGCAGCTATCAGCGAACTGCTGTACAAAGTGCTCCAGGATGACCAGACCGCCGGCTTCCGCAGCCGCGACGTCGTCACCTACGAGGGAGACAAGCAGAAGCCACCTTATGTACAGCTTAACTCTATCGGCGAGACGTTTCGTCCGTATCGGATCGCGAAGCGCCAAGACGGCCGACTGGTCGTCTATGGCCATGCGGCTCTATATCGAGCCAAGCGCGCGTTGGACCGTGCGAAGAACCCATCCGCCACCCCGTCGGCAGCAGACTTGATCACCGAGCTCATCGACCTCGGTCATGCGGAGGGGGCGCTGCTCGCCCCCAGGGGTTCGGAACTACAGGGGCGCGTCCGGTCGATCGGGTCGGCGCTGAACGATGCCGGCGGTAAGATGCTCATGCTGCAGGCGCACGAAGCTGTTCGCGACAGACTTGGAGCCACCTGTGCCCACCAGTTAGAAGTTGCTTGGGATGGGGTCGGCGACTGGCTCGGTTAGCTCGTGATGCTCTAGGGACAAGGCGAACAGTATAATGTACGAAGGTTGAAGAAAGTCTAATCCTTAGGGGGGGGTTTCCAAAGCCGAGCTCATTCGTTGGGAGGAGAGTTTGCTACGTAGCTATTCTTTGATGTCGCGGCCGTAGGAGACCCGAGAACTGTTAGGGAAAAAGGAGGTGCGGGTGCAGGGGCGAGACAAAACCGCTCTGGTCCTCTTCTTGGACGGAACATGGCTTCCCCTAGCAGAATAACATCACAACAACTGCCAGAGTGCTGGTCCCCAGCACCACGTAGAGGTTTTTGCCCGTCGCTGGAGGTTCCATGTGACGCAAGGCACCTTGGGTTTTGGGTCGAAGACTCTGACCCATCACCGGGTCCGGGTTACGATTGGGTAACCCAGCCTAGGTCTGGGGCCCCAACTTGGGTTACAAACATAACATGCAACTTGGGTTACAAACATAACATGCACGCCAGGGCCTGTGACTATACATAAATTATGCATCTTTTTGTCTGCAATATTAAGTATTTCCTTCACAGCGGAATTAAATCGATCTCAATATAAGGCAAAATCAGCAGGAGACAAGTACATTCAACGAGAAAGATTAGGCTAGGGAAAAGAAGAGGAAAGTATGGGAAGAATAATATATTTTCACCTAATGGTTCCTTCCCCCCGATGAAAGTTCGGATGAAATATTACTAAAGACACTTAAAGACATCATCATCCCAACTCTTACGCTTCCGCCCTAAGGCTGTCAGGGGTCGGAATGAAAGTGGTGATAGTTTATATATATATACCTCAACCTTCGACAATCACTATAGTCTAAGAATGATTCTTTAACGACCACTTATTTAATCAAATTAATACTTTAGATAACTATAATTACTATATATTTCATATAAAAATTATAATTTTTTAAAAGCATATTTGCTAGGCCCTAGGCATAGGCCTACGATAGGAGAAATTGAAATCTAAAAACTATTAAAATTTTGGTTATTGCTACACCCTACTGCCTACTTTGAGAGGCTAATAACTGCCTATCTAGGCCTAGTTTTTGCGGTTAAACTTGCACCAAACCGGTCAGGGTTGGATTTGATTTTAGCGGTTCAGTTATGCAACTCTATCTAGGCCTAGGTTAGGTTAAATAAGCTTATCAGCTTCTAGAGGCCCTAGATCACAAAATGGGTTATCCATATCCATGTGGATTAGGCAGGTTCAACCCATATCCATGTGGGTTGGGTCAGCCAGTCTACTAGGGTCACAACAGCTTTCTCTAGTTAAAAACATATTCTATCCGTATCAATTCGCAGGGGAAACATTATACTTAAGGAAACCGTGGTACGTCGCGCTGATGGAAAGTCCACTAATGCCTCCAGAATTCATATTATCCACCCCCGAAGCTAGCAAGGGATCGAGGTCTTGAGATTAGTTTGACGCGCATACACAACTCAAAAGAGACTCACTAGAACGAAGATACGCTGTGTCGAATTACCGGCTGGCTAAGGCCCTTGAAAGTCTGAATCAGATGCTGTTAAAGAGCATATCATTGAGGTACTTCTTATCTTTTCAAAACTGTTGTATTTGTGAACCTATACCATACTTAACCCATACATGACTATATTAGTACTTCGATATATCAGAACTTGATCACCCAGCTGGATCTCTGTCTCCGCAACATGTAGTCTCTTCCATCACCTTCTCATTCCCACTTTAGTCGGGGAACTACTATATGAGGGACTGGGCGATGGAAAATCCCTCCTCAAGACAGTCTGCGCATTTAGCGAACTAGTTTTCAGAAGTAGAAAAATACAGTCAGCGACACCAAGAACATTCAGGCGAGACAGCATCAAAATAAAGTTGGAAGGAAATCTTACTCCCGCACTTCCAATAGCCGCTAGGGCATCTTTGAAGCAATTCAGATTATCACTGGGATTTTTACCCTGGCTTACTGCCGCGTTGCCACAATCCACAACAACAGAAGCAAATTGACTGAGACAAACTATGTTTTGGTTTAGTATCCATTAAAGATGAAATAGTTGTGTCGTTGTGACATGAGGGTCGTAAAGTAATTACCGGCATCGTCAGCGATATTACAATTTCCCAGGGTGGAAAAGTCGATAGCAGCGCCCACAAAGTCTCCTTGTTTCAAAGCCTTGACAATGGTTTCAACTGCAGAAGTTTCGGTAGTGTTGGTGGCAGCCTTGACTGCGACAACTGCAGCAAAGACATTGAAGAGAGAAGTGAGGCGCATGGTGTCGTTTGGGGTTTGCGGTTTGATGAGGCTTGAGAGACGGATGTTTGATGTTTTAGATTTAAAAAGAGGACAGGTCTACACCCTTGTATTTATGTTAATGGATGATTTCAACGGCACTTTAGCAATAACGAAGCGATTGCCAGATGTTGGGGCGGAAACGGAGAGAGGTCGAGAGTCCCCGTATTTGGAAAGACATTACTGCTTATTGCGACTCAAGAACAGCCTATAATGTCCTTTCTCTTGATCCATATTTCGTGTTCTTGAGAACATTCACAAGATTAGCGATCAAACTATTCTCTATTACGAATGATCATCCAGCACTATATGGATTATACGAGATACCCTAGGAAGCGTCGTAATCACCAAACCTAAACAAACGTTGATAAGTTGGCTAGCGCAACTAACGTCGGCGCTCAAGTCCAATTCATATCCTACTATATTTCTCTATCAATTTCTGACGGCGGGTGGCTGAGACGGGGCGATCTGCGTCGATGGACACTAAACGACGAAGATACGAGCTCTGAAGAAACCTCCGCATGTCGTTATTTTGAGGGACAGCATGCAGGTCCCAAAGTCCCTCCAAGTACGAATTATTCGTTCTGAGGAAGACAGCCTGCAAATCCCTGCGCATGCATTGATTACAAGCCGTAAACCGGAGGTCTGTTCGAGTCCTATACTATAAGTCAAGGTTCATGCGATTCGTCGGAACGAGACCCCAAGCTTCGCAGTTCATAGCTGAGTGAGAGCTAAGCAGATTTTAAGCAGGGTTTGTTATAGGATGGCTGTTAATCTTCCTTGTCCATCGCCTCTTTTTCCTTTGCACACTAAAAACCAGGCTCCTAAGTCTTGCTGCGTCTCAGCCAACGCAGCCTCGGGGTCTATTCATTTCCTTGACTCAAATATCTGGGAGAAGACTCCTTTAGTCCTTGCTCTTTCCATCTCGTACATGGCTGCCTCAAATCTGCGCCCCCCCCCCAAACCAACAAAATATCGCGTCTAGGCAGATACGGCAGACTTTGCCATTTGCTAATTGTCCGCCAGCCACGCGAGATTCCCCTGATGTCTTCCGCACCACGACATAATGCCGCTTAGCCTCAATGGCCAGTGTGTCCAAGGCTTCCCTGACTTTCGTATTCCCCCAATTTAAAGTTATCAGCCTTGCTGATCATTATCCGTATAAGTATCCGCGCCCCAGTCCAACTGTGGCGCAGTTGTTGTGAGGCCGATTTAGGGCCTGGTAACCAGGCACCGAAGCGAACACTCCAGCAATTGAAGAAGTCGCATTCGGCCCCCAAGCCTGGTGGGGGGAGACAGAGTATCATTTGGAGTAAATACTGATAACGTAATCGGTAAGCGAGCGGGCCACGCAACCGAGCGGGCCACTAAACGCGTTTTGACTCTCATTTTAAAAGCTGCAGTATCTAACTGGCCACCATGCCACCAAAAGCGCGTACAAACTCGAAAAATTCAGTTGAGCAGGAAGGACGGATAATTCTTGCTATATCAGCCCTTAAAAAGCAAGAGATTCGCAATGTCCGTGAAGCAGCGCGTGTTTATAATATGCCCGGACAACTCTCCAGCATCGATTGAATGGGCAGAGTTTTCAGGCTGAGACATGCGCCAATAGGCATAAAATGACTCAGAATGAAGAGAAATCGCTTATTAGATAGATTCTATCTATGGATCAACGTGGAGCAGCTCCCTAACCATCCCATGTGTAAGAAATGGTGAATATTCTGCTTGTGCAGCGTGGTTCAACTTCTACCCAGACTATTAGAGAGAAATAGGTATATAACTTTATTAATCAGCATGATGAGATCAAAACCTAGTTCTCTAGGCACTATAATAACCAGTGCGCTAAATACGAAGATCCAAAGATTATTCTGGAATGGTTTAATCATGTCTAGATTATAATGATGCAGTATGGGATTACACCTAAAGATATCTATAACTTTAATAAAACTGGCTTTGTAATAGCCTTAGTAGCTACTACTAAGGTAGTTATAAGAGCTAAGATGCTTGGTTAGCCATTTCTTATCCAGCCAGGGAACCGCGAATGGGTTACATCTATAGAGTGTGTTAACTCTACTAGATGGGTGCTTCTGCCATGCATTATCTTTAAAGGAAAGGTTTATATTAAGGGCTGGTATCAAGATATGGCCTTACTAGCTGACTGGCGGATTGAGGTCAGTAAGAATGGATGGATGACTGATCAGATTAGATTATAATGGCTTCAAAAAGTCTTTATTCCTGCTACTACCAGTTATACAACTGGTAGATATTAACTATTGATTCTTGACGGCCATGGGAGCCATCTAACTCCTCAGTTTAATCAAATCTGCACTGAGAATGATATTATTCTAATCTATATGCCTGCACATTCATCACATCTCCTCTAACCTCTGGATGTTGGCTATTTCTCTCTGCTAAAACATGTGTATAGCTGCTTAATTGAGGAGAAGATGCAATCTAGTTTTAACTATATTGATAAGCTTGACTTCCTTAAGGCCTATCCACAGGCCTATACAGCAATCTTTTCATCAGATAATATTAAAAGTGGCTTCTCAGCAACTGGATTAATACCACTAAATCCAGATTAAGTACTTAGTCAGCTTAATATCTAGCTTAAAACCCCTATACCACCAGGCAGCTGATCAACAGATTCCATCCTAAAAACACCTTATAACCTCAAGCAATTAAAGAAGCAGGAAAGTACACTTAAGAAGCTACTCAGGGAGCATATATATAGTCCTCCTACGCCTACTAAGGCTGCGCTAGATCAGCTTATCAAGGGGTGTGAGATGGCAATGAATAACACTATCCTTCTTGCAAAGGAAAATCATGATCTACATACCACACATGAGAAGTAGCTTTAAAATAGGAAGCAATCTAGGAGGCAGATAGAAGCTGCAGAGGGATTCTCTATCCAGGAAGGGCAGCAGTTCATTCAACGCAGGAATCAGGCCGAAGCTATCCCAACTATCCCTACGGAGCAGGCAGTAGATGCAGAACAATGCCCTCAACGGGCACCCCCACACTGCAGTGACTGTCATATTATAGGCCATAAGTGATTGCAATGTCCGCAGCGCAAGAATAGCTAGATTTAGTAATATAAATCATGTTTTAGGCGTTCAAATACCCTCCAATTTTGACCGCGGCCAAAAGAAGCATGTAAGGTGGCCCGCTCGGTTGCGTGGCCCGCTCGCTTACCGATTACGTTAGCTGATTATCAAGTTTTAACTCCCATCATCCATGGGATCATTAAGATTCACCACGAATTAATTTGAACGCTGGATGTTGTATTGCAGATTCTCAAGCTGATCTGAAGAGAATTAATAGACGGGGCCAAATTCTTCTTGTTAATAACTGTTCCAGGAGACCTGTTTATTTAAATTTCGGGTAGACAGGTAAGTAATTATCCACAGCAGGAAAAAGCACAGCTCCAATCAGAGAATTCCAGAAACCCATTTTCTGTTAAGGCCGTCCCCTGATAGCTCTAAACAGTACGAAAACGTATAAGCAGCTTGCCGGATTGGCAGCAGTTAGGGATGACGCAGAATCAGACAAAAAGAAAAGGCTTATTAGAAAGCTTATTATCCACATTCAGGGATCGGACAACAGGAACTAAGCAGAATCCCGGCGGTCACACACCCAGGGGACACAAAGGCTGGGTATTTTCTGTTACCTTCTCTCCCAACGGCAGGTTGCTGGCTTCTGCATCATTAGACAAAACGCTTCGACTCTGGGATGCGGCAACGGGCACCATGCTGCAGACCTTCAGGGTGGATAAAGGGTGGGACACTCTCTGGCACGTCCGCGGCGACAAGTCTATATCCTTCTCGCCTGACGGTGCGATAGTGGCGTCCGCATCTAAGGATGGGGCAGTCCGGCTCTGTGATGTGGTGACCGGAGCTATCTTGCGGACACTCGAGGGACACATAAGCTCGGTTAAGTCCGTGATCTTTTCACCAGATGGTAAGATGGTAGTATCCGCATCGGGAGACGGGACAGCCCGGCTCTGGGACGCGAAGACTGGCAACACCCTGCAGATACTCCGGGGGCATACAGAATGTGTCAAGTTGGCCGCCTTCTCTCCCTCCAGCAGAGTGGTGGCAACCGCATCGGACAGGATGATCCGGCTCTGGGATACGGCGACAGGTACTGCACTACAGACGATCAAAGGGAGGGGAGAACTCTTATTCGATTTGTTATTCTCACCCGACGGCAAGTTCATAGTTTCCGCGACCTCGGACGAATATGGTGAAGATGTGACTGTCCAGCTCTGGGACCAAGCAACGGGTGCACCCCTAAAGAAACTTGAGGGCCTGGCAGTACCCGTCGTGTTTATGGCCTTTTGCCCGAACGGCGAGGTGCTGGCGACCGCATCGACGGACGGGATAGTTCGCCTCTGGGATGTGACAACCGGCGCCATCCTCCAGAGGCTCAAAGGATTCCCGTCTATGTCGTTCTCTCCTGACGGTAAGGTCGTGGCGACCGCATCGGGCAAGAACGTCAGGCTCTGGGATGTAGCAACGGGAGCTTCCCGGCAGAAGCTCAAGGGGCATTCAAGGACGGTGGAGTCTGTAGCGTTCTCACCCACCGGGGAGATGGTGGCATCCGCATCGCGCGATAAGATGGTCCGTCTCTGGGATGTCGCAACGGTTCACATATCTTAAACCAAGATTGACGAGGCCTTGGGAGTACTAGGAATGCTCTCCCGGGTGTCCAGAACTTTATCATGACATGACCACACGAGGAAAGCGAGGCCAGAGATCCAGATTTCTGCAATCTGCAAATCACCGCTTCCTTTAACGTCGAAGAGCATGTAGATAACTGCTCATTTGTCACTAAGGTCCGACGGATGATGATACCCTATAGCTAATATTTATTAAATAGCTCTAATACTTCTATTATCACTTACTGCTCAGCCTAATCTGCACTATAGGGACCCTAGATACCTTATAGGTCCTCCTTGTGCTGCAGCCTGCAGGCACAGTAGGGGGGTAGTAATAGGACATCCCTACGGTGAGACAGATTTAAGCTAAGCGAAGCTCATCGACACTGCGAGCCGATGGCTCGATCCTGCAGGTGGCCTTAGGCCCCCCACATATATTATCAGGTCTCGGGGCTGCGAGCCGATCGATCCTCCGGATGGCCTTTGCGACAGAGGATGAGGGCTGTAAGTCGCGCTGTCCAGGCAGATGCTACCATGTAGGCCAAAGGACAACTATGCAAAGCCCACATGGCTGATCAAGCCTAGATCCAATATAGGCACCACCACGGCTCTGCGGGGGGCCTGTCAGCAATCAACTTAACAGGGCCATTGAGGCTTAGAATACTTGAATATTATTGGTCAATTTACACACACTCTTCTTAGTTACAACTTACAAGCGTCCCACGCCCCCAGTTCAACCACACTGGTTGGAGCGGATGAGGGCGGGTTTTGCAGAGCAGGTTTAACAGCTTGTGTGGAGTTGTTTGAAATTTGGCAGTGATATTGCACACGACCCGTGGGTAACACCAAGATGATTGATGATTTGTTGATATACAGCCCACATCACACAGAGACATATGAAGGATTCAACTACTGGGCGTTGGGGCTGAACTATGAAAACTAGTGATGAAAACTAGTGAGGTCAACTGGAGTATGATTTATTGTTAATGCTGTGCAAGATTGTTATATCGCTCCCTGATTAGGGAGGATATGATTTGACAACCTGTGTCATATAAAGTGGAGGATACTTTCGCCCCCAACGAATATTATTAGACATGATAATTGATACATGGCATCGTMTATAAAAGAGAGCAGGAAGTACCCGATAGCTGAGATAGGATCCACCCTCAAGACAATCGACAGGATTACATGAATGGTGTCCTATCCTCAGTAAGTTCTAGCCACCCTAGAGATTAGTCAAAGAGCTCTTTTCCGAACTAACAGTGTTCAGACCTCATAGTCCAGAGTCCTGTTAGCATTTTATAGCTGCACAGCTTCATAACAACAATGCGTTCCACAGCAGCAGTATTACTGGTCGGGTGCCTCGCAACTCTGGCGCAAGGTTGCTTGGATGTCACACTGAAATTATATTGTCCGGCTCTTGAACCATACTGTCTCTGGGATCTGATCACTTTCGTCGACAATGGCGTCACAACTTGTGCCGGCGCAACTCAGGACACCTTCCACAGTGGAACGGCTGTATCGAATTGCATGAGTGGATATGGACTGTCAGTGTCGTTTGGCAGTGGGAATTTCCAGTGGACATACAATACACCCCACGGGTCGTATAGCAAGGAAGTCCCAGCTGCTTATGAGGCGTCTGGCTGCAGCCCAGGCCTATATGGCGCAGGTTGCATGGAGAGCAGCACTTGGTATATCACCGATGAAAAGTTCTACGGCTGTTAAAGTTATAACCACTTTTCGGGGGATGGAATGGAAAGGTGAACATTGCTGATATGGTGGGGAATTAAGCCACAATTTGTTTTGTGACTTCAAGCTTCCTAATGCCTACCCCGGGGCGCAACCCCTGGGGTAGATGAAAAGCGCGATATCAACATCGCCACAGAGAAGGTGATTGTCCTCTTACCTCCCTTTTACTTAGCCATGTCTGATCAGTTACTTATAATAAATGGATTCACTTTCTCCCTTTACCACTGTCATTTTCCAGGCCCACTTGTCTCCTTCCTTGATCCTTGTCAATCCCGACTCATCCTTTTGGATATTAGCTGAATGGTCGAGTAGATCACAAGGTGAGCTTAATCCTTCGGTCCATCCACAGCCACTCCTTCTCGAACAATCTCCTCAATCCACCTAGTAATCATCCTACGGTCCTTAATATTAGCGCCATATACCATAATACCTATAGAAATCAACTTATGAGTTCCGCTTGGTATCGGCAAAGCCCTTATGATCTCGAAATAACTTCTCCTTACAGCACGGATCTTGCTTCATACGTTTGTAGTCTTTACTACTGCACAACTTGGCTGAAGCAGTTATAGTCGGCCACGTTGACCATCTGGGAATCAAACAGATACCCCATAAGCTCGCGTGTGGGTGTCGGATTGTGAATCATAGTCCATCGCTTGATCCCGTACTTGACCATCAAATCTTTGGTCATGGGCGCCGACATTTGCGTCATATTGTGCCGGTAGGCTTCTTCGCTCATACCAGGCTTGCGGTAGCCGCAAATCGTGAAGCAGAGGTATTTACTCGGTGGCGTTTATGGACTGGCCACATTGTCTTCTGAGAGGAATTGAGGTTGATAAAAGCCTTCTATGTAAATATGTCGATCATACAAAATTAGGGAGCCAAGGACGCCGGGTGCTGCAGGATCATAAATAACCCTCGGCTGTCGCTCGGAGGGAGGAGGGGGTATGGAGACAAGTCAAACCCCGATATCATCATACATAAGATTCGCGCCAGGACAGATTGTCGATATCTCTTCTTCTTTTCTGTATCAATCTAAACTTGGTTTATACGTATCATCTCAAAATCGGAATTATGGCACAAATACATTGTCAGATTGACATCCAGGCCGCTGCAGTGGTCTCTGGCTCTTTTCTATCAGGTACCTATGACCCTTAATGATTCAAGATCTAGTCTACACAAAAGAAAGAGTTCTTCTAACCCGATTAAAAATACAGGCCCAATGATGTCCGTCTCCCTGGTCATGATCCCAGTCCTGTTAGATACCAGCACCCAATCCATGCAACTATTAGACCAATTCGAGACTCTATATGCCTACGGCCACAAGATCATGCCTGCCTCTCAATCAGCACCTGTGCTCTGTATATTTTTGTCGCCACCAAAACGCGAGTCGCAGGGTTTTCATGGTCGATCTACGGTCTTGCAGCGGCAGCGACCAGTACCATGATGCTATTTACGTGGGTTTTCATGGCCTTAACCAGTAACGCATTGTTTGGGCTGCACGCCGCGTCAGATGCTGCTTTGGAGGAAGAACGAAGACTCAGTGTCCGATGGCAGTGGTTGCATGTAGCACGCTCGCTTTTTCCGTTGGCGGGGCTGCGATAGGCTGGAAAGGGCCGCGGGCCAGTCTTCGGTAAAGAGAACGATAGCGAATTGGGAATTGTTCGGGTGTAGGCAAATTCCAAGGTTCAAGGGTGGACTCTGACCCAAGTACCCAGGGCTCATTGTCGGGCGTTGTTCAAGATTGCCCGAGCTCACGTAGCGGTCAGTTTCAGTGAAGGCTTCTTGGTCGGGGCATATTAACAAGGAGTCAAACCGGGTTATTAAGTGAAGCAAGGCAGTTCGTTCATGAGTTGTTTTCTGTTTATTTTCCTACAATCATCCTAATTTGAATTTGTTTCCTGAAGGCGTCTATCATCCGCAGTTTTTGATTGAAACAAAATGACAGTAGACACAAATGACCAAATCTTTGCGCATGACGCTGCATTTTGGCAAAACTACAGCCCGTCCACAGCCCCCTTCTAGTCTCTTCCAACGCATCTATGATTACCATCAGCAACAGAACGGCTACTTCGGCGTGGTTCACGATGTAGGTGCTGGAAACAGAGTCTACTCGCGCATTTGCGATCTCAGTTCTAACATGTCATCGTGTCGGATGTGGTCTCCGAGAACGTCCATCAGGCCGAAAAGAGATTAGGCACGGACGCGTACAGCTACCGCGAGGGGAAGATGGAGGGTATCAAGGATATCGCGGATGGGTCGGTGGATTTAGTCCTCGCATTGAACGCCATCCATGGGCGGATCAGACAGCAGCCGTGGAGACGATCGCGGCGCAATTGAAGCCTGGAGGTTCCTTTGCTGCTGCAACATTTGGAGCTGCACGGTTCCGCGATGCTCGTGTGCAGGATATATGGGAGCGCATCATGATCGAGGGTGGCCTACTTCTGTTGAAGACCGCCGAGAACCCCGGGACACGATCAATGTCATGGCCCGCAGCCAGGATCGCTACAATGTCGCACCTCTGGATGAGCGGTTTTTCCAGCCCGGAGTGCGGCGCATCTTCGTGAACATGGAGACCGGGGTGTTTACGGGCATCCTGCCACCCGAGAACCGATTCAGTGTGACGGATCCCGACTCCAGGAGCATTTTCGGTCATTTTCTCATGCTGCTCAGGACCCCGAGGCTTTTGCACCGCTCTGGAAGGAGGTTGAGGATTTGGTTCGCCAAGGAAGTCGGCTTGATGGATCCTGGCCTGTCACGGTGGTTCTGGCAAGGCGCAAAATTGATTAATTACTGCCAGCTCATGGTCAGTCTTTGGCATAGTTCATGTCGGGATATAGGATCAGCATAATTCAGTAGATCGCGCTAGGAATGAATTCAGCCGACACGACAATCGGGCTAGTCGGAATGGTTGTTCCACTTAAAATCATGCGTCGTAGCTTTCAAGGATGGAGCTTCGGATCAAGGGTTCTGTCAATCAGAAGAGAAAGAATGGCATATGCAGTTCTTCCAGTGACGGGGAACTGCAGGACTGCGTTGATCCATCAACTCCTGCAATTGCCCGTTCGGATCCACGCCTACTGCCGAAACAAGCCCAAACTATTCGTGCTGATTCCCGAGCTTGCAGACAACAAACAGGAGCAAATCTTCGAGGGTAGCATCCACGATGTCGAACCTCCTGACCGATTGTCTTCGGGGCTCTCGGGCCGTCTTCCTCGGGGTCTCGACCAACGACAACATCCCCGGGTGCCGCATGGGCCAAGATACCGCTCTTGGGTTAATCAAGCGCTGGAAACCAATACGTGCCGAGTCGAGATGTCATTATCCCGAAACTCGTCGTTCTTCCAACACGATTGATGATCAACTCTCCCAACACACGCCGCCCTGGGTGTGATGGATCTTGCTCCGCTCGGCGTCGCATGTCTACCAGGACCTTTGGGTGACCGATGATCTCCTCCGCGCCTAACATGAATGGCTCACGAGCATCTTCATCAAGCTGGGGAGGGTTGTCAGTGGATGTTGCCCACGGATATGCACTGAGTTTGACGGAGGAGCGGAGCCCCTTGTCCTATGCCGACCTGGCTGCCGGGATGATTGAAGCCGTGAATGATCCCGACGGCAGGTGGGATATGCGGAATGTACGGGTCCTATCCGTCAATGGACCCGCCAAGTTTCCCCCGGGGTCCCTATGCGTATTGCGATGGGGTTTATCCGACACTATCTGCCTTTCTTGCATCTGTATTTGGCGTCGACGGGGCCAGCTTAGTTTTGGTGATCTGGATCTCCGTACTGTGGTCTCTACATAGAAAGTTTTGCGTCATGACCAGCCTGTTCTTCTTGTTCATCCACCTGTGCAACAGAGAAACATCCCAGTCCCAGTCTCATGATTGGTCTCTCCAAAGACCGACACTCAGTTTCAACACCATTATTAATGCTTAGTAATGGTACGGGAGTAACTAGTTACTTACCTAGCTCTAGTAATGTCACGTCACTTTTGTATATATTTTGAATGAGGGACCGTATGGTGATTTTTCGAAGCATAGCACACTCTTGAAACCATTTTAAAATCCAATTCCATCCAAATCCACTTCAATCCAGTCTTCACCAATAACTGAATAACTCAATATCCAACAATGGCATCCAACATCATCCCAATCAAAGTCTGGGGCAAAAGCGGTCCCAACCCCCCCAGAGTAGCCATCGTTCTCGAAGAACTCGGCCTTCCACACGAGTTCCAACCCATCACCCTCGCCGAGGTCAAAAACGCAGAGTACCTCGCCATCAACCCGAACGGCCGCCTCCCAACGATCTACGACCCAAATACGGACCTCACGCTGTGGGAATCCGGCGCCATCATCGAGTACCTCGTGGAGCGGTACGACACCGCGCGCAAGATCAGCTTCGAGCCCCACTCGAAGGAAGCCCAGCTGGCGCGACAGTGGCTATTCTTTCAGGCATCCGGCCAAGGCCCATGCAGGCGTGCTGGTTCAAGAAGTTCCACCCGGAGCGGGTTCCCAGTGCGATGGAGCGGTATGTGAAGGAGATTAACCGGGTGACGGGGGTGGTGAATGAGTTCTTGAGTAAGCAGGAGACCGGGGAAGGGGGGCCGTGGTTGGTTGGGGGACGGGTTTCGTTTGCGGATTTGGCGTGGGCTAGTTGGCAGATTACGGTGACCAAGTTTATTCAGGAGGAAGATGGGTATGATGTGAATAACTTTCCTGTTGTGAAGGATTGGTTGGATCGCATGTTGGCGCGGGAGCCGGTGAGGAAGGTGATTGAAGAGGCTCGGAAGCTGTAGAGCCGTGGCTTTGGTGTTGAAGAAAAAACTCTTTGGCAAAACATAGTCTACTGATACATTGCACTGCACCCGTCACAGTGCACATAATTTTATTCCTCTTTTCTTGCTAATTTAATTGGTCCTATTCTTGCCTACATGCGCGCGGTATACGACCATGCAGGTGGAAGAAGGACTTCCAGAAACTCTTCGTGGCCGCTGCGTCAACCACCACCCTCTAAGGACTGCGACCACCCACGCGCCCACACAGTCGCACTACTAAAGGCCACCAGGCAGTGGCTGATACCGCTAGGATGACTAGTCAACAAGCAACTAGATCGTTTTACTACCCACATTCTTTCTTGTCTTTCAATTATTGCTGTGGCTGATGGCACATGTGGAGCAATCTTGGGCTTGACGCAATCCAAATGCATACTAAGGCTTGTGTATGGCATCATCTATCAACTATGCACATTGGCCAAGGGAACCAACCTAGCAGCAGTCAGCCCTGGTAAGCTCTGACTAACAGCACCTCTTAGCGTGCTAAATTAAAAGTATACTAAGTTAAAAATGTGATAAAGGTTATAGCATGTTAATTCCTTATATATAGTATAACTACTCTAGTACTATACCTATCTATACATCAGCACTACAGACCATCCTTGCAGACATCTCTTAGGAATCTGACCTCTTCCAAATCTTCTTATAGCTAGACCTTTGTTGTATTCTCTTTCAGTTTCCCACTGCAATTATAACTGGAAGTAATGGGATTAATAGTGACTATACTAATGGTACCAACAGCCACACCAACAGCCATACCAACCACACCGCCACCCATACCACAAAACCCTCAACGCCCTGGTTCGAACCCATCGCCATCTGCAGCATGGCCTGCCGCCTCCCTAGAGGTGTGAGCTCCCCTAAAGAGCTCTGGTCCTTCCTCCTCTCTGGCTAAGACAGGCACATCACCACCCTGAAGAACTGCTCTAATATTAATAGGTCCTACTAGGCGATAAAGCGGGCCAGCATTACTAAGTATAGATACTTCCTTAATAAGTTAGTTGACCTGGCTGGGCTGGATACCTTAATATTCTTAATAATCTAGATAGAGGTGGAATGGCTAGACCTGCAGTAGAGGATGATGCTTGAGGTGGTAAGAGAGAGTATTAATAATACTGGGGAGGTTGGGTGGAGATGCCTCTAAGATCAGAGTCTATATTAGCTCCTTCAGGCAGGATTAGTATGATATACTTAACTAGGATAAGTTAAGATATAGTGCTATAAGTGTGATTGCGAGTTATGATTTTATAATTTCTGAGAGGATCTTACATGAGATGGACCTTAAAGGGCTGAGGTATGCTATCTTTTAATAGTTCATTTTGTGACCATTTCTAACAAAGCTATTTTACTCTTAATGGGAGCACAGGTTGTTATAATATACCTGACTTTACCTGCTATCGGTTATGGATCAACCCTGGCCTCTAAACATGGTTATTTCATGTTTGACATCCTAGCTACCTGATACATGATAGGCTTTAGCAAACTACATACACACATCATCGCAGTATTCACGTATGAATTATAGCTACTTGGGCGAGTTTGTTCTTGGAATAATGTAGTCAGGGCTCTATTGGCTACAAGGAGGTAATATGTGTTTATAACTGCGCGCTCTTATACCCACCGTGACAGGCTAAGATAAATGTGGAGTCTTTGACTCAACAGGCTCTTTGCTGATTCCATTCAATGCTGGTCTCATGGCATCTCAGAAAGGTCAAGACTGCAAACCCACTTCGTCTTCCGAGATATACAGTTTCGACGAGGTTCAATCAATGTGATGTTTAAATTGTATATAATCCCTCATGTTTTCAGATGAGAATACTAACGATCAACCTTCCTCTGAAATACAACATCTAGGAGACACTAGAATCGATGGGATGTATTTCTAAACGCTGTAACAATCGATCTCTAGCTATTCAACAGGATAGATCAGCTCGCCTACATATCAAGCACCTGTAATTCCTGAAGCACAAGGGGAATATCTTCCGAGATCCTCGCCCAACCCTGGAAAGCCCACTGCAAATACAGTCCTGACTCCTGAGCCAGCTTCTTGGCTAAGGCAGCTTAGTCACTACATTAACCCCCATGGCGGTGTGCATTCAAATGACGCATCCGTCTCTCCATCATGGGGCTATCACTCGCCACCGCACCCGTCTGTATGGGGAAAACACTCCTAAGTACTGGCCGGGAGGCATCCTGGTATCGCCCTATCGACAGTGAGGACGTCGCAGAAACGGTTGGGTATGCATGATTCAGCGATTCTTGGTTCTCAATTAGGACAGATGCCTTCTCAGCCTCATAGATAGCTGACAGCGGCAACTCTTCTTCTAGCACCCCTAAGGCGATCTCTCTTTTCAACCACTGCGTGTCAGCGATCAGTCGAGGCAGGTTCGTTGACGACGGAGGCTTTTTGTAGTTGTTGAAGCTCGGCCAAACGTATGGCTTTCGGAACATTCTGTCACCCAGATTAATGATTAGCATGAGAAATGAGAGCTGCTGCGGTCAAATTCTCGACCCCGAAATCGAACGAAAACATTCAATGGACGAGGCTTGACTTACGGGTCATCGGGCAGCGCGCGGAAGCCCTGGTCTACCACCACGGAGATGCTGACCTTTTCTGTTGTGGTGTATGTATAGGTTGCTGCGCAGTGGCAGTCGTTAGCAAGGTTCCTGTCAATGAGAAAGAAGCGAAGAATTCTCATTTGCGGAATGGACCATTGGAGACGTACCCCAGCATTCACCCCCTCGGATTTGAGAATTGAACTATATCAGATATTAGACAACATTGTCAGGAGAAAGTAGAGGTAGAGTCAACAGGGAAAGATGTGTCATACACCATATGCCTCGATAAAGTGCTCGCCATCGGTGCGAGCGTTGATACGTCTGTCCCCTTCTTGGAATGGGCCAAAGGACCAAGTGATTGGGGGAGCGCTCTTGCCGTGCGTTGCGCGAAGCTGGGAGCATGGTGTCCATGTGGCAACCAACCAGTTGTTCCAGTCTTGACCTGGAAGAAATGTGTATACATTGGTTAGTCTAAAAGAATACTGAGACCGTTTGAGATATGCTATGCGTTCAACTAACCTTGTGCGGCATTGGCCTGACCATTAACGAATCGAACAACCTGGTACGCCCCTCTCCCGGCCTCTTCTAGGGAGGCTAGCGGAAACTCGTCACTATGTGAAGTAGTAAGCACAAGTATCCTGTCTTTCCTTACCTGCATGCTTTTGACACTTTGGGTTGGGGCGGGAACGGAATCTACACTTACACATCACAGCGCACACGGCCGTTCACGACAGGCTGTTTTGCGCGAGAGGCATATTCTTTATGCCGCATCCTAGGCCATTTATCCTTATAAGTCCATTCAGGTCGACTGGGAGCTTTATGATACACCCTCTTCCCATTCAGAGCTTTGTCAATAGCCCAGCGTTGGTTGTCACAAATCTGGAGCAGAGGTAAGAGTCAACCAAGAGTGTAATAACTAATGGCGAGCTGTGGAACTCTCAGCCTACCTCATCCCAGCCTTGTCCATATGCACATGTGTATGTTGTTTCGCAGTCTTCATCATCAGGCCCAAACTGACTGACCTTGTAACGCCCAATCTGTGTTGCTTTTGCTTTCGGCTTTTTTGTTGGCTGGGGTGTGGGTGCCGGCTCCAAATCTGTCACCCCTGGGCCAAGAGCACCTTGCCCGATTTGGTGAGCAATGACGCCAGCGTAATTCTTCCACGATGATGTCGTTTTGTCTTCGACTGGCATATACTGAAACGGACTCAGGACATAGTTCCAGAACAAAGTGACAAACGTGGTTGAGCCGCCTGTTCTCGTGCCCATGTATCAGTATGTGTTTCAGCTGTCGATATGGTCTACAAGGGAATTTATCAAGAGGACAGCACGAACCAAGGAGAGCACCAACTGTATTAGCAATGGCAAGAAACGTCGGGTCGAACGATGGCTTGGACGATCGTTTGGTGAGTGCCTGTTGCCCGATCAAGGGCAGAGAATCCGTGTTTTCAAATGATGATGGCACGAATCCAGAGCAACAGTAAGATTGTGAGCCTCCTGCAGTGTCCAAATTAATATAGACGGACGGCTTTATTTATCATTAGAAAACATTTGTTATCAGCGCTTACCGTTGCAGGTGAGATTGTGGTTAACTCCACCGTCTGAATCGTCCAGGTATGAGTTTGCTAGGAAGGTCAGCCCATCCAGCAAGTAGAGAATAGAGTTATTAGTCGCTGTAAGTGGCAAGACTTACTGTTCGCGGCAACAAGATCTGTACCTGCCGGACAGGAGTTTGTGTAGCAAGGCATTCCTACTCCACGCCACCCATACCAGGAACAGCTTCCAGTATTTGTACCAGGCGCACAGCATAGCGTCCTTAGATTATCCCCCCTACACACAGTGTCTCTTTCGATCCCCATAACTTGACCCTTTGCATAGGTCTCCGCGATATAGCCAGGGACACATGCCTCACCGCAGAAACTCCAGTAACAGGAGTTGCGAATAGTTGCAGCCCTTTGCGCATCAGTCTGCATGGTGCGGATCTTGGCGGCATCTTCAGGCGCCACTCCACTTGCAGTTCCAAGGCCGAGGAGATCGTTAGAGCTTGTGTGGTCTGCGCTGTCTTGGTCCAGAGCCCAGATTAGACTACCCCCTAAGCAGAGCTGGCCTGCCGCACTCATCTTCATCTGGATCGTCTCTCCATCGTCATATGAGACCCATTGATCAGTATCAAATTTGATCCACTTGACTGCTGCTTCTCTATCAATGGTGGGATTAACTTGAGTCCTTGCGATGATCCGCTGTATCTCAGCATTTGACAGAGTACCAGAGGATTTGGTGCATTCTCCAGGATTTCCACCAAAGCGGAAGATGCAGCCTGGCTTGTCACAGGTAGGATCCTGCAGGGTGAAGGAGCGACCATACCAGCCAATTCCCATATTAACTGCAGAAGGATTGATCTTGTTCCTCCATAGCAGGTCAAGCCCTTGCTTAATTTCAGTCAAATTGGTATGCGGCCTAACATAGGGCCCTGTGAATTTATTTGACGCGTCCCAGACACCATGAATGTCGTATGTCATAATATTGAAAAAATCAACATACTCTTGCATTGACGGTAGGTCAAACCATCTGAGATACCAATACGATGCTGGCAATGTTACGCTTAACCCGTACCGGCCGCCGAACGCATCTTTGAGGTCCTTGAGAAGAAGCACGTAGTTGGCTGTATCGGCAGCGACTCCGCCTCGGTCTTCTGCTCCGGGGTACTAAGTAACCTCAGAATCTTGCATCTCTGATGAAATCGATCTAGCATGAAGGGTGGAAAGGGCCTACCTCCCAGTCAAGATCGACGCCATCGAAACCCCATGTCTGCATGAAATTGATCAATGACTCAATAAATGCCCGGCGCGTTGCTCCGCTTCGGGCCATGTCACTGAAAGCAGTCTGTGTATTTGGTGAATTTGTGGGATCCTTGAAACATTAGACACAATCATAACTCCAATCATCTCGTGCACTAACATTAAAACTCCATCCACCCACAGAAATCCATGTTTTGAGAGACCTGAATATCAATTAGTATGAGGTGTGCGAGGAAGATATAAGGAGAAAAAGTCTATGCCAGATAGGTTCAACCACGTACGGTTTCTTCAGTTTGAGTGCTGTGAACAGTGGATAGAGGAGTAAGTCATCCACACTCATTGGGGTCATTTGAAAAGTTGAAGGGTGGAAATAAGCAAAAGCTAATTTAGGTCAATTAAATACTTCGGAGGCAGGAGAGAGTTACCAAAGTTTATATGCGTCAAAGCCAAGACATCAAGATCTGAAGGCAAGCGTTTATCGCATGCCCTTGTCGAAGCCCTGGCAGCTTCGAGTAAGTAAGAGCATCATGAATGAGTAAACACAAGCAGGAGCCACCTTACCAGCCTTCGTAATAGCCAATTACTCTTTGCATCGCACTTCCACCACTGCAACTTGGTTCGTTCACTGGACCACAGCCCCCGAACCCTTCCTGGCAATCTGTCCCACAGAAGTCCTATGAAAGGAAAAGAAGTAAGTATCATTATTAAATTTCAGCTTTGCAGACACTCACCTCTGTAGTTCCACAGAAACCGAACTTGGAACAGCAAACATTTAGGGGGCAGGCTTGAGAACCTGCTTTGGCGTACTGCCCACATTCGGCTGTCGCATCGCAATTGGAAATGCAGTTATCGACCCCACATTCGGCAGGAGAATATCCACAGACTCCCGTCTGTAGGAATATCAGCAAGAAACTTCGGTCTCGGCTTCCCACAGAATTACCTTGCTGCAGCAGGCACCATTGGAGCATGGTATCCCAGGGCCGCAGGTCCCGATAGGAAGTCCGTTATCATCTCTCTTCGATAGTGCGAGGGTGTCCCCTGACGAACTTTGAAGTGCGCGGACCAGAGGATTTGCCGTTTGGCCTGAGACGTTGAGGAAGACAGGCGTTGAGTTTGAGTGTGCAGAAAACAAAGGTGGGTAAACAGAACTTGCATTCGCTGCTTCCACTCCCTGACTAGACAATGCAGCCACATAGGAAAGCGCCCAAAGCAGGGATCTTCGGCTTTTGGCAACCATCGCTGACGAAGGCGAAAGAAGAATCAAATTTGACGAAGTCTCTTCCCTCAATCAATAAAGATGCGTATCGGGTTTGAGCGCGAGATATATATTCTTGACTAAGGGAAGAATTGGTATTCCCCCCTAACAATCGGCCCGAGCTGCAAAAAGTTTGAAACACTACCCAGTATCGTCTGTCCAGGTCCCACATAATCACGAGTTTGTTTGGAGTAAGTACTCGCTTCAGGGGAGAAGAAAATTCCGAAAGCAAGGTTCAAGAGTACTGTGGCATTAGTGTTATCTGTTAGTCCCTCTTGTCCACTGCTTCCTTGTAGCAAACGAGTAGCCATTGACAGGCTAGGGCTGTAATGCTTTCTTGCTAAGCATAGGACAGTTTTCACAATCACTGGCGCCAATTGAACGAGAAGATCGACAGCAGGCCAGTCTAGCCCATGGTAACCTGAACACAAAACCTGGCCATCGAGAAAGCCAAAAAACGGTCCAAAATTATATTTCACCGAGCTATCTACGGCTACCATGGGCCAAAGTCCATCCAATGTAACCCTACATTTAGGAAAGCAGGACAGCCTTGGGCGGGCAGTGCCCCTGCTAGTTGAATTAGAAGTCTAGATGCTCGAGGACCACAAAATAAGGTCCACCTTAGCTAGCAATCACAACAGAACTATTGTTTGACAATGACTTAGCGTCAGGGGCTTTTCAATGAACTCCTTTAGAAACAAGATGTTCGCTACATGTATCTAGCGTCGAGGTCAATGGGACATATGAGGATCACGACAGATCACGGCAACGAGCAGCCATTGTGGCAATTGGAGGGAGAGTTGTTGGCAAGCGTAACTTCAGGACAATATGCGGTTGAAGCTGTTTTAACGATGTGGAATTGAGTCAACGAATTAGTGGATATGGTGTATGGGTTTATCATAATGCCTAATAGAAAATGCGAATCCCAAGATACGATGGATTTTCTTGTTATGGATAAGGCGCTTCGGCTCCTCAACTATTTTCCTTGGCCTCTTGCTCAAGGCTCACGAAGTCAGATAGATAGTGAATAGACTCGTAAGTCCGAACTTTCGCAGAAGACACATGCCAAGAATAATATAGGCCGCTAACTTGAATACGAACGAGCCAGAGTGGATCTACTTAGCTTCATTGTTTGGCTTTGTCGAGGCTCTTGGAACAAACCAGAAATGGTTAATACAGTCCTAACCAAACCTTACTACATTGCGGCTTCCTCAAACTCAGCCTTAAGTATTCGGGCGCGCCATCTAATGAAAGCCGTCGCCTCAGCGCTAAATTTCGGTATAGAAAAATATATTAGAGATATACTGTTAAGCAACCTTCTAGTTGTAATTTACACCAGAAGATGGGCACGGGTTAAATGGAGTGACGAGTGCTCAGTTGAGCGAGGTGTTGATGTCCAACCAATCGGGACAAATCGACTGCCAAGAAGTCAACTCCTTGAGCATGATATCTGCACTCAACGTACAAGGAAAGGAGTCAAACAGATGTTCCCCTTAGATGGTGGCCCTGAATCTGTACGAGCGGGTGTGACAGGCCATATTTTAGGAGATCCCTATCAAGCATCGCTTCCTGAGTTTATCCAGCCTGGTGATATCTTCACGCAAGATAATGTCTCTCGGTTCATACCGTAAGGATTGTGAGAGGTACTTAATGCATTACAGATTGAAGTAATGATCTGACTTCCATATTCCCCTGATCTCAATACCAATTGAGAATCTCTGGTCAATGACGAAGCAGAAAATCTATATGCTTTATCCAGGACTTGAAGAAGCGCCTGATACTGGGGAGAAACATCAATTGCTTTTTACTGCAGCTAAGTCTGGCAACTATAGGTCTACTATTTCCAAAAGGTATAAGGACCATGCTTCACCAAATAAAGGCAGGTATTGAGGCAGACAGTTGGTATAAGACATATCAGTTAAAAATCACTAGGTAAAAATCCCTGGATGTGGAGCCATTTTAGATTTGAAGACTAGACCTGATACAGCTGCAATCATATGGAAAAAAACATTTTCTATTCCGAGGACTGAGCTACGTATGGGCGCAGATACTTGCCGTTTTGAGTAAAATCATCATGGGCGTGAGAGTAACTGCAAAGTAGATATCATCATCTAGCTCTGCCTTCTGTGCCATATCATCTACCGGACTGAATCGCCAAATCCAGCAGCCGCTGGAAGACGTCGCTCCGAAAAGATACTACATTCAGGGCCAATTTATCGCCTTGGGGGTACGCCGTAGTCAGTAGAGATAGACAATCTCTTCGTAGTAAAGGAGGGTAGACGAGACTCAGACTTCTTGCCAAGATTGAACCCGTATTAGGTGGATATCGAATGTCATAGTCCACTGAACTGAGCAGTTGAGCTTATGAATCTTATGGACCCCTTAGAATCTCATGGTGAGATTCTCAGCACGAAGTTTAAATAGTGGCACCTTCACGCTAGCCCTAATACGGTCTATGTACCTGCTTCAGTTTGTAGTACCCACTAGCTAGTACTAAAAGATTCTTTTCCCAAGTGGCAAAGTAATCTTGAGGCCTCCCTGTGAAGAGATCTAGATTTCAGCATAACTATCCATACCATTATTAGTTAAAGAATATATTACAAGCACTCCAATTAGGCGAGGAGTTGTGTTTCGTGGTCCCACACCAGGCTTGGTGGTCGGTAGACACGGTGAGACATTTAGAGTTGGCATTCAGGTGGGCTCTCAAGACTCCTAGGAGCGCCCTTGACACCATAATATTATGACCAAGTGTCGGGACTCGAAGGTAGTTACTGAAAATCTCCCGTACGACTGGTTTCTTATATCCAGGAGTGTTCTCCCACAGCGCAAGTTGCTCACCCCAAAATATGGCCCATATCAAGTTTGGCAAGGGTGCCTCAAGGCTGACCGCTCTGCTCGGTCTTTGGACTTTGATTTTCGGTCATGCAAATGGAGCGTTCAATATCTACGCAGGGCTGGAGAAAAATCACGTGCAACAAGGTTATGATCTCTCAGACCAATGCCTTGCGGCTTTGTAAGAAGACGACCATTTACACTACAAGCCGAGTAAACTTATGGACAAGCTTACGTATGGACATTTTAGAAACAGTACGATTTGGTGCGATAAATCAATCGCTACCCAAGCAGCATCGGGTCCGGATAATTATTGTGAGTAAATACTGTTACTCCATGAAGAGAACCACCACTAATTGTTGAACAAGACTGGTCTGAGCAGAACGTTACGACTCTATGTACAGAGGAATGTGCAAACTCGCTTTCGTCCTGGCTTGCAGTTGTGGAACAAAACTGTCAAGGAGAGACTGTCTTCTCCACGGATATCTTCATGCTGGCAAAAGCGATACCAACCTTGTGGCTAGAAGGCTATGGGTTAGTTTGTCTGCAGGATAGGTGAGTTTACTTCAGGCGAGCATACAGCGATAGCAAGCGGCTCACCAATGGCTGTTCTGGGTCTACAGCGCATCCAACTGGTGCTTTCTCCAGTCACAGAAATGGCAGGGAAGTGATTATATTCGGTGAGACTTAGCCATTATTGGTCATGAATGATATTGAGTGTAATGCTAGGTGGTCCCCTGATGCATGTTATAACGAAGATCCAGCCGACAATCCACCAGAGTGCCATGATCCGAATTTCTCAACAGCACAAATTACACCGGAGATGATGGACGTAACTCGGCTCTATGACCAGGCTCTGGTAACCGTTAAAGACCCTTTCTACTGGAACACTAGACTGATTCATATTTGTTTTTCTTTTTAGCTCTGCAGCGAGTGCTTCATCAAGATGTGGAGACAGAGATTGCAATCATCAATGCTTGCAATGAGTGAGCATACTGACTATCTTCTCGCACAGTATGAGTCGATGCAAAGAAATTGCTCGGTCACCCTGCCTGTTTCTACGTACACATCAACTCTCAAGGTCAGCCCCAGCACTGTGACCCAATCACAGTTCAGCACCACCAGCACAACCATTCCAGCGACTGCGACATCATGTCTGGGACAATTAATTGAGCCTGAAGACGCTGTTACTTGCTTAGGATTGTCGGATGCATATAATGTCAGCACTGGGGCCGCTATTCGCGCTACCCAGGATGACTTCTGCCAGTTTGACACTCCCATCTGTCTTCCGCCTCCTTGCGAGATAGACATCGTAATAGGCAATCCTTCTTGGTACATTTCGCTTTGAAGGAGCTTTTCCGTTCTGTACTGATGTCGTAACAGCGAAGAGTTGGCCGCTCAATACTCCACGGAGGGGTCTCCAGTGACGCTGACACAGTTCCTTACATGGAACCCGGCCATTCTTGGCTCCTGTGGACATTTGAACCATGTACAAAGAATTTGTAAAGGGTAGGTGGCATGCGCTGCAGCATTCCTCCCAGAAATACGCACTAATTCGTTGACTCCATTAAAAGGCCCCCCGGGGGCCGCTTCAAGCCCTCTGGGGTGATATCAGCCCCTACGACGGCAGGTTCTTACTATACAACAGGTTGCACGCCTTTAAATTCTTATAGTCCAGCGCAACTAACAAACACATGCAGCTGTAGCATCAGAACCTACACAAACAGGAACCACTGCAAATTGTGGTCGATACTATAAAGTCGTCTCGGGGGACACGGTAATTGAAACCCAGTAGCATCTCGCTTCATCAATCAAAGCTGACACGTTGTCTCAGTGTAACTCGGTAGCTCTGCGCTTCGGAATTACTTTTGCAGACCTGCAGTCTCTAAATGCCTATGTGAGTTCCATTTCATGCTTCCTCCTATCACAGTTCTTACTAATTGCATTTCGTATGACGTACATAGCTGTGGAACAATTGCACTAACCTCTGGCTCAATTACGACGTTTGCGTTGCGCCCGTTTCTGAAGCCCCGATTTCAAAAGATGGTACTTGTGGAGCCGCCAATGGATATGGAGTATGCGAAGGCTCTCAATTTGGAAAGTAGGTCAACCCCCGTTTGTCGAGTCATGTATCTAGGCCCACGGTTTGACCGGCGATCTATAGGTGCTGCTCAACAAGTGGCTACTGCGGTAGTACCGGTGATTACTGTGGCGCAGGCAACTGTGCGTCTGGTGCTTGTGAGCTCAACACCGGCGCGACGACAAACGGCACCTGTGGTCCTGACTGGGGCTATTTAACGTGCACCAACCCAAGCTTTGGCCCGTATGTACTCAGCGCATTTTTCAGGCTCCGTCCTTCTTCATGCCAGATGATAACAGACATTCCAGGTGTTGTTCTATATATGGATACTGTGGGAAAGGATCGGACTTCTGTGGGCCTGGGAAGTGTTACTCGGGAAGTTGTGAGGATAATAACGGTGGACCCAGCATCAACGGTGAGTGTGGACCGAGTTTCGCTGGCAACAAGACGTGCACTGGGACGCAATTTGGAAATTGTTGCTCTACCTCGGGGTACTGTGGGAGCACCGAAGAGTATTGTGGTCAAGGAAAATGCTATTCCGGTGCTTGCACATCTTGACCTTGTGTCCGAACTACGCAGGCTGATGGTCATCCTGAACACTATACAACAGGAGGCAGAGTATTTGCAATGTCTCTGGTCCTATGGACCTTAGACCTTGTTTATGTAGTACTATAATGGGAAACTTAAGAAGGGAGGAAAGGTTAATCTATCTCACCACCTATGTGAATGAGACGCGTTGTGGTAGAGAAACTTGTGGGGCCGAATTGTAACTTCGACCTTACTTGTATTGTGTCAGTATAAAGGGGACGTTGATTGGATCCCAGTCTAACAATGGTTTTACCAACTAATGAGCCGTCGAATCAATCTAGTAGTGGACTTCCAGGTTTCAAAAACAATAGTACGGCTATTCAAAATGGAGCAGGGCTGCTCAAGTCTGTGACGAGGCAGATCGGGCTGTTGATAGAATCATTGACCATTTGTGGAATACTTAGCGAGGAAGACTAAGGTAATTTGGTCTGAAGGTGGTTGGAAATTAAACAGGAGAAATATTAGCTTTTTCTGGACTGTAAAAAGAATTAAACGTCGTAAATGATGCCTACTACAGCGCGGCTTAGTGTCGGTTAGGTACCTGTGCCCTGGTCGGACAGTTGAGGCGCTTTCAAAATTGGAGTCCTCAGGGACACAGCTCAGCGTGTGTCGGAAATAGCTCAGCATGGTTCAGGGAAACCTAACTCAACTTCGAGTCTTCGACACATGCTAAGGTCCAGCGTGTGTTGGTCATATTCTATCATAGATTACCTCTGTACTATTATCACCACCACCCTAATTTCCTCTCTGACCGTGAATACTAACTATGAAAGGTTTGATTTTAAATAGCATTAAATTAAATTATATACATACCCTGTTCACCCCTTATTATCTATAAATTTATGCTTATTATATATATAATATCAATAGATTTCAGTTATTTTAATATTATGCATATGCAGAGTGTAAGAAAAAGGAGGAGAATATAGGTATGTAAGGTTAAACAAGTATGCATATATTTATAATTTACTCTACTATAGTAAGCATTTAGTAGTTAGTGTTCGCGGTCGGAGAGAAAATTTAGGGTGGTGGGTGCCGTACTCCTTGAAATTAATTCATGGTTTGAGACACACTGACCTTCTTTCTGCCGGACCACGCCGACTATTTTCCAACACGCGCCGAGCTGCAAGCCCGGAGTTCTCCCAACAACGCCAGTGGATGGCTGATTCGTCAACTGTCACATCACCTATCATCGTTCAATTCAGCGCGCGAGACCTCCAGCCGTGGCTTACATGAGAGACAAACTAATGCTATACCCAATATTCTAGAAGGACTCTCGATCAGATATTACATCCCTCTTCATGTTCCAGACAAAACCCAGCCACCGGATCTCTGCAGCGAATCCAGTTCGCAACCTGGACGGCATGGACCATGAACGATGTTCGGCTCTACACAATGAAATACTGTATAGAGGATGGGTGGGCAGTGGCAGACGAGCTGATGAACTCCCTTCCCAGACATGGTGGGATTACAATGCACCTCCCCAGGACACTCTAAACCGGCTATCGCCGTCCTTGGTAGCCTTCCTCAAGCAAGCACGCTTCTTACCATATGAAGAAAATCCCGATTATTCTTTCTTCTACTTTGTGGTAGGTTTGGTGAACAGTGAAGGTCTTCTATCAGTGTCAGAGCGGGGAGCATACCTAGATAATGAGCGCTTTGTGTTCCTTTACTACGCTACCGCGTATAAAGCAGGGGATCAGCAAGGCATCTTGTGAGTTATCCATACGTACAAATATATACACTTGCATTCTGCTCATACTTCTGGAGATTTGACCAAGCGACGTCAACAGCTGCATTTGTGGGCGATCTCGCAGATGTAACGGCGATGTGCGAACGAGGTTGGGGATGGAAACCCCTCGAGGTTATTCTCGATGCATATCTCGAAATGATTGATCAAGGAAAGATATTTACAGCACTTGACGGCCAAGGAAGTGAGGAATGCGAAATTCTAGAGTCATTCCCCCCGTGGAGGATCCGCGCATTTTCTGACACTGATCTGGAAAAATCCGTCATCTCCATGAGGCGACTTCTCGATGCGATTGAGACCCGACTACCGGTGCAGAAGCCTCCGAAAGGAGGAAAAACGCTTCAGTGGTGTGATCTCTTGGCTCAGGAGTTCCTACCTACCTCCAGCTTTGCGTATCAATTCTTAACTAGAATTGCGGCATGGTCAATTCCCATCAAGTACATCGCCCCGGGTATTTATCTCCCAAGCAAGCCCGACCAGCAGCCCTACCAGTCCTCACAGTCTGAGCCGGAAGGCATGCCCCTCCGCATATTCCATATCGATGGGCTGGGCGGCCAATACCCTTCATGGACACCGCTGAATGAAAGTTCCACAGTCCCCGCGGGGCTCTACCTCAGTCAGGTCGTGCCTAGAACCAACACAGCTTTCGGTGACGGCTGTGTCCTCGTGCTCCCGTACGGACTTGGGGCGCACGGGTGGGCCCGCAAATCAGACGGCGAGCAGATGGGCATCAATCCTGAGAGCGAGCAACCCATACCTACCAATCAGTCCTTTGGGCTTTATCAGTCTGGGTTTACAGGTTTCACGGATCTTCGCGCCGTGCAGCTCTGGAAGGTGCTGCAGAGCTGGGCGGAAAGGGTAGAACAGGGAGATTGGGATGTGGATGAGGATGGAGTTGGGGGGGGGATTGAGAAGTTCAAGGACGCTGATACTGAGACGCATTGGCGAAAGTATTGGATACCTCCCAGCTGGTGAGCAACCTCGGCTCCGACGTTGCCAAATGGAGTATTGGGCGCTGCGCCGTATAGGATATCACCGGCAGGGTGAATCCAATACGCTCTGCCAATTGCCCGAGGAATCATACAAGCGCCAAGAATCATGTTTGCATCCGATCACTCGCTGCTCTGAGATATTTGGTCTTGTTACATTTGTACAAAGTGAGGTAGTCCTATGCTGATCAATGCTGTGGTATATTTCTAGTATTTTACCAGGATCACAGACCCTTTCTTTTATTAATGCCGCTAGCTTCATAAAGCCGAGATCCGTCTAACCTCAAAGCTCTGGCTGGTAAATTACAGCCTCCAGTATTGATCTATGTGACGGAGCAGCAAGTACAGACATGAAAGTGGCTGGCGCGTTCTTTATAACCTACACCATGAAGAGCTTCCATGTAGATATAGGTATTATCGGCGGGAGTTCTATCCTCCCAAGGTTACTTTACCTTGTCAGCTCTTGATATTTCATTAAAGAAGCCCATTGCCTAGATGCCCCAGAATGCGAAATATATGCGCGGCCCAAATCTAGTATACTGTAATTAATTTCCTACATCTGGTCTTCACTGGCTGCAGTCTCTGGCTGGATCTCTGGCAATCATTGATACAGTGAGGCAGTTCTCAGGTGACTAGACAATAAGTAGGTGCTCACAATATATGATCTTTTTCCTTCGACACTTCTCGGTATATCATGGGCCATTTACAACTGATGAATAGATATGGTCACTTTGAATATTGAAATCCTGGTAAGTTAAAGCATTCAACTTGTGATAGATATACTCATAATGGAATGAGGCCTATGATGATCAACTGGACGATCTCCTTTATTCGCGTTTGCTGAGTAGATATCCAAAGGTACGTCTGCGGGACACATCACCCATAATTTACCATTTGCTGAGTTGCAGGTGACCTATGCGTCAACCTCCTCGGCAACATCCTATCCGGCCTTGCCCCTGTGGAAGCATTCCAGCTTTTTTCGAGAGAGCCCGCAAAAGATCTAAGAAGCTGGAATGCCCAAGCTTGGGATGAGGCCTCGCATCGAGTTCTCCCCAGTTCGATGCTGATGGAGACCACATAGACACGCAGGGTGTTCCAGTCCTTCCCGTTTTCCTTATTCAAGGTCGCCCCTACCTGAGAAGTCAGGCGGAGACGGGGGGTAATGAGGAGAGAAGGGGAGTGATGGGGAGTAGTGAGAAGAACATGGGGTAATAGATTGGGTGTGACGCACGCTGCGTACAACAGCGTGAGCTGGTGGTCAATGCACCCTGGGTCCCATCGCCATCGAGAATACTCAAGATCAGCAGGCATCATTGGCCTTGAAGCCGGGATTGTCTTGAGACATCTCTCCTCTCGTCAAAAAGGCCTTGTTGATATCGAAACACCGGGCGCGTGCATGAGCCATCTGCTCCCTTCTCGATCCAGGCTAGAATGGTTGTTCTCGCCCTGGTTGTAGATTTTTTGAACAAAGGCCATTAGTGCAGGCTCGTGCTTTGGCACCTTCTGCTCAAAGCATGGCCTTGTGTTCCAATTGTTCCACATGTAGCATCAACACACATTATCTAGCTATTGTTCCACTCGCAAAGTCTGAATTAAAACAGCAGATAACGCCTCCAGTCGCCCCGGTAACTCTGGCTCCAACTGGCCCATGACAACATCAGACAGCGTGGATGCGCTGCTCCTGCACGCCCGTAGCTTGAGCGAAAGCCTGGCCATACATCGCTGCACGCGGTGCAGCTCCCCCAGAACGCGTTGGCTGGCTGGCATGCGAGAATCTAATTCGTCATCTCCGATTAAATCGCTATCTACCCAAATCGCCGGAATTGTTGGCTGCTGGGACTGAGCTGATCGCTCATTGACCGAGGCGGCTTCTGCGTACCGATCAAAAGCCTTGAATATTACTAAGGACCCGTTGCCAGGAGGTAGCTGTCCTGGGAACAGGCGCATTGCAGAATGATCTCCAGGGTGTCCATGATCTGTTGGTTGGTCCTGATGGTTATATTGAGGAACTGGGCCGGACCATTGGGAAGTGGGGGGCCGCATGACTGTAATAAAGCAAAGCCCAGGACAGCTCGAAGCACGAAAGGCAACAACAGAAGCCGCTATTGCAGTGTGGTGGAGTGCACATAACGTCGCTGTCTACTGCCACTCTGCCATAGAACACATAACACGGGATACGACACTTTGCGAACAACGAGTAATCAGGGCGCTTAATACTCGGTGATCGAAGCCAATACATTTATCGGGGTCCTTCACCTGAGTGTTGCGAGTCTCGTCGAGCACCCTGCTGCCATGAGATTCCCGTGGATGTCGAATATACTATCCGTTTTCCTTTTGAAGCCGACCCGAGGGTAGAGGGACTTTCCTTTGAGATAGAAATACTCCCTCCAAGCCCGCCAAACGAAAGAAGGGAACTGAACCCTGTATCTCGGATGGATGAAAACAGGATCGTTGTCGGTCCACAGAGAGACAAGGATGTTCGTGAGATCACAGTGTGTGAATATATGTTTCGCCCCTTCTCCTATCCTTGTTAATGTCTTCTTTAATAAGCAATTTTGAATCCACTTTTTACAGTTAGTATCCGCAGAAAGTCCTTTGGTGGCAAATCCACTAACCCTATAAACATTCTATCCTTCTTATTAAAAGTAGACTTAGTAAGATGGGTAAATCCTGCAAAGAACCACTCTGTGAAATTCAGTATAGACAACTTTGTAGGGCACAGAGAGATCATTCCATGCAAAGAGAAGATATAAAATCATAAAAAATCCTTGACTATAGCCAGGTCTGGTATACACTGTCCTTTACAAAGGCCCTCTTCTCAGAGATTTTCATCCTCTTGTGACACCTACCTATGTGTTTAAGAGATAAAGATTCAGTAAGATGAATAAGTTTATATTAAAGAAGTATAGATGGCACTAATATAATATATACTAATAGAACTTATTCCTGGAGAACCTCGGATTTATCTGAATAGAAAATCTCACAATAATGTTAGTGGTCTTTTTCTGAATTCACTCCTCAAATATAGCTATTAGCTTGGACAACGGCCAGTCTAACAACCTTTTATCTTCCTTTAGGCATTTCTGCAGCACAGAGATACAGTGTAATACAAGGGGGGGGGAAATAGTATTCACAGCAGGACTAAGAGAAGAAATAGGCAGCAGATTTCAAAACAGTGCGAGATATCAGGATAAAAGAGTATAAGAGAGGTCAAGGAGGGTAGGCAGGACTTCTTCACGCCTTTTGTCGGGGGCCCCGTATCCTAGTTAATATATTGTTAATGCCAAGTGAAGCAGCTAGAAAACTGGCGTGGAGGATAAGAGGTCAAGGTGATCACATGTTGGTGTTGAAGAGGTGAGTGAATCACCACAGCTGGGTGAAGGAATCACCTTGAAGGCGTGAGTAAATCACCTGACGCACCCAGGTTACCCTTTTAAAGCGGCAATGACTGGAGGAGGAAAGGAAAGTGTCCTTGTAGATTTTTGAATGATAGTATTACCTAACTAGCTCCTTCATACTGAGATGCGGGGGCAGGAACCTGGAGTACGGCACCAAGCCCTCATTAGTTAACGTAATTCCCAAGTAAGTCGGACACCCTAGCGAGCCGGACACATCCGTATTCCATATAAAATGGCACACATCAAGCCTTTGCCATCTTAACAGCCAAGCATCTACAGGGTCTAAGTTTAGGTAGGAGGTATTAGTATAGCCATACAGAGTTATACATGAGCTACAGCCTCTTAGTACATATAAATACTCAGGTAATATAAATTACATCTGTATTTTTGGTGATATTACCTTTTTAGACATTAAGTGAGAGGAATGGTATTTTAGGGCCTTGCAAAAAAGTATTTATATACTTTAATATATACAGAGTCTAAATATTTTGCTTACATTATCGCATATGTGGACATGTTGAGATATCATAGCCTCGAAGAGTGCTATTCTATATGGAATACAGATGTGTCCGGCTCGCTAGGGTGTCCGACTTGGTTGGGAATTACGTTAACAGCCTAGTCTTTAGTCAACAGTGTTTCATGTCGGTGCCTCCCAGAGTACGGAGTACTGTGCTTTCTGTTGAACGTAAATGTATATTCAGAGTCAGAGGTTCTTGGTAACAAACTTCGAGCTTGAGCCATCTAAAGTGCTGTCAACATACTTCTCTAAGTGTCTGTGATCCATTGTGTTGAAGGTAATTGTTTCTACGTGGCTATATTGTTCGTTAACTCCCCTCCTCGTGGCTTACCAATAGTCACCTATGGACTCGAATTTACGGAAAAGGCACTGCCCATCCAGGCAATAGCACTCAAAGTGCTGGTATGGTTGCTGTGGATCCTCCAATGGAAACGAAGACTATTGCAGATAGAGTTGCATTTGGTCTGAGTTTGGGTGAGTCCAACCCCAGTTGGAACTGAACCACTGCAATTTCAAGTCTAAATTTTAGAAATTGGAATCAAACCTGTGTCCATTCTGATTCAGTGAGAGTTTAACCGCAAAATCCACCCCTAGGCCCAGATAGGCAGTCACTAACCAGCCCTGGTTAGATTCGGTTCAGTTTGGTTTCGATTTTGGTTGGTTTCAGGTCTAAATTTCAATGGTTTTCAGAACTCAATTTCTCATATCTTAGGCCTAGGCCTAGGGCCCATTAAATATCTTATAGAAATTAATATTTTTATATGAAATATATGGTAATTATCATCATATTAATCTATATCTAAAATTTCAATTCAATACCTGTAGGGTTGAATGAATGGTGATTAAAAATCCTTCTTAGACTATAGTAATTGTCGAAGGTTAATACATATATATATATAAACCAACACCGCTTCCATACCAACCCATGACAGAAATAATTATTCCCTTAAATCTCACTAACCACTAGATATTTTGAATTGACATTTCATATTTAGATAGACTAGATAGTAGGCTATCTAGTGATATTAACATTTCTAGAGAAATCCTAGAAACTAGTGATTACTAAGCAAAATGGTGAGGTTTGGTAAACCTGATCTGATAAATCCTTAAAAACTGTAACTGATGGTTTTAACCGAACTCGAATCGGTCCCACCCTAGGGAAACCAAAACTGGTGCGATTCCCTAGGCTAGGAGCCAACCCTCACCGCTGTGAGTGAGGGTTGGATTCGATTTTAGCGGTTCGGGTATGCAACTCTAATTGCAGAAAAGAAAAAGTCCCCCGAGTTGGAGTTCCCGCCTGTTTCTAAGGAAGAACATGATGACATTGATACGGTAATGTTTCTGACTGCATTACACGTTTGTCCTCTAGGTACCTATGGCATTGGCCTGCCTGCTCGCGCAAAATGGTACACGTGGTTGCGAAACCAGCGCACGCTTTCAATTGTTTCTCGACCCCTTTAGCCAAAAGGCGCTAGGCCATATTTGTGAATTATTCCGAGCCCCCAATCAAAAGCTGATTCCCCCACCATTTGCCATTCAGCGAGATCCTTAAAACAATTTATTTCCTTCTTAGCCTCCTGCCGATGGTCCAATCACCGACCAAGTCGTCGCATCTTTCTATTTGCTATCTCTGGTTTCTCCGTCCTCGGCGCGTCAACAGTCCKTCGAATCATTCGAGTCTGCTCCTGGACTAGAAACTATATTGATAGAGATATCCTCTTTTATTTTATAACTTTCTAATATGGAACTGCCCAGGTGACTAGACGCGTATAAGAAGCGTTGCAGCAAGCTATATAATATAATTCCTTTCCTTCTTCTCTCCATGCTTAGTTTTCCGTCGATTACGTATCCTTAGATAGGAATGAGCACCTTCACAGGATCTACTGTTTACCCATGATTCTATGATCTTGCAATCTTAACCCCATTCTAGCTTTACAAGGCGTGTTCCTTGCTGAATTCTGCACTGAGCAGCGCTGAGCCTAGCTAGTAAGCTCTCAACCGTCACATTTAGTGCATCTATAGTCTCAATTAACCGAACCCTCAACTTAATTAACCGAAGGCTGACCGTAGCGCTTGGTGGCGACTACTAGCACTTCCTTGCTCCAGCAATGTGGCTACGTATCCTTAGGTCCCCCTGCAACGTCAGGTAGGAAGGCAGGACTATGGCCAAGGTTAGAATCAGGGGCAAGAGGCAGCGCTGCTGGCGATGCCATCAGGCTATACAAGGGATACCTATAGCGGCTTAGACCTGAGAGGCGGATACAATAGGATAGGATACGAGCGAGGTTAGGGCCCCAGATGAAGAGGAAGCGGAGAAGGGGCAAGGCGGTGCGGGTGTCCTTTAACCCCCTTATCCCGGCATATTACAGTGTAGCCGCGCCGTTCGAAGGCAGGACTGTGCACCACCATCTTCGGCTAATAGGAGGTCGCCCAAGGAGGTCGGATTCCTGTACACTGGGGAACTAACTGAGTGAGGAAAACGCCCCGCAAATGACACTGCGGGGGAAACATGGCGTGTGGGGCTGGTGCATCTACGGAGTACTCCCTACTAGTACCAGATTACTCCGCTCGACAAAAGAGCCGCCCACCATAATTAAAACTACACCCTTACACGCAGGCCCTAGAGCAACTCGGGAGAAGTTCCACCGACGTCCGCTTCGGCTAATAAGAAAGGTTAATCCAAGCGATGGCGAGACAAATGGGACTTTGCTACCTTGGCCCCCGGAAAAATGGTCCTAATTAGCGGAGATGTTGGGATGTGGAGGTCCGGAGCGAGCCTTACTCAATTGAGCTAAGGTCAGGATTACCATCACGAGCGTGTTGTCGCAGAAATAAAGAGCTAAAACCCCAGTCGTGCTGCCCGCCTCTTTTCATTCTCACATTTCTCCCAAATCGTCAACATGAATAACGTCGTCACAGAGAAGCCGACCTCAGCGTTGGAGCTCGAGGAGCAGCCCACCTCCAAGGGCGGACCTGTCTACGATGTCGGCGAGAAGGTCAACTTCGACAGAGCGGGCGCCATCAATGCTGAGGATATCGAACATAAGATGACTGTGCTCGAGGCTGTCAAGGCCTATCCCGCTGCCAGTTGGTGGGCATTCGTCATGTCATGCACCATTGTAAGCTCTTGCCCATGAATGGCAGATCATTTCTCTAACGCTGCGATAGATCATGGAGTCATACTGCGTTTTCTTGATGGGACAGTTCATAGCCACAAAGAGATTCGCCGAGGATTTTGGTGTACGGAGCGACGTAACAGGGGAATATATTATCGAAGCTTCATGGCAGTCAGCATTCCAGTGTAGCGGACCACTCGGTGCCTTCATCGGTGTATTCATCGCAGGTCCCATTACCAGTTGGATTGGATATCGATGGGCAACCATTGGCGGTCTCATGTTCCTGAACGGCTTCATCTTCATCTTCTATTTCGGCAACAGCCAGGGGATGTTTTTCGCGGCCCAGATCCTGGAAGGCATCCCGTGGGGCATTTTTATCGCCAATGCACCCGCCTATTGTGCCGAAATTGTGCCAATGAGATTGAGAGCTCCAGCGACGCAGATGTTGCAGATGTTCTGGGCTATTGGGTCGATCATTGTTGGCGGTATCACTTACCACTACCAATCCAAGAATGACTCCACAGCATACAGGTTCGTCCGCTCCCATAGATGCCATCGAGGAGCACTGTACTAACAGTCATACCAGAATTCCCATTGCACTCCAGTGGATGTTTCCTACTCCTCTCGCTATCCTACTCTTCATTGCGCCTGAATCTCCCTGGTGGCTCGTACGAAAGGGCCGTCTGGCTGAGGCAGAAAAGGCTGTCAAACGCCTTGGACGCGCGAGTGCAAATGATAATCCCGCTGACGCCGTCGCAATGATGCGTCGCACGATCGAGCTTGAGAAGACCGAGAAGAAGCCCAGTCTTGTTGAACTGTGGAAAGGTACCGATCGCTACCGCACATTGATTGTGTGCGGTGTGTATGCATCTCAGAATCTGACGGGCAATCTGATTGCTAACCAAGCGGTTTACTTTTTCAAACGTGAGTCCAACCATTTTCTGCAACCTCATAGCAGACTAACACCAGCTCAGAGGCCGGCATGGCAGACAACACCGCATTTGCACTTGGTCTCATCACTTCTGCCCTCCAGATGATCTTTGTCATGCTCTCTTGGATCCTCACCACATACCTCGGCCGACGCACCATCTATGTCTATGGTCAATTCATCAACTGTGCATTCTTGGTCGCGCTCGGTATTGCGGCTTCAGTTGGCGGTGGTATTGCGGCTAGCAATGCGCAAGCATCACTTGGCTTGATCGTCTCCGTCCTGTTCTGCTTGGGACCCGCCCCTGCCTCATGGGTCATCATCGGCGAGACATCTTCCGTTCGTCTCAGGCCACTGACAACCGGTATTGGACGAGGTGCCTACTACTTGGTCAATATTCCTTGCATCTTCCTTTCCAGCTACATGCTCAACACTGATAAGTGGAACCTGGGCGGCAAGAGCGGCTATGTCTGGGCTGGCACCGCCTTTATCTGCACCTTGATGGCTTGGATCTGGATTCCAGAGATGAAGAACAGGTCCTTCCGTGAGATCGACATTTTGTTCCGGCGACGTGTTCCGGCTCGCAAATGGAAGCAGACGGTCGTCGATATCGACGACGATGAGTAGATGGAAATTGTTGTTCGGAGAAGCCTGGGTGGCACTGCTTGTGCAGGAATGGGTGGTAGGGACGAGTTTCTTACCAGATACTTACAGATGATTATTTTCAAGATGAGTTGAAGGGTGAGAATCACGTCGGAATGTACTGCATCCTCTACCCTCATCGGTAATGGCTGCAACAGTACCAGGCTTGTTTTTAGTATATCTGATTTAAGAGGTGTTGCACGATTTGTAGGGCGTGTACGTAGGCAGCAAATCACATGCTAGGGGTATTAACAACGCAATAATATTCGCTTTCTTCTCTACCGCTGCGAGTTCGGTGAGGTTTGGGTTCGGTTTTTGTGGCTCAGTTATGCAGCTCTAGCCTCGGTTGTTAGTCATTGCGGACTCCTTGCAAACACCAAGTTGCAGTGAGGTCAGGCGAGCAATGATCCTGCAATTAGTAGGTGTAGAGTCTAGCAAGGACACATCCCCGGCTTTCATTGACCCCCCCCTGGATGGTTTATTCGTCCTTTCGGTGAACTTCAGCATTGACAACTAATGAAGTATTGTTTCTGACAGGTGTTGCCACTACCTGATCGAGCAGTGCCACATGATCGGGATTCAAAATCATTATTGGTCAGAAAGCCGTGTAAATTTCAAGGTTGTCTCATCACCGGATCGAGCTGTATCTGCTTCAAGGTCTTTGCTCTGTCCTGAGCGAGCCGCCCTCCCCCACCTTTTTCCCCAGCTTCCCGGCGGCCCCGAAAATTGGAGGAAATAGAAGCCAATGGCAGGACATGGTGGCGGTTGCGCTAGTGAATTAAAAATTCCACCTGAAATAGTCACATACAATAATTTGCTTAACTTTAACACTAGCCCGCTTCTTGTCAGCTTAGATTTCAAATAGGCTTAGCGCAGCTTGGTTATCTCTGGCGTGAACTCTACTGAACTGTAGGATTCGTGCCTCATCCTTCGCCTAGACATGGATACGAGGGCATTCCTCAAATTAAAGATTTCGTTGGGCCCAGTATTATGGGACATGCCATAGACTTTGACCTACCAAGATAAGACACACTGCTACTGAGGTGAGCAACCTGCTCATCCCTTTTTTCAGACTGTCTCTCAAAGCTACGACCCTGCGCACGACACACTCGAGATGCATCCATTCACACGAAACCTCGTCCTGGCCGTCCTGTCAGACTTGACGCTGGTGCAGTCCTCAGATTGTGCCCCTCCGTCCGTCGACCCTGACTATGGAACCTACCTAGGGTTGTATAACCAGGAGTATGCCCAAGACTTCTTCCTCGGTGTTCCTTATGCGCAGCCTCCGGTTGGTTCCTTGCGCTTCGCGGCACCTCAGCCGCTGAGGGAGTCATTCGACGAGCCTCGAAACGCTACCGAGTATGGCTGGATGTGTATCGGATACGGCTCGGATACTGCGAACCTGGGTAACCTCGGTTGATGAGGACTGCTTGACTCTTAACATCATCCGTCCAGCAGGACTGAAACTAGGAGATGATCTCCCAGTTGGCGTCTGTGCATGGTGGAGTAGGTTCTGAGCTCCTGACAAGTGGATTCTCTGCCGGTGCTCTCTGATGTAACAGAGCCACCTTAATGGAGGCTCACGCGACCCGCGGTATAACCTGAGTTATATCGTCCAGCAGTCAGTGGAAGAGAAGAAGCCGATCGTCGCAGTGTCGATCAACTACCGTCTCTCGTTCTGGGGCTTCCTGTTCAGCAAGGAAATGGAAGCGGTCGGTGCCGGTAACATTGCCTTCAGAGATCAGCGTATGGCGCTACAATGGCTTCACAACAACATCACTGGGTTCAGTGGCAGCCCAGACAAGCTCACAATCTGGGGGGAGTCCGCCGGTGCTCGATCCTTAGGAATGCAGCTCATTGCATACGATGGAATGCACGACGGTCTGTTCCGCAGTGCTATCCTCGGGAGTCGCAGCCCTCTCGCCAAGTTCACAAATGCTGACGGTTGGCAACCATACTTTGACGCTCTCGTTGAGAAGACGGGATGCGCTAATGCTATTGATCGATTGGACTGTCTCAAGCACCTTCCCTGGAAGACTCTCAGTGCCATCTTTAACGGCACGAACCCTTTGAACGTCACAGCGCCCACGCTCAGCGCTGTCATCGATGGCGACTTCATGACCGCCCAAGCGTCTGTTCTGCTGAAGCAAGGCAATTTTGCCAAGGTCGCGCTCTTGACTGGCAACAACTTTGATGAGGGCACCGCATACGCGAAGCAGGGCATCAGCACCGACTGAGAGTTCGACGCGTGGCTCGCCAGCCAGGGCCTTAACAGTGACCAGGTCAAGTCCATATCGGTACTGTACCCCAATGATCCTGTCCTGAACACTCCCGCCTCTTACGTTGGCATGCCTCCTGTAGTGCCGTATGGCCTTCAGTTCAAGCGAGCGGCGGCTTTTGCTGGAGACTATCAACGACATGCTGGCTGAAGACTTCTCGTCGAGTCCTATGCCCGGTGTTGGACTGCCAGTGTACTCTTACCTATGGAACGTGATCGTCAACGGACTTCCTGCACCCATTTACGGAGCCACCCATTTCCAGGATGTTGCATTCGTTTTCGATAACATTGAAGGCATTGGATATGCTGCCAACCCGTTTGCGAACGAGCCTCAGTCACACCTAGAGTTGGCGGACCTGATGAGGAAGATGTGGGTTCACTTCATACACTACACCAGCCCCAACTTGGAAACTGCTACTATCGCGTGGCCGAAATATAAGCCTGGACTCCACAATACCCTTGTATTCGATACTGATTACGAGTATCTTGGCTACATTGCGAAGGACAAGTACAGAAAGGAGGCGATCTCGTACCTCCAGGACCATGTCTTCGTGTAGTCCTGAATTCTTCCTTGTATCCCATTGCCTGGCAGCGCTAGTCGTGATTAGCATCCTTTTTCTGCCGCAAATACCGCTCACCTCATCTAAAACTAAGCGCCTGTAATCAGCATGGAATATGATTATCTGAGCTATCTATGAGCAATCTACATCTTTGTCACTGAAGGAGGTCGCGGTGTATGAATATCAGTCCACCATGGCTTTCCTTGCAAGCGGTGGTAAGCCTGAACAGAAGGTTAGCAATATGTAGATGTATCACCTTATTGAGCGTCTCCCACCCGACATACAGCTAGGCCCAGTGAAGCGGCGTACAAAAGAATCTAGGCAGATCTAACAGAAGATACAGGCCTGCTAGCCTGCTGATACGATCTGCTTAGCCCTACTTAAAGGTGTTCCCCCAAACCCAAACCAAGCTAGTGTATAACTTCGAGTGTGGCTTCCGACCAGGCGACGGCGAAAACCAGCATGTAGTTGGTAGGAATTGGCACTAAGATATCTGGTCCGTCATGCTGAGACTAAGCAAGGCGAAAATATTACTGCGCTTGAATGTATTGCTATTGATGGCTATTGATGGATCCGCTATTTATATTCACAAGCAGCGGCGTCTTTACGGAAGCATGGTTCGACGGCAGCAAAGATTTACCACCAGTTACAATAGTTGGAACCTCACTAAATGGCTAAATTGATCAATTAGCCAACCAACTAGTCAACCAATAGCTAGATTATAGAATGATGAGACAACAAAACATGACAGTGGCGCGAAGCGCGGCGAGAAGGATATCCTTATCTCCAATGGCCACAGCGCCCACCTCACCCTCGAATTCTTGCAGAAATGCGAGGATCACAATATCTTACCCTTCAGCCTTATATCTCATTCAACCTATTTTTACTAGCCACTTGACAGCAAGCTATTTGTGAGCTACAAAGGGCATTTCCAAAGCCTGAATAACAAGATTTCTTATTAGGCGGGTGAGCCGATGGGGAGGCTAAATTCCTACAGGTGATCAGTCCTGTACAATCAAAGGCCTTGAAGTACTAAATCATTCATGAATCTTTTTAAGGTCGCAGTACCTAGCCAGTCAGTAGCAGCAAGGTACTAAGCAGCTATCTAATGGGTGGGATAAGATACCTAATCTAATCGTGCCTGACCTTCGCTCCTACAGCTCCTGTACACCATCACTGCCACCGGCTAATTTCTCATCATTTAGCCTTAAAAATACACCTCCGAAATCAACCACAGTGCTTCAAAATAACCAGGCAAAGCTAGTAAAGCACGCAGAACATCTTACACCAAAGCTTCAGCAAAACATCGAGCGTATCTCCACCATACTTATACGGCGCGTGACACCTTTCAATGGGCATTGATACAGACACAAGATTTAGGACTGCACACGAACTGATACAGTGATCTAAGACATAGCAGCAGGTCAAAGGGCTTAGCCATACTGGTATATTAACCACACGCGATGCGAATAGATTAATTGCGACTAGGAAGGTCAAAGAAGATGCGGCAGAAGAGAGACAATTTGCAAAGGAGTATGAGAAAAGATACTTTATTTAACCAATTTCTAGGGATCGGTTAGATCCAGAGCGGGCGCCTTGATAGATTGTCCCTTGGATTCAGCAGAAAACATCGTCCGTCTGGACACCACCTTTGCTAGAAAGGTTCCCATCTGTTTCCCCGGACGGCACAGATTCTCTCTTCCTCCTCAAGCTTATTGTAAATAGCTTGTTGGCCTGGTATAATGCTGGGAAGGCTCTAACGGTTAAAAATCTACAAATTAATATGCTTATCAGCAGAAAAGCTGTATCTGGTCTCTTTCCGAGGCGCAAAGCCTGTCCACGAGATTGGATGTGTAGTTGCTAAAGTTTTGCGCTAAGCCGTTCACGTTTGCCTTTTTGTAAGATCAGCACGCTTGTCCACTAGATTGGACGCCTGGCCTGATATTTACTAAAGACTGCGTAGGCCACCCCACGAAATCTAACCTTGTCCCGTCTTCTCTCAGTCTTATTACATCTGCTTGTGAATTCTTGAGTAGCCCCCTTAAAGTGGGCCCACGCTCATCAAAGCCTCGCTCGATCGTAGCCAGAGATGTGATTTATGGCGCGAAAGTTTGATATACAGGCGATTTCCTTAATGGCTTGAGGAAAGCAGGTTAAAGCGACCGACGTCACCCTAGCTCGGCGCTGTCTCGGATCTGAGTTTACGCTAAATCCTGGCCTAAACGTGAGTCTGCCAGCCCTCTTTGGAGCAGTGATTTGTTTGGGGCCTCACCATGATTGTGGTTCTCGTCCAAGTGACATAAATTACCACTGTTTCAAACCTTCCCTTCATCAGTAATAATCCTTTATGTGAAAATGGGAATTATAAGTGGATATCTGAACAGAGTAGTACAATTTCTAGAGGTCTGAAACGGCTAGGCCTTTGCGACACTAACCTAGGGGATGTATTTAGAGTACATCTTGTTATCCTCTTGGTGTCAGGAATGCTCACACTGCATAACCTTGCAACCTCGCTATTGAATGAAGGATGAGTGAAAAATGAGTGCTGACATGCCGGACCGTGGACCACTCGTCCGAGTGGTAACTGCAGTCGTGATCACTTTGTCTACTGTGGTTGTACTTTTGCGGTTTATTTCTCGTGGTCTTATTGTGCGACACCTTAGTAGCGAAGATTACTGCTTGCTTCTGGGCTGGGTAAGCGGATCCCTGTCCCTTTTTTGCGATCGGAAAAGGGCGTGCGACTAATTGTTCGACACAGCTTATCGCCGTCGGTCTTTCGGCTTCTGTCATCCTTGGGACGACTAATGGCCTGGGGAGGCATGATAGCGACATTCCCGGCGACTGGCAGTATCGGCTTCTGCAATGGACATATGTCTTCACTGTGCTCTATGTCGGTCGACCCGGTGTGAAAGAAGGTCCTATGTCAGTGATCTAACGAGTTTTCTGAATCTAGAACCCTGCCCTCATGGCAACTAAAACCTCTATTCTTATGCTTTACCGACGCCTATCTCGGACTTTGGCCTTCTTCCGCACTGCAACAATGGCCTGCTTGGTGATTGTTAACCTGTGTGGCCTCATATTCACTCTTCTGTCCATTTTCCGGTGCCGACCAATAACCAAATCCTTCGATTTGGTTTCGGGCAGTGAGAAGTGCATTGATATCGTCACACTATACTTGGTTGGGGCTCCTGTGAATATTCTGACGGATTTGGTAATTTTAATCCTACCTATGCCACTTTTAACTGGCCTTGTTCTTCCGTCCAAACAGAAGATCATCCTGGTAGCGACTTTTGCTTTGGGCGGGTTTGTGACTGTTGTTGATGTGGTGCGGATTGCTTATTTGCAGGAAAGCTCGACCGCCCGCCTCGAGACTTTGAAAAACAGCGAGCAGTCTTCTGCTCAAACGAATATATTTTGGTACACAGCGTTCACATTCATGTGGTCAAGCGTTGAGGTGAATGTTGGAATCATTTGCGCCTGTATCCCCGTCCTTAAACCGCTATTTGTTCGTCTCACTCCTAAACTCTTCGGTTCTGCGGGCTCCCCGGGCTCCAGGGCAGCAGGAAAGATGCCGTCTGGTGGTCATATGGCATACAGCGAAAGTAATCCAAAGGCGCAGCGGTTAAATCCTGCCTCACGACATCTTTCGAATTCCTTGCAACCACTCACGTCCCAAAACTCATCCATATATCAAGGAGAGGAGCATAATATCGAGCTACAGCTCATGAAACCCCCGGCTTCTCAGCCAGCACAAGGCTTCTATTTGCCCACAACCGAAGTTCGAGTCCGCAGTCGAATTTCAGAACAAGTGCCAACGCCGCGTATTGGTCCTACTCGACATCAAAAATCCTTGGTTGACTTAACCGATCGTGAATCGCTCTCACCGCTACTGATAGTTACCGTCCTATTTTTCCTCTGGGGCTTCGCTTACGGACTGCTTGGCGCTCTAAATACAAAATTCCAGGCCCTTGTTAATATCACGAAAGGCCAAACAGTTGCAATTCATTGCGTCTATTTTGCGGCTTACTTTACCGCCCCTCCCGCCTTCTCGTATTCTGTCCTGACAAGGTTTGGGTTCAAAATCACAATCATCACGGGTTTATGCATATTCGCTGTCGGCTCTTTGGTGTTTTGGCCGTCCGCCATATTGGGCTCGTTCGCTGGGTTTGTCATCTCCAATTATATTGCTGCGCTGGGACTAGCCACTCTAGAGGTTTCGGCGAATCCGTTCATAGCTCTCTGTGGACCACCTCAGCGTGCAGAAGGACGTGTGAATCTTGCACAGGCGGTCAGGGGTGTTGGCAGCGTGGCAGCTCTGTTACTTGCAAATCTTGCTCTCTTCCAGCAAACAAGCATCAGTAACCTAGTTGACGCACAGTGGACATACCTAGCCATATCAATCTTCTCCATCGCTCTGGCCTGCCTTTTTTACTATTATCCGCTACCCGAGGTCACCATGGATGAGCTCGACAAGTCCTGGGGTCCAATGGAGCCTCTTCCTAGGCAACGGCGCTCGGGCCTGTCCATATCCGTCACTACTTCTGTTATGGTTGTTGCAGCCATTTCCCAGTGTGTTTCTTTGGGAGCACAGGAGACCGTCTCTCCAGTTACATATCCTGTGCTGATCCATTGGCTAGAGCATGCTAGCAGCGATCAAGCGTTTTTACTTCTCGCAGCACTCGATGGCCTGGTTGTCCTAGGCCGTGTGCTCGCAGGGGTGATCTTCTTAATCACACCTGTTAGGCCGGAACAGCTTCTCTGTGTTACGACAGTCGGTGCATCTGTTACTTGCCTTCTTTCCACTTTTCTCAACAAGAAGTCAGTTCTAGGACTAGTTTTCCTTAACTACTTCTTTCAGTCCGCAATTTTCCCGACCATTTTCGTCACGGCGCTGCGCGGTCAGGGCCACCGCATCCAGTTAAGCTCTGCCTTCCAAATCTCATCCATGGTCGGTGGCGCTATCTTTCCTGCTGTTCAGTATGGAGTAGAGAAGATTG